TTCTATACCGGCTATATATCCGTTACTGTACCTTAGTTTCTGAGGAACTAAAGTATTCGTAAACCCAAGCGGTTTTCATCATGCATTTTTTCAAGGAAGTGTCATAGTGACATGCTGCCATCAGTTCAGGGCAAAGCCATCCCTCCAACATAGACCCTGCATGACCCTGCCGGGGGTCCTCCCTCACTCACCACCCTGACTTCTTCACACAGGGCTGGTGCCAATGTCAACTCGCGCAATGAAATGCTGGGCGGCCGCAGCCCAAGCTGATCTCATGGGATTTGCTACACATTGGTGGCCAATTCACTCGAAGTTTGGTGGTGGTTGTTGGAAAGGCAAATACCTGCGTTTTCCCTAGTGAATGTACCGTAATTATCCGGAATTATCTACTATATTGATTTGTTAGTTGTCAGGATTTAAACTTAAACCATACATTTTTTGAGTTGAATGATGCAAATTCGAACTTGGCCAGACATTTGCATGTGTTGGCTACTGCTCGGTTGAGTGGTGGCTTTACATCAGTGTTAATTAGTTTATGGCCCTTTGGGGTTTCACATCTACATCTCTTGCATCGCTTGTGGGTGACACACATCAGACATTCATACTTCTAGATTCTATATACCCTCTGGTAAACTAACATAACTAGTAACTATGGAACATCACCATTTTTAATGGGAAAACTCACTATAAATGGCCATTTTCAATAGCTATGTTTGTTTACCAGAGGGTACTTCTGGTTGCTGAAGCCTGAATCCCAGTCCCACTGCCTTCCAAACAGCTCCGCCACATTGACCGTCCTACTGAATACAACTGGCTTACATGGAACCAGATAGTGCCCAACCAGCTACTGCAGTACATGCAAACATGTATGACACCATGTTTTTTATATATATATATATACTGTATATATATATATATTGCATATACTATTACGTCCCTCCGCTTATCTAAAGTTAGCTATGGACAAATCACCATTTTCATAGCATATATTAGTTAAACAACAATTATAAATTGGCGCATTTTCAATTTAGCTATGTTCAATGACCAGAGGGTTTGCCTAGCCCACAACCAGCCCCCTTTGTTCATCGGCAACCAAGGTGGCACGGCGCTACATGTGGCGCCCGGCTGCTTGGAGGGTGCCCTTAGAAATGGGATGATTTACCATCTGGTTATGACTAACAGTTTGCCATGGAAAGATCCACCATTTTTAATAGGTAAACCATCTATAAACCATGGAAAATCACCATTTTTAATAGGTAAACCATCTATTTCTATGGGCCATGTATACCATGGCTATGTTAAATAACCAGAGGATATAGCCCATAATAGATTCATAATGGCCCCAAATGGTGAACGTTCAACGAAGCTTTTGGGATGGCTAAGAACCAGTTCTTAGGTGATGTCCAATCTAAGGTCATCTCCTTCCATATTTACATATATTTACATATTTTGTAAGCTAGATGGATCTAGATTGATGTTAATAAGACTTACAAAAGGGCCCAGGACCTGGATGTTGTGTAGTGTTAATGTTGATGTAATGTTTGCGTCGTTCCATTTGTCATGGAACCAGAACAAATGCTGATTCCCGCGAATGGTGCTCCTCTGCTCAAATTGCATGCTGCTGCACCTTTTCCTGGACTTTGCCTCATAAACAGATAGATATGATATAATAATGATATATATATATATATATACATATATTAGCACGGTGCTCTAACACGTTTTCTTTAGCCTAAATTGTAACCTTAACTCTTGCAAATTGTAACCTTAACTTTTGTAAATTGTAACCTTAACTTTTGTAAATTGTAACCTTAACTTGTGTAAATTGTAACCTTAACTTTTGTAAATTGTAACCTTAACTTGTGTAAATTGTAACCTTAACTTTTGTAAATTGTAACCTTAACTTTTGTAAATTGTAACCTTAAATTTTGTAAATTGTAACCTTAACTTTTGTAAATTGTAACCTTAAATTTTGTAAATTGTAACCTTAAATTTTGTAAATTGTAACCTTAATTTTTGTAAATTGTAACCTTAATTTTTGCAAATTGTAACCTTAAATTCTGTAAACTGTAACCTTAACTTTTGTAAATTGTAACCTTAAGTTTTGTAAATTGTAACCTTAATTTTTGTAAATTGTAACCTTAATTTTTGCAAATTTGGTGACGTGGAAGACAATTTGAGGGATTACCGGCAGTTTCCAAAAGAGGGTTTTGGGGGACCATTTTGGGGACATTTTGGGGACATTTTTGGCCAAAAATTGTAACCTTAACTCCGGGAGTTAAGGTTACAATTTTTAAGGTTACAATTTCGGTCTTCCCATAGGCACGGAGCAGATTGTAACCTTAACTTTTCCCAAAATTTTAACCTTAACTCTGGCCCGTTAAGGTTACAATTGCTGAATTTCAAGGTTACAAACCGCCAATTTTTTTGGGTTACAATTGCCCAAATTTAAGGTTACAATTGCCCAAATTTAAGGTTACAATTCCCCAAATATAAGGTTACAATTGCCTAAATTTAAGGTTACAATTCCCAAATTTAAGGTTACAATTGCCAAATTTTAAGGTTACAATTGCCAAATTTTAAGGTTACAATTGCCAAATTTTAAGGTTACAATTGCCTAATTTTAAGGTTACAATTGCCAATTTTTAAGGTTACAATTGCCCAATTTTAAGGTCACAATTGCCAAATTTTAAGGTTACAATTGCCCTGAATTTAAGGTTACAATTGCCAAATTTTAAGGTTACAATTGCCAAATTTTAAGGTTACAATTGCCAAATTTTAAGGTTACAATTGCCAAATTTTAATGTTACAATTGCCAAATTTTAAGGTTACAATTGCCAATTTTTAAGGTTACAATTGCCAAATTTTAAGGTTACAATTGCCAAATTTTAAGGTTACAATTGCCCAAATTTAAGGTTACAATTGCCAAATTTTAAGGTTACAATTGCCCAAATTTAAGGTTACAATTCCCAAATGTTAAGGTTACAATTGCCCAATTTTAAGGTTACAATTGCCAAATTTTAAGGTTACAATTGCCCAAAGTTAAGGTTACAATATCCCAGTTTTAAGGTAACAATAAGCCTCTAAAGAGACCCCCCAAAAACGTGTTAGAGTGCCATGCTAATATATATATATATGCATAAATGAATAGATCCAAATGATGGCCACTGGTATTGTGAGCATTATTCGGCCCAGGCGGAGCACATATATGGACTTGTCATTTAGCCCGATTTATGACAAGGAGCCCATACCTGCCTAACATTCTCCCAGCCTTACAGGCACAAGGTCGTTGTCCATGTCCATGTTTTTTTAGGGCACTGCAACCCAACATGCGATAGGTGTCTCTGGAGTAGCCGTGCTCCATTCAAGCCAACTTTGCAACCGGAATGTCACATGGCATGAGGTCAAGAATGGCTTGGTTCGAAGGCATGGAACGACTTCTGGAACGAGATGTTCGGATCTTAGTTGGTGTCTCGAATCTGCAACTTCTAATTTCCCGGGTGCTTCTAAAGAAATGGAACCTTGGCAACCTTGGTGAACATTTTTTTTGGCATATAGATGTCCAATGTTCATAGGCTAGTCAAGTCCACTAATCCTTGAGTCATCCTTGACTAGTATCCTAATCCATTACTCATCATTAATCCATATATTAATCCTTGATAATCCATCAGATTAATCCATTAATCCTTGATAATATACAACCCATCTCATGGCCACCACCAAGGCGAATCCCAACGCCACCGATCGCCTGGCTCAAGCTCCATTGCATGGTGCTGCACGTCGTGCCACCTGGCACAACAAATTTGGCGTTTGGAGGGAAATGCATGGGACATGCCCCATAAATCATTTTTTTTTATGAGAAAGACATTGAACAAAAAGGTGTTTTTTTTCCCGGTGCCCCATGTTTGATGACAAGAGGGTAGTATAGTAGTTATGTGATGTTATATATGTTTGTTGGTGCAACAAACGCCACTAAGTATAGTGACTTCATCACCCGAAGCCCCAGTTATGCCCAGTTATTCCCAGTTATTCCCAGTTATTCTGTTCAGCAACAGATCGCTAACTACTTGGACACCACCTGGACGGATTCTCCGTTGATCAACTCTTGGAACCATGTGGCAAGATGTCCATGAACCCTAGGCTCTAAGCCCTCGAAGATATCAAGAGACATCAAGAGACATAGTTTCATGGCACCCTGTGTGAGTCAGCACAATGTGGCTAACCAACCATTTCCCAGAGTTGCGAGTTAGCCGAGTTAGCCTGTGTGAACTCAGCAGGTTTCTAGTTGATTTTTTGACTACTTTTGATCAGGATGACTTCTTTTACAAACAGGACGCTCAATTGGGTGTCTCCGATTTTGACGAGAATGACGAGACACCCACTTGGTTGGTCGATTCAGTCTCATTTGTCATGTTCCGACCCTACAGGTATTCCTTTCCGCAACTATTCAACAGCTTCCGCAGCAGTTGGTTAAGTATTGGATCTATTCATTGGGTGCCCCTTTGAACTTTGGGGGCGAATTTCTGCTGGTAGCCGCAGCGTATGATGATTCTGGGATCATTGGCTCTGATCTTCTGCAAACATGATATGTATGATCATACTTTCTATATCCACAGTGTCATACATGTTGATTCATGTTGATTCATGTTGATTCATGTTGATTCTTCTTGATATCCTTTTTGCAGACTGAATTGAGAATCTGAGAAGGCGTTGGAGAAAGAGAGACAGAATGAGACAGATAAATATGATTAAATATGATTATTGTAAATATGATTAGATATGAATGTGCATACCATGCCCATATACGCAAATATAGATACTGTACTGGATAGCAGCATGACATCACGAAATGGGGAATGATTTATTCAATTCCTAAGGTTGACCTCAGAGCCGTTTCGCTGTTGCTGCGGAGCCGCGCCAATGTCCATGCCATAGGCGGGGTTTTTCTCCGGGGTTGGAGCTTGGTTAAAGGATGGCGGCAATCTGAAATCTAGGGCTGTCTCAGTTGGCCCGTTTTTTCCAAGGTTTGCCAAAGAATTCTGTGCTTTTTGTTGAATGGCGATGGAAGATTGGAGCCAAAGGTTGTTTTAGGGGGAAATGCTCCAGCTTCACCCACCAAATGGCATGTCTGATGGCACAAGTCCATGCAGATTGTTTGCAGCTATGCGTCATACAGTCATAGCTGTCACATACAAATGCACTCGAAACTTGCACCCAGACTGGTCTAGACATATCATGACATACCCCCTAGTTTGGAAAAGTGTATGAATGATCGAAATTCGCGTGTCGTTGGCTTTCTATTCGAGCCTGGATTTTGCATTTGGGAAGTGGAAAGGACCCCCTCTTCAAGTGGCAGGATGTTGTTGACAAACTGGAGGTGTACTCCGGGTTGGAATTGGGCAGAATATAGATGCAGGGATGCAATGATACATATATAATCATATATACATATGTAACGAACTAAAAAATAGCACCAACCAGTTGAACATTATGTGTATATACACATATATACACAATATATAGATATATTACAATATATTACACACATAGCAACCTTTTGCAGGCCCTGAGGGCCGAAAAGCGGTGGATTTCGTGGTCGACTCAGCTGAGGGGTGTTTCTGCCATGTGCGCGGGAGCTTCGCTTCGAGGTGGGCGATTTCACCAAAACTGGCAATTTCACCATGGAATATGGTACTTTAATGGTACTTTAATGGAAGTTAAGAACGGAACATGGTGATGAAATATAATCGAATGGTGATTCAACATGATTCAACCAACAGAAACAGTGATTTGTATAGTTTAACTATATGTTTAACTAACATTGCTTTTTTTGAGTTCAAAAAGAAAAGTTGGGGGGTTCACCTACTTGGTGGAAACCTCTGGAATCCCGTGGTGGGCCACCTTGGGGTAACAAAACCAACATTAGTTCGGATGCAACTTGATGTATTCATCAAGAATGATGTAGCAATGGAAACATCGTGGGGAAGTTTTTTGGGGATATGGAGAAACAAAACATCAAACAATGGGGGAACAATGGGGGATTTAGCAATCATTATGTACAATGGGGACATGGGGGGTTATCAGATTATTGAAGGGATATGGCGACATCACCATATATAATGGAGATATTGGGAAAAAAATCGTCAGTTTGGCCCGGATTGAACTAACTAACACAAATGTGAACACCAAGCATTTACACGGAATAATGGGATTACAACTCGTGTAGAACAAAGTCATATGCTTTGGGTTTGGTTGAAAATTGGGGATGCCCAAAAATTGCCAAAAATGAAACGGGAGCCCTTTAGGGCCAAACCACGGGATTTTCGGGTACCTTAGTTGTTCCATCCCTATGGCTGAATGGGATGGCGGATTTACGTGCGGTGGGGGCTAGCAGAGGGATCCATAGCATCCAGAGGGAATGGTACATCCCATATTTTTTGCTGGATAAATCATTGAAATGTATGCAAGAAACGTGAAACACCATTTTCTTCTGGAAGGGAGGTTTTCCTGGTGCCGGGTGCCGAGGTTCCAGTGGAGCACCCCTGTCAAAGCCTCAGACCTTTGGGGGAAAAGGGGTGTTGGAACAGCTGGAGAACCTTTACCTTCTACAGCAACTTTTCCCAAGGTGAGGACGAACCATTTCTTGCAAGCGCCATACATTGAAATTGAGAGATCCCATCAAAAGAACATCACTTGGACTTTGGTTTGCCATGGTGCGTCACCTTCATCCATAGTAATGGTCATCCATAGTAATGGTAGGATTACATAGTTGCAGTCGCGAAGCATTGCTAACTCTGCTTTGAAATGTTACTACATTCGGCCTCTATGGGTTTTGGAGGGTTAGTGAGGGCTGATATGCAATTCTGGAGATTTTGTCTACATCATTCTACATCTATGTCGGTATGGTCTGGGTCTTCACACATGTACATCTGAGCTTGGCCTTTGGGAACCGAGATTGTCTTCGAGACAGAAAACGATGTCCGCCTCCAATTTCAACACCACAAGTCTTGCATGGACGAGATGAACAGATCCAGTGCCACATCATTCCACTAGGGTCACCAGGGTTTCTGGCTTGTTCCTTGGTGAAATCATGTGGTGCACCAATGAAAACCATCCCAGTGCTGACCCCCGTCACCCCCAGGGTCTCACCGAGGCCGCGAGAAGGTGACGCTGCTTCTCCAAGCCTATGCACGACCACCACCGAAGACCATCCCCTGAGATTTCGAGGAGGTCCCGAGTCCGGAGACATCCAGAGACCGGAGACTGGAGACTGGATGATCTTACCCATAGGATCCATGTATGGTATATATGCTAACATTGGGGGTATATTGATGGTAAATGTTACCATATATACCATACATGGATCCTATGGGTTATGGGAAATCTTTCAAATAATGGGCTTCAGTCTGGGGTTTGTATACTGTATACTTATTGTATACTGTAAGTATTTTTTTATGCTGTATCCCTGTTTTATGATACGGTTACATACCGTTGTTTTAAATTCCTGATTTTAAGTGGTGCATAATTTGGTTGCATTATGTTGTATATAATTATATATATATATGGGTCATGTGAAAGTAGCTGATTTCCGACGGATTGAACTGATTCAAGTCTGCGTGGAATTCTGAGCGTGAGATGAGCAATGAAACAAACAGGTTTTGTCCAGTGATGTCACAATATTTTACATCATGTCCCACGTAATCAGTTGTTATTAAATTTGGAAAGCATTGTTTTTGGTTGTTTTTGGACTTAAATATCTTTGCGACCTGTGGGTAAGTAGGTGAACACTATTTAAAACAAAACATATTTTGATGCCACCAACGCCGCTGGTTTCATCGACCAAACTGAAGAAGCGCGCCGAAGGGACGTTCGTCAAGAAAGTGGCGTAGTGATAAATATTCCAGGTTTAGAAATCACCTTGAGATTGACACTAGAACTATGCAAATTCCAGTATTTTCCAGTTTTTTTACTTATTTGGTTGGTGGTTTCAATCATTTTTTATGTTCCATGATATATGGGATGTCATCCTTCCCATTGACTTTCATATTTTTCAAGATGGTTAAAACCACCAACCAGTTATTTTTCTAGGCTTGTTTTTTGGGGCAGGGCTGTCAACAAGTTCCTGAAAACACTGGTTGATTTTCACTTTTATCACCACCTCGGAGCTAAGCAAAATTCATGGTTCATACCCTCTGGTTATTTAACATAGCCATGGAAAATGGCCCAAAGAAATAGATGGTTTACCTATTAAAAATGGTGGATCTTTCCATGGCAAACTGTTAGTCATAACCAGATCGTAGATTGGGGAGTTCATCAGTTTCACGGCCAAGATATTTATCAGGCATGAATATTGATCATGAGTTACCATTGATGGTCCATTTTATTGGCTTCCTGTGGCTGGATCAATCCATTGATCCGGCGCCGAAAAAAACCTGGAGAAGTTCTTATTACTAGGGAGGTTTCGTAATGGGGGGCGGGATTATATGGGATTATGAATTCCTAAACCTCCCCATAACAAACCTTTGTCGTTCTGGAAGGTTTAAATCTCCAGTAATTGGAAAGTAAACATCAATTCAATGGGAATTTCAGGATCCTAAAATGGAGGTACTAACTGTACCATATTTCAGGCCATATGAATTGTAGGGATATCCCTGATCACTGACCACTGATCAATGTTGATTGTTGGGAGGTCTAGCAATGGGAGGTTATCATTCGACTCAACCCCCATGAGGCCCATGAGTCCTCACGAACCCCCCTCCGAGGGCGTGGAGATGTTGTCTTAGCTCGGCTGCCAAAGGCATGCCTGGTGAATGAAGGAGCTGCAAGGCAAAAGAAGCCACGGCTGGTGAATTAAACCCAAAAATATAGCAACTGGTTGGTAAGTGGTGTTTGAACCCACTTATAAGTGGAACAAAGGTTGGAGCTAAACTGGTCGCTAAGCAGTTTAAGACATGCCACTCAGCTAGATGATCAAATATGCCTGCTGATCCGGACCATTCCAGACCCCCCAAAAAAATATACTGCAGGGATTCCATTGGATTTTGTTACTGTTAAGTCGAGCCAGGGTTCGAGTGGATCGGTGGTTTGGAATCTGTGAACTGGAATTTTGGTTGCCGTTACGGCCCTTGGTTAGTTGGCCGTGGCAAGGTAAGCACTGTAATGGCAACGAGTTTCTTGGCGCAAATGAACACAAAGGACTAGTGGAACTGACCGAGCAGCCCGGCGCAACGCACTAAAGACTCTGAGCTCCAAAATTCCTGCGGCAGGTGATTGGAAAATCAAATATTCACAGAGCCTCTTCAGATTCAGCAGTTGTTGTCATGCTGCAGCTTTAAGGCCCAAAATATGGAGATACCATGAGAATGTTTGAAGTTTCTGCTAATCTGCTAGTTACTGTCCCAGAATGGCATGAGGGGACCACGTTGAACCACAAAACCCCTCCTCCTTTGCACCGATTCCAACGGCTTTGGCAAACCTTTGCTGCTGCAAAAAGAAGGGGAACCCTGCATGACAGTACATGAAATAATAAGGGTATATAGAACTTATAGTCAAAGTATTCAGTAGACATATGTATACATACACACACATATATACATAATATATAATATTAAATCATATTAAATCAATATGTCAAGAACTAGAATGGCAAACAGCTGGGTAAATACATTTAATACGCCCCACACCACGCGATGCGCTGCCATGCCTTTCTGGCTGTGTGGACGTTGCAGCACCAAAGTGCTGCCCTGTCCCGGTCGGGTGAGGCGAATGTCACGGTGGACGAAGCAAGACATTCACCGGGTGGATCGAACAGATCTGCAACTCAGCTCCAACTTGGTGGCTTTGAAGACTTAGAGAAAACGAGACACACATGTGTTTATCACTATAAGCCTACTATAAGCATTGGAAAAGAAGGCTTGATATTTGTTATCATGAACATGGGGTATATCTAGCAACCTCCTTAGTAACAGGCATGGTTGATGCATTCTGTGAGCTTATAGCATCCTTATTTTTTTCTTGATTGGTTTGTCTTTTCCTTGGGTGTTATTTTCCTTTGTTTCTCCCTTGAAAACCAAACAAAACCAAATGAAAACTAAGGAAACCAAAGGAAAGCCATAGAATCCACCCAGCCCCAAACCAAAGAAAATCAAAGGAAATCAAAGGAAACCAAAGGAAATCAAAGGAAATTGAAGGGGACCAAAGGAAATCAAAGAAAATCTAAGGAAACCAAAGGAAACCGAAGGAATCCAACGAAAGCAAATCAAAGGATACCCTGCTGTGAATGCATGTTCCAGTGATGTTACTAAAGAGTTCCTATGAGTATAGATATATATATATATATATAGATAGATATAATATTGATGATATATGATGGGCATGCGGCATATGTATTATCTTGACCAATGAACTGAGTGGTGCTATTGTTTGAATCAAGTGTGTTTTCAATCTGAGATGATCGCAATACGACCCAAGTCGTTCACCATGATTCAGTACAAGGTGGTGCCCCCAAGATAGCTAAGTTGGTTTATAAGTCCAATAACTACTGTAGGGTTTTTGGGGGTTATAATGCTATAGTTACTATGGTTTATAAACCAACTTATATCAATGGATTGTTTTTTTTTGGAAAATCTACAAGAAAGACCCATATTTAACAGGAAAATCCTAGGGTTTCCGGTTAATTTTTTCCCTTAAACCAATCCAATCGCCGAGATTCGGGGGATGGTAAAATTCAGCGGAGCCTGGCTCAGATCCTGGAATCACAGCACGCCTTCGTAGTGTCCAGAAACGATGGGATGGTAGCAGTTCCACTGGTGCCGGTAATGTGGCCAGAAATATATAGAAATGTTGTTCATAGGTTTCCATGATGGGGCGCGTTTGAATGGTTTTACTGGCCCCCAGTTACTTGTGATTGCAGTATTCAAATCACCGGTGTTCCATCCCAGACTTGGAATCCAGGCTTAGCTCCAGCCGCCAGTAGTTGACCAGATTATGATCCCAGTTCGGTGGGAAAGAAATGGGAAAGAATGGGGAAGCCTCATGGTTGACCCTCACACTGTATATCCGGCTATATCCTCATGATTTTGTATGCAAATCCCTCTTCTGGTTGGTGGTTTGGAACATTTGGATTACATTTGGATTATTTTCCCATATATTGGCAATGTCATCATCCACTGACTTTCACTCCATCATTTTTCAGAGGGATAGGTAGGGCTCAACCATGGTATACCACCAACCAGTCGTATACTCATTTGATAGACCAGGAATTTCCATATCCCCCAGTTGGCCAGTGAAGCGGCACCATCAGTGGAAGAGCGGCGGTAGCGGCTTTGCCGATCATCTCACTTCCCGATTTGTGGTTGCAACCCTACTCCCGTTACTATATATATATACATATATGTACACACACACACATATATATATATATATCTTATACACACGTATAATCATGAATTACAGTTTAACAGTTCTTGGCTGGTGAAACCAATGTTAGCCACCCGCCACTGAATCACGTTGGTAAAGGCCATGTTCCAGTGATACCATGTCGTCCAAGGCCTCGGAGGCCGAAAGTGGCGCTTTCCTCCACCTGAAGGGTACGGCGGCCCTGGATGGCGCGAGCTTGGCGAAACGGAAGGCACAAAATCGTTTCACCCCTGCAGGTACCCTCTGGTAAACATACAAAAAAACGATGGACAATCACCACTTTTAATGGGTAAATCAACTATTTCTATGGCCATTTTCAATAGCTATGTTTGTTTACCAGAGGGTAGTGGCTGTGCGTCGTGACCGCAGTTAGAGTATGATTGGACGAATCCTTAAAGGCCTTTGTCCTGATGACTGGGGTATACCCCGCTTGCTAACTGGGGTGAGCCACCAAATATTTGGTGGCCTTGGCTTTGCTCAAGCCCATTTTGTGCAACATGTTTTAACCTTCGTTGCGCATGGTGGGGCTGCAGTGCTGAGGTTGTTAAAAACCCACTATATAATTAGCTATATAATAATAAAGATCGTAATAATAATAGTAATATCAATAGTAATGATAATAGATAATAATTCTTATTTACTGTAAACAAGAATAGTACTGTAATAGTAATAGGTATCTCAATTTCATGTTATTTCAACCCATTTAGATAACAACGTGGGACACCCTGCGGGGAGGTGGTGTTTGGCAGTGTCATTGCTGGCACTTCGTGCCTTCTCCTCCTCTCGAGCATTTGCGTCCTGAAGTGCAAACAACGCTCTCGGCAGACCGTGGAGGCTGCAAAGCCGAGTTGTGGATGGCAGCACGTGAAGAGTGGCGAAGCGAAAGATGGCGGAGGGACAAGTTACAAATACCAGTCTCCTGGGTGTTACTGCTGTTTTTTTTTTGTTCTTTTCGTCCTGTTTGTTGATCCTTTATTTTTTGAATTGGTCATCCCAAAAACACAGCATGAAACAACTTCAACATACTTCAAACCCCCTGAAGACACGTTCTTGTTTTGAGCATTGGTAGCTCAACCGCTCAGGTCCCTGCCAAACCTCTTGAAAGGCAAGAGTACTGATAGCATGATCAGTCGTCAGAGTCAACTTAGTCGACCTGAAGGCTTGGGGAAGCTCACCAAGGACGGGAGCTGAGCTTTTCAAACAACATGTTTTGCGCCGGCAGGATCCAGATCATTCCATATCCTCCAGCAATTTCAGACCATCTCACTTGGTTGACTATAATAATAATAATATATATATATATATAAGTTTGTCATAGTTTGTCCAATCTCCATTCAATCCCCAGTACATATAGTCACTACATCCCCATAGTCAACAGTTTTGACCCATTGTGGAAGGGCCGGGATCGAGGAAGAAATGGAGGAAGCCTTGGATCACCTCTCGCCCGAAGAGCGGGCGGAACGGCTGAATCAATGGGCCCAGGAGCGGGCCGAACGGCTGCGGATGGAGAACGCTCACTATTTGGAACTGCGGAGGCCTCTGCGGTACCACGATGTTTTGAAACGAGGTCCTTGGGAAAAAAAATACCTAGAGATGGAAAAGATGGAAAAGGGAACAGTCAGTCTTACTGAAAAGGAACTACATAGTGATAAACGAATCTGAAATATTTTTTGCGGGGCTACTATCTAGTAAATGTTCAAGTAAATTCGACTTAGCTTAGCTTCTCAGCTATTAGCGGTCATTAAGGAGAGCTATGAGGCCATGTGGTGCATATCCTTTGCATATTTGGAAGGGAATGCATTCCTGTGCTGGGTGCAGATCCTGCAGGAATGGTCTGTTGGAAAAATTGGCAAACCAACCACCTATAGCAGGCAAACGCCCCAGGTGTTTTTATACCGAGGAAAAGGCCATGAAAGGCCATTGCATACACAGCAAATTACAGTTCAGCCTAGTGACAGCCTAGTCAGCAAGTCTAAGTTGCACGCCAATGCGTCGCCTGAGTTGGACTGTTTGTTGCGACGGTTTGCCTTCAATCAATATTACACATGACTTGTCAAATTGAGAAGGTGGCAAGGGAGTAGTGGCTTAGATGCAGCAAGTTGGAACTGTCTGACCGATACCCCTAAAGGATGTATGCACCCTTTCTGCTTCTCATGGCATTTCAATTCCAAATGGTATCCAAATGGTTTCATGGCAACTTGTGTTGCCTCATCGCTTCTAAAGTTCCGGGGTCAAATCATCTCAAATCAGAAAATGTCCCATCAATTGCCGCAGGTGTGTTCTGATCAGCCTCACACTTCTGTATGTTTGTGCTTCTGTGGGCCTGCCTTATTTGCACCGACAGGAAGCGAGTTGTTTCTGGTTTTTGTTTGTTTTTTTTTATGAATGCGCTGTCCGTTTTCCATCCAGTAATTTGGGGTAAAATTGGATGTCGCGCAGCGAGTTGGGCCAGTAGTTGCTTACGTGTTTAGTTCACGTTCAATGGGATTAAATGAATATGAATACGGTTGCTTACATGTTTATTATTTTTAAATGGATCTAACCAAGATAGTGACCTTGCGTTTCACAGAAAAAATGAACCATTGCAGTATTCAAAGATTGCCCATGGACCAGGTTCGCGCGGGTTCTTCTGGGAAACGCATATGGAGTTTTTGGGCCTTTTTGCCGTGACCAAATGCGCGGAACTGTGGCTGATGGTGTGGCTCATCTGAAGTTAGTGTGATCCCTGAAAGTCCAATGACTCATTTGACCATTTTGAACCACGATAGTAGTAATCCCCATATGAGGGGTAAAACGAGTAGTGATTTTCTGGCTGGAGTGTGTATACTTGCTGGGAATCAGACCTAGAACAAGCATCCTGCATCATACGAGTTTCTTCCTGACCTGTGCCGCCCAGGCAGGATTCAGCAGTGTCCTGGGACCAGATCGGCGTTTTGGATGTCCTGCTGAAATTTTTACCATCCTTCATGGGCTATTTGGATGGTTGAATGAAGTTGTTATTTTTTTTGTGTGTTCAACTTCAAGCAGAAAAATGGAATGAGTGATCCCCATTGACTTGGGGGCTGAAACCACCAGGTTATTTAGATGGCTACACGGATGCCACTGCCGTGTTCATTGCCGCCTCCTGCGATGACCCGTTGGCGCAGACACTGGCGAATGCAATGGGCATCGCCTATTTGCGTCCTGGAAGCACGGAGGGGGTTGGAGATCTGTCCTGCAACCGTGGGGCCCCCAACTATAACTATTGATCATTATATGATGATATATAATGGGTAGTTAGTACTATTAATGGCTAGTCAATTATCATGATAACTATAGCGAAAATCGCCACAACTTGCCCCCCCCCTTGTGGAAGGTTCACATCGTCCCAAATGGGCGATACTAAACCTCTATGGGGGACCTCTATGGGATGGTTTCTGAAATTGGGTTTACAGTACCATATTACAGACGGACTATACATATTCATCATATTCAAGACTTGTGGAAAGCTGTGGCACTTCCGTCACTGGGAAATAAATACGACCACAGGTGGTCGCATTTCTATATGTATAATTCATTTAATTCTGTGGAAGTATAATTATGATTAACTATGCATATTATTTTAAACCTGCCTATATATATACATATATATGATTATATATATAATTGTTTTCAGATTACTGTAATAGTAATTTGTTCTTTTTCAAGTTGCACTGGCATGGATCCTTTGTCTCTCTGCAGATCTCTGGTAGACATTGTGCTGCAGCATTTCCCCCAGAATGGATACATCATGACACACCAACCGGGGGACAAAAAAAAGCAAAACACTAAAATCAAAAGAAGCTGTCAACTCAATTTTTCACACACATTAAATAAACGGTAATTGAATATATCCCCACCTGCAAAGTGAGGATCTCCAAATTCGATAGAATTTGAGGATAAATGTCAGTCGATGACCACTCGAAGAAATTTTGCTGTCAATGCCAGGGTGGGCGTGTGCTTCTTTCAATGGACTGTGATGTTCATCCTCTCTTCCCAGGACTTCCTGGCTCAGATTGGGTTGATGTGCGGTTGATTCTTTCTGTGCCAATTGCCACCAGAGAATCTGTCATAGCACAATGATACCCCAACAAAGATTGCTATTTCCATTTGCGGAAAATCATCTTGCAAACCCCAAACCCAACCTTCTGTTTTCAGAATAAGGTGTGTTGAAAGCCCTTTCTGTTCCAGAATCAAGATTCTCAGTCGTCCAACTCAAAAACCTTTCCAAAAATCCTTCCAAATCAATCCATCCCGCGCCAGGACCCCTCCCAAGCGTGTTTGTTGAAGCTGTTGCACATGGACATGTTGGCCTCCTGTGTGACCCTCCCAGCGGAGAAGAAATGGGTTTGGGATTTGCTGGCAGCCGTGCGAACCATTGGAGACTGGGCAAACCTGTGGGGAGATGTGGGGAGTTTTTTTTCTTACCAACACAAAATGCGGTAAAATCAATGAAAACTAACAGTTTCATGGGTTAGACAGTTGGATACAGAACCACCACATTTGATTCACGTAATCCTATGAATGATATTCCAATTCTACCATGTTTTTCGGAGATGAACACCCAGAAATACCAGCTATCCTGGTGTTCACCAGGGCTCTATGGTTTTGACATGTTTTGACATGTTTTAACCAATACATACCAAAACCGAATACGATCGAATACGCATGTGGGCAGATGTTGAATTGGATATGTTCCAAAACAGGGCTTCCCCTCAGTTCATGGCTACTTTAATAGAAAGTGATGATAATTAGTTATAGTTTACGGCCACGTATCATACGAAATGATCATCATTGTAATCCGTTGGATTTGGGATGCCAAGCCCGTTCAGAGGTTTGCCCGGCGTTGTTTCAATCAACCAAACAAGGGTGATTTTTGTCCAGTCGGTGCCACTGCATTTTCAATGAACAAACGGGTGCCACATAAAGGGGAGTTAACCCTTAAATAAACTGTTTCAATCAAGGACACTGGACACATGATATTTTTCCAAATCAATTGAGACACAAAATAGTGAGTGTGCTGCGAAAGAAATTGTAAGCCAAAGGGCGCAGATGATTTGGGATACGCTGAAGCCACAGATTTTGAAAAGATTGCGCGACAAAAAATAGGGAACAATAAAAAAAACTATGTTTTTTTTGGTTGTTGTGTGTTTGAGACCCTTGCCATTGATGTTCCATTGTTGGCATGACCTCTCCCCGATGGAGTGGAAAAAACCCAGGAGAGGATGTGCCACAAGCCGTTCTGCAGACCATCTATTTGATCAAGGTACAGAGGCGTGAAGCCCCACTCATGGGATGAGGAATGATGGGTTTGCATAAGTGCCCTTCGGTCAACATCGAAAAAACTTCAAAAAGCAAAAAGCAAATATATAACATATGGAAATCCATGCTTGATTCCCTGGGAAATAAATCTACTTTCACGGTGGTTTTCCATAGCTGTGTTGGTTTACTTGAGAATAGCTTCTGGAGATGCTGCTGGCAAGAGAGTATGCCCTTCGGCAATTCCGCCTGGTACTGGGAAACCACAACCAGAGGTTGATGTTCTTATATTATAACATGATATAATTAATTTATATGTGAATATATATATATTATATTAGGTTTAACGTTATTTAAGCTTGTTATATCTTGTTATATTCAACGAAAATATATATGACCTGTGAATTGTTTATAGGAAACATATTTGTATACCAATGGTTTTAATTGTTTGATGGCTTTCCCAATGCCAGATGCCGGAGGGTCTGTCTTAGATGATAAACCCAATAATGAACCATCACCAATATTACCACACATGTTTAGTAAAAATCATTCCAAATGGGAATATTCCAAATGGGAATGGTTTCTGGCACTGGGTTTACCACATTGTGATCCCTCATATAGGTAAGTTGGTTTATGACTTTAATATGTTTGATTGATGTTGATGGTTTCATGATTGCTTTGCTAAAAAATAACTGGCTGGCCCGACATTGCAGGAACTGGTTCATGCTGATTTCCGTGGTCATGGCCGTTTGTGCCTCCCTGAAAGCTTTGCACGACGCCCGGGCCCGGGCCCTTGCAGCAGCTGGGGCGGATCAAGAGTACGAAAAGCGGGAACGCGACTTCATGCTGTACAGCAGCTCGCAGGATAGCACCATTCGATGTTGGAACGTGAAGGATGGGCACCTTGGAGCCGAGGAATCGGTGATGGGGAGAGTAGCAATGTGTTAAGACATGTTAAGGGGGTGTAAAAAACTTGGAAATAGATTTGGTGCCCGGAGTGAGCTTGTTTGGCAGGTATCTCCGGTGACAGTGTTAGAATGAGAGCAACGTCCTTTCATATGTTTCAGCAGCAAGAGGCATGGGGAGTTTATCGACAGGAAATGGCTGGCAAGAAAGGGAATATCAGCAATAGAATGTGTAGCAAAAAGAACATGTCCAAAATAATCCTGGGATGCTCCCCACTAGAGCTTGGAAAGTGACAGGTTTGTGCGCGATCGATTGTTGGATTGTAACGAAAACGGCGGAAAGAAACGCATCAAGCTTCGAATTGTGCTGTCGCATCGCGGTCCCAAAGCCTTATTTTGACAGGTCCTGGTCAAGCGTTCAAATACATTTTAGTTGTTCGAAGTTTTTCTTGGAAAAGATGATCCAAGCTGGGCCCTTTTTGTTGGGATGCTCCACTTCCCCAATCTTCATCAATCTTCCCCAGTTGCCATGCCCAAGGCTTTGCACTCAAAGCATCACCACCGGCAGCCCCGCCAACTCCATTGCGGCCTGCAATGGCATGCTGTATAGCTCGCATGACGATGATGTGATTCGCGAATGGTCCCTGGAGACAGGGGAAGAGCTTCGCAGCTTTAACCATCGAGGTAGCAATGCCGTGGTCTACGGGACTGAAAAGTACCTGTTCACATGGGCAACTTGGCTCTTCCGAAATGATCTGAATCGCTCAAAAACCGGTTCCAAGCTATGTGTCGTTAGTCTAGTTGCCTCTTTGATGGTTTCAATGAGTTTTCCCCTCCTACACGTAGAGACTCTTTGGCAAGATTTTCGTTGTAGATTCATACCCAGCTACCGCCCCCCAGGCATTGACCGGTGGCAAATGTGTTTACAAGGTGTGGTCTTTGGCTTCAGGTGCTGTGGGGAAGTGCTGTAGTTTGCTTTCTTGACGGTGCTGACAGTGCTCCCACCCAAAGCGGGCTCCCAACACTGGATTACTGATTAATGAACATCCGTCATTCACCAATAATCTTTGGTTTTAAGGCTCTGTTATAAGTGATAGGGGACCCCAATTGTACGGATAAAATTGCAGGAGCAACTTCAATAGCTGGGGGGGGGCCCTTCCTGTGCCAAGTGACCGCCCGTCATCAACACACAACCTTTGCAAAGCTGTTGGAAGATTGTAGAGCGTAACAGTACACACCCATTGGTCTGCTTTTCTAGTTGGCAAAGTGCAAGCAATATCAAGCAATGCCACACAGTCAAGCCCATATCTCCGGAAGAACAAAGTCACAAGGTCCGTTGCAAATCCACTTGTGATGATATTGTAATTGAACATGAAATTGTTTGAATCTTAGATGCTACACCGGCTACACATAGATTTGATTGGATATATGGTCTGATATTCTTGTATATTCATGTATATTCTTCATGTCGGAGTCTTAAAGATGCCGGGCTGAGTGCCCTGCTGCATGCTGGCTCCTGCGGGCTCCGGAGGTGAATGTCTTCGCAAGCTTCCAGCACCAAACATGTTCAAAGCCTCCATGTTCGTGCGAGGCGACATGTTCTTTGCGACGCTTGGAATATGTTGAAATGGATTTGAAATTGCATATTCTTATTGGCCTGGAAAGGACTTAAGTGACCATGGGAGAAGAATGGAGAAGGGGAACGGGCCTTTTGAAAAAGTGTTCAGTGCTTGCGGCGGGCATCGTTCTGAGGCTTTATGGCCGAATTTCTGAGATTTTATGATTGGGGATATGACTGGCGAAAATGATAGATAGTACAGCAATGTTAAACACATTTGAACACCGTGAGCCATGTCAACTTTTTTTATCTCCGATGAAGTATTTTGATTCCGCTTTCTCCTATGCTTGAGATGCACGGGTGCAGCTTCATATTTCTTATATTTAAATCTCTTAGGGGCTTACCCTCAGTCATTTGGGTAAACCTTGGCTGGGCACCTTGATGAGGGATTCTGATGGCATATTTCGTTGGCTTGGACCCCTGGCTGGTTGTAGCTGGCCTGCCGCTTCGTAACAGGCCACGGAGGTTGGCAATGGTTCGAACATTGTAACATTGTCTTGTACGATGTTGAACACTGAAGACAAAAAGAAAATAATGAACAAAATATTGTGGAAAACCAATGAAAACCAATTGTTTTACGCATAATTTGTCCATGGCACTCGGAGCACAGGACATCTCCAGATGATCCTGAGCAGCTTGGAGCCAAGTTTTCGTATCCAGTGAATGGAGGGAGCGGTTCGGGTTAAGGAGCTTTAGTTGTTTCCATATGTATACATATACATATTCCCCATGAATAATTGGCCAGTTGGAGCTACAAATTGAGTACCCCAACCTTATGATAGATAAGCTGTCCCCAGTGTTTTTTTCTTGTCCAATAGCCACCAGCTAGATCATGAGTCAATGAGTGCATGAATAGCCACTTATTTGAGGCCCTGTGGGGAATGTTTACTTGCCACAAGGGGTTGGTGATTTCATGACAAGGCAGCATGTTGGTTTGGTTTCCAACGATTGGGACCACCAACTATCCATCAAACATGTGGATGCGCCATCCGGAAACGGCGCGGCAGTTACACTTCTGCGCAGTTCTATTCCCAAAATTATCATTCTTATTTATAGTCTGTATAATATCCGTTTATTCTATTCTAGTTGAGAATACGGGTTGTCTCAAAATACCCCTAACATCCCCATGGTGTGTCATTTATCTTCAGCCATTAAAGTTACAGTTCTTGGGCCGTTCATTTCGCTTCATTCTGAGATGCCCCAGGAGTTGCTTTCCCCGAATTGGTTGCAAAAATTGCTGCAGAAAACAGTGGTTGTTACTACACGTTTAATAGGGATCCTGTAATGTGTTCCTGTTTGCTATTGAACATGGCGGGGTTCCTGTAGGGTTAGTTCCTTGAACCAACCCAATGAATTCTAATGAACATCTTTCTTGATCCCCAAATAGGATATACTATGCATACCACATATCCAAGATTATCATGGATTATCCAAGTAAGACCAAGGATGGTCAGGGTAGTAGCCCGCAACATATCCATATATGTCCCCATATATGGGCCATATCCCTAAAGATGCTTCTCACTATACTCCAATTCGCTATGAAATCAGCAGGGGGCCAGCTGCCTCATGCCTCAGCGAGGTCGGTGTGTCAGTGGGACCTCGGCAGTGGTGAATTGCTGGGTAGCTTCGAAGGTCACGACGATGAAATCAACGCGATCTACGCCACCAAGAAGCGGATCTTGACGGGCGCGCAGGATGGCACCGCGAAGGAATGGTGCTTGGAACCTGGGCGGATGTTTGACGGATTTTGGATGAACTTGGTGTTTTGTTTCGAGTACAATGGTTAAATTATCATGAATTAGTCGTGGTTTGGGTTCGTGGGTTGGACCCTCGGTTAGGAGGGAGCTGTGAGGGTCTGTTAGGATCCTGCTGGTTGCATCGATCTTCATATAAATGGGAAGCCATGAAGCTACTCAGAGTCTCTCTGCCGCATGATAGTTTAAATTTGAGATGTTGGAGGATTTAAGTGCTGATTAAGATTAAAATGATGAATGTGTGGTTTGGATTGGTGGTTTGGGGGAGTTTGGGATCCCAACAACCACTTGTGAAGGGACTTGTTGAGTGCTTGACTCGTGTCGTGACTGGCACATGGAGTTGACTAGCCTGGTGATTCAGAAGGAACCTTTGGAAGATTTTGGGTCAGCCATGTCGGTGTCATCAAAAAACGCTTTCACCAAAACATCTCGAATTCCAGGAATCCAAGAAGTGCACACGCACTTTTCGTGATCATCTCTCAAGTGCCTGCCTGCGAAGGGGATATCCCGGGATAATCGTGCTCGTAAGATGGGTGTGTCTTTAAAACGGCGGGATTCCCAATTTATAGCAATTGAATTTGAGAAAGGGATGATAATACCGTGTGGAGGGGCCCTATTTTGAGACAGACTGATATATATATATATATAATCTGATCACGTCTGATCACTGATATATGTATACATTACCTATTATTAATATGTGTTTTGCGTGTGTGTCTTGTAGCATTTTAAAACTACAAGGTCCTAAGGTGGAAAGTCAGTTGCGGTATTCAAGGGGCAGTTGGAACATTGAAAGATGGTCGGTTTGCACCAGCAATCTGATACTTTTCCTGGCTGGATGGTGATTCGAGCATAAGTTGCTGCCCCTCCTTGAAAGTGATAATGATGATGATGATGATGATAAATTAATTATGATGAAAGTGGTGATTATTTTTTTCAGTACGAATTCCTCCCCTTGTATATAGTGAAATCAGTTTTGCATGGTTATTTCTATTTGTTCTCCATGTAACATATTATAACATCAACTACCTTCCAAAGAACCCTGTCGGGGGGATTGACTGGATAACATTGAACTCAGGTTTCTTGGCGCCTTTGATTGTCATTGCCGACAAGATGTACAATGCCTCAGATGAAGAGAGAGACTCTTCGCTGCGAGACTGCGCAGGGATGTTCATGAGATACTCCTCTAATATACCATATATACCTTGAGGCGATGTTGTTAAAACAAAACCAGTTTCGGATGAACATTAGTGAACCACATTGACCATTAGTTGGTACTCCTCTAATCTCAACAACTGTATTTGGAAGATGTTGATACATTGGTTGACCACATTCGTGACATTTGGGCCCACCTCAAAACAATGACCCTCAGGATTTTTTTTGGCAGCTTTGCTGCCAGGGTTCCCAGTTGTGGCTGGGTTGAAGAGAAATTTATGTCCTTTTTTAGGGTTTAGCTCTTGAACCGTGCTAAGAACAACCCAAATTTACATAATTTTACAGATCTCAATTTGGTTGGCGGATCAATAGCAATGGATCCCATCCAGGCATCACAGGGAGGTCAATCTTGAGACGCCTTCAGGATGAAGAAACCTAAACAGATTGCAAACTGTTTACGGTATCCAAACATCTTGAATCAGAAAACTTGAAGCCACTCAACTTCCGATTTCATATGGTCCGGTTTGAGCTGTTCTGGATATGTTCCGATGTAGCATATATGATATATGTATGTATTACGGTATGAGTAGTTAAAAAATAAAGGTGTACCTACATCACATCCGTACAAGATCGTACAAGTCCATGAAGAGCCTTAGTCTGGGGACCTCACCTGCATCGTTGGGGGGTCGAACGGTTCCACCTTAATGATCCTTCATGGTCGTTTCCTTAGGTGGCCTCAAAATCAAGGTAAACAGACACTAATTCCCGGAAATTTCACTAAAACCATTTTTCGCGAATGGCGTCCTGTATGCGTGAACCATAATCACATTTTAGTAAATGAATCCTTTAATGTCAACCCCGAACTGAAAACCCTGGTTGATTAACTAGTGATGATTTCCTACTCAGATGGTACCACCCCAGTTTCACACCCGCATAGGGGTTAAAAACAAAGCAGTTGGAGTTGGAAAGACGATTTTACCCCATATTACCATCCAGATTTGCACGATAGGAAATTGCACAGGAACCCCTAAGAATGGTGGGAATAAAAAATCAAGAAAATATATGGTTTCCTGTATAGATTTTGCCTTTTCAAGATGCCCTTTTTCACCAGTTGAATCCAGGGCTTCCTTTTTTGAAATCTAGGTTTTCCCATATGATTGGATAGGTTTAAGGGAAAATTTACAGAACCATAGCTTTTCCCATTAAATATGGGGTTTTCCTGTAGATTTTCCCTTAAACCAATCCATTGACCATAGGTTTCCCATGTCGTTTTTCAACGCTGCTGACGGGCCAACTGCGCTGGGGTCTCCACTGAGGACATCAATGAATGGTCCCTGCTGACGGGCCAACTGCTTCGCCGCTTCGCAGGGCACCAGGGATCCGTCTTGAGCATCGTGATGTTGGACCAGCGCCTGGATGGCGATCTGCGCTGTCATGGTTAATGATGGTTAATGATGGTTAATGATGGTTAATGATGGTTTGAACTGGTCTGAAATATGGGCGGAAAATTTTGATGGTTTTTAAGTATGTTTTTGTGATGGTAGATCAGTTGCGAATGTGGCCATTCGTAGCTAATAATGGCGAATCTGTAGACGTGACAACGGGAAATCTCCGAACTAAAATGGAGATTTCTAGCTGGGACAAATCCTTGAACCAAATGGTGGATGTTCCACCCCAGGGTATATAAGTGGTTCAATTGCTGGTGATAACCCAGTAGAATCCAGTCAGAAGGGGAAATGATATGATATAATATATAACTGATATAACCCTCCATGAAGTGGTAATTTAACCCCATGGCCCATCTAAGTACCTTAATGGATGGGGCAGAACCCATGGGGCAAAAGTCATGGTACAGTACATGCATACCCGACCCAACAACTATCATATCTTCAACATGGGAAGATATGATTGATAATATTGATAATCCATCAGGGTGGATGATCACCCCCATTTCTCTTACTATACAATAGTTGTTTTTTTAAGGGAAGTTTGTACGACCTCTTGTTGGGTATTGTCTCTGAAGTCTTTGGGTTCAAATAAATCGAAGATTTGGGAACGGTTTCAGGAAATTGAGTACTTTCTGTTCGTTTAATTTTATTTGGATTAGTTTGCTTAAGCCACAAAAGGCTGGTCTTTTTTGAATCCGAAACGATCCATTCTTGGAGGTGATATGTTTGACCCGTACCTTCTGTGGATGAGCAATCATCATCAATCTTAACCGTTTTCTAGTTGTTTTCTATTTATTGAAGGAACGTGAATTTGTGATATCATGCCATCATGGGACTTGCTACATCAACTCTGACCCGCCGGCAATGAATTACGCCCCAGAGATGTGAAGCGAACAGAACCACCCATTTTATCAGGGTTTCTGGAGGGGTGTTTATTTTTTGGTATTTGGTGGGCACTGGGTTCATGCAGAAATTTGTTTTGATACTGAATGATTAGCTAGTATTTGGCAAACTGGTAGCAATGGGAATAGATTATGCTGAATCTGGGGACATGGTTGTACATAAAGAAATCTATCAATTATCCAGATAATTACAGGAAGCAGTTGCCAAGATAAAAAGAAGGATGCTCAGTTGGGCCGAACTTCACGAGCAACCGGAGATGTAGCTCCTATGATTTGGGTGGCAGTTTTATTTCACGTATGTGTGTGTGTGTGAAAGCAAATATATAATATATAGACATAGATTAGATTAGATTAGATTAGATTCGATAGATAGATAGATAGATAGATAGATTACATATACGCGAAGCATCAGGTGGCAACCCCAGCCAGCTCGGGCAGGGAAACCTGATGGCAAAGCAACACTTGTTTGATAGACCTGGGCCATGAAACTCCCGAAAGCTTTGGCAGGGGTTGACCATGGTTTTCCGCCAAGGAAGCTTTATAGCTCCTCAGATGACAGAAGCATCAAGCAATGGTCTTTGGCCACAGGTGAGTGTGAACAGACCTTCGAGGGCCATACTGGCTATATCAGTGCCTGGGTGGAGCTTTGCAACGTTTTGTGCCAGGTTCATGATGGTTCATGATGTTCATGGCTTGCGCGCAGACAATGAACAAATGAACCATTTGTTGAACTCACAACCTGATCTGGGTTTGTCGTTGTAAAAACAATCAACATAGAGGCTAATTAATGACAGTTTGAGTGTGGTTGTTTGGATGGGGTTGGACACAAGTTACACAAGCAACCAGGTAAAATCATAATTATGTGCAAGGATGATTAGCCACATCAGCCGGGCATGCCAGAGAGAGACTTGGCGAATGCTGTGGTGATGTGGATGTGTTTTTTCCCTCTTCGGGGCGTTGCTTTGCCACGCTTGGGATCTGTATCCCCAACAGGGAGGAATGCTCACGGCGAAGACGTGGACATTTTGATTCGAAGTTCGCCTCTGAAAATGCACATTGGAACCCCCCAAACATATGAGTTTTAATTACCGTATTAAGATCAAAAAGAATAAGTACACCCCACAGTAATGGTTGATCTTGGAAAAATTATGCTGACCTTAGAGGGGTTCGCCGCAGAGGAGGCCGAATGCAAGGAGAAATCATCCTAGTTCTGTTTGTATTTCCGGGTTTAAAATCAGAGAAAATCAACATGTTGACACAAAATGGGAACTGGGATTGGAAAACGTCTTTCTTATGTAGATATGGCAGTCTTGTTTGGGCGGGTCCATGTTGATTTTTGGGGTGCTGCGCAGTTTTTGTTCTGGATATTCTCATCACATATGGTGCAGTTTGCACAAAAGCCAGCTGCTCCGTCAGTGGCATGGATTGCAGAAACTGCAGTTCGCGTCAAATCTGAGATTGCACTCGTTTGTGCTTTGGTAGAAAAAAAACTGCAAGATGCATGAAGATTCTGCTGGTTTGTAGCTCAATATTTGCGCTGCTCGAATCCCAAGCGGTAAACCTGAAAGACTCAAAGACCCACACACCAAACTGTTCCGTTTTTTTGGGGAGGCCTGCTAGATGACATTCTTATACATTCTTCATCTACGTCTGAAAAGTGGGAATTGGATCTGTCATGATCTGGCCACACTTCCTCACCGTCCTCACCTGTTCCCTAGATCTATACCAGTTTGGGAGATCTCTGGAGATGTTGGGCCATGATTTTTTGCTGTGGTACACCGGTGCAGCAGCTGTAATCAAGGCGCATGTCAAGCCCGGGCAACAGTTGACCAGTTAGGAAGAGTTATGGTTTTTTCTTCCTCCCGGGACATCCCAACAGAACTGCATAGCATAGATAATTAATGATAATTATAGAATATTATAGATATGATTGACACCTATCGATCTACTGTAGCAGCTTTCAAGCTGTGCAATTGAACAGCCTTGGGCCAGGTATGGCCAGGTCAAGGGCTACCCCGACCCCAGACTGCAGGATGTTTCAAGAATCTAAGCCACCTCAAACACAGCTAAGTCTCATCGACTGGAGGCCATTGAAATGCCGGCACAGCTGAATGCAGCTTATATTTAGCTGACATATTAGGTGACACCCGATGACAACTTAGCTGCAGACCACTTCCTGTCCTCTCCGTGTCACTCCATGTCCTTGGTCTTCGCCCGCCGAGCTGAAGTGGCATCTTGGCACGGAGTTCGGATGGGGATGGGCCCATGGTGGACGATAGCTCTTGAAGAACAAGATGGGTATGGGTCAATACCTATAGATACATTTTTAGTGGGATGAACATCCATTTACCAGCTATTTTGATGTTCACTAGGTACCAGGGTTTTGACCCATAGTCCTGAGGCCCAAGTTCCTGCCAGCAGGTTGGACTGCCCCCCGCTAAATCTTGGGCACGTGCAGCAATGGATGCCAATCTGTTAGACCCACCCTTTACAACTAAGGGCACCATGTCGATTCTCTGTGAGGTTCAATGTTTTGACAGCACCCAGAAAGTCCATGTACTTCGCACAGCTCTGAAAGGACGCATGTTCAGGCTGGAAGGCACTTTGCCTACGGAAGCCACTGCCCTTTTGTTGGTAAGAGTCAAAGTGAAAGAGATGCAGACGGACCGTCCTTTGCTGACTGTGACACCTGACACCAAAGTTTTTCAGAAGCCCTTTCTGGTCCAACAGGATCTGGTGAAAGTTGTTGAGTTGTGCTCAGGCATGGGTTGTTTGGGCTTTGGCCTTGAGCATGCAGGTTTTCAGATTGTCCAACGGTGCGACTCCAATGCTCGCATGTTGGAACTTGCTTCACAAATCCATGATGCCCCCACGACCGTGGGAGATGTGTGCAATGACAGCTTGTTGCCGGTGCTTGGTGAGACATCTTTTGGTTCCATCGCGGCTGGGGTGGCTTGTCAACCCTACAGTCGACTGGGGGACCGTAGACAAGAATGTGATCCCAGATCCCTCACTCTCCCAGGAGTCCTCTGGTTGGGATTCTTGAATCGCTGTGGGATAATAATCATTGAATGTGTGGATGCTGCTGGAACCTGCCAATGGGTCCAAGGGGTTTTGAAAGCCTTCGCTGCTTTGACGGGATATCACATTGCTCAAGGGACCTTGCACCTTCACCAGGCGTGGCCAGCACGTAGGAGCCGATGGTGGTGCATTCTCACACATCCATGTATCGGTAAAGTGCCATGGGAGCCCATGCCAACATGTTCACCCCTGCCAGTGGTAGCCAATCTGATTGATCAATTTTTGCCATGCTCCGAACCAGAACTTGCCATGCTTGAATTGGATTTGTACGAGCTCAGAAGGTTTGATGCATTTGGTTTTGAGAAGAACGAAGTGAAATGGGCCGGCCAAATGGCGACCAGTTTACATAGTTGTGCCAACCAGTTCATGGCGTGCCCATGTGGCTGCAGAGCATATGCATTCACTGATCAACGACTGAATCAAGGAGGTTTGCACAGCCTTCTCATCCGCCTGGAAGGATGTGCACAATGCGGCAACAATGTGTACTGGCGTCACAGGTACATTCACCCTGATGAGCTTGCACTTTTGAATGGAATGATCCCAGGTTTGCCATGGGGTTCGAATTTCAGGCTGGTTTTGTGTGCGTTGGGACAATTGGCATCCCCCATCCAATCCACATGGGTAGGATCTTTGGTTTTGAGACAACTTGCCACCCGAGACTTGTTTGGCCACCTGGTTGACCCTCACAAGAATCTTTCAGAGTGGATGGCAAAGCTTTTACGCCACAGGGATCAAGTTTTTGGACCACCCGGAAAGCCACAGACACAGAGTTTCCAACACATGGTAGATCAGAAAGAATTTGTGCAAACCCCCATCATGCGAGCCATTCCCAAACCGAGCGCAAAGCCAGGAATTGCCAATGGTGAGAATGCAGCAGAAGAGCCCGGAAGCCTTGCCGTGCACACCAACTGGCCAGATGAGAAGCATTGCAGTGAAAGCAAAGTGACCAATAACCCTGCCCAACTGGCCGATGTGGGTTTTGCCTTTCATGAGACACCGACCCCCGGAATTGGGGCTACTCCGGGTAACCATAATGCCCTGGATGAAGCTGTGATCAATCCTCCGAATCATGAACCATCAAATACCGAAACCATGGCCAAACCATCACTGATGACAGGTCCAGATGCAGCCCAAGTGACATGTTTTCATGCTGGTCCCGGTGACATCCAGTCACGGACTCCCGGAATGTGGGCCACTCCGGGTGACAGTAATGCCCATCCTGAACCTATCAGATCGACACCAAAGCCAGACGCAGCAGGTGCCATCCCGTCTTGTTTTCATGCTGGTCCAGGTGACAACCGGTCACGGACTCCCGGAATTGGGGCTACTCCGGGTGACCATAATGCCCATCCCAAGCCTGATCAAAGTGGTAGATTCCAAGCTTTGGACCACATCAATTTTGATGATCATGACCGATGCACGCCTTATCCTGCTGTGAGCTTTGCTGGCCTTTTGGCCCCAACAGATGCAACCAAAGGATGCCCCCCCCAATTTGCTGGTCCAGATGACACCAAGTCATTGACCCCCGGAATCAGGGCCACTCCGGGACACCACAATGCCCTTGGTTTTGCAATTGGATTGGATGCAACAGAACACATCGGAATGCCTACTAAGGTTCATGAATATCCGCATCAGCCGAAGAGAAGTCATGCCGAAGCCACTGCAGCAGGATCCACCATTCCCGGAATCAGGGCCACTCCGGGTGACAATAATGCCCTGACCAACACTGCCCAGGCTATCGAGGGTGGACATTGTGCTGATGCAGCCACCCCATGCAACACCCCACAGATGCCAGGAGAGACCAATTCGAAGCACGCCACCGATGGCGCATACACTGAGCAACCACCAGAACTGCCGTGTGCTGAGTGGAAAGGTTGCCCATCACCGATTGCCAAAGGTATGAATGATGATGAAAGTCCCTCTTTGAGCATACCTCATCAAGATGCCACATCCAATGCCTTTGCCGAAAAACGTGAGACACATGAACACACCAAGCATCATGGAAGCAGCATAGATGCACACCCAACAGAATCCACGTTTGACCATAAGATGCCACCCGGAATTGAGGCCACTCCGGGTCACCAGAATGCCTCAACCATGTCCCCCGGAGGACCCATCACAGAACAGGTTGCCTGCCCTGCTAATGGAGGGGTCATTGGGTTTGCTGCACATCCCCACAAGAAACGTCGCTGTGCTACACCAGGCCATGGCGAAGGTACCAATGTTGCACCATCGACTTTGACCAAAGGACCGACCGAAGCAGTGCCGATTCCAACCCAAGCTTTGGACCACCATGACAGCCAGTGTCACCATGTGCCTCAGCATCCGCTGACCAAATGGAATACCAATCAAGACACAACACCTGCAGAGAAGAGTGAACAATGCCAGGAACATGACACACACGGTCAGGGTAACACAACGCTTGTACCGCACGTCACAGGTCCGACACATGAAACCCCCCCTGAAGCCAAGCTGATTTCAATTTTGATCATGCATGCCTTTGAGGGATTTCCCCATGTATGTCAGGTACCAGTTGGAACCACTGCCGTGCAGGTCCTCCAAGCTGAATCAAACCTACATGGACTCCAATTTGTCCCGGTTACATTGATGAACACCCATGTCCCATTAGGAGTGCCATTGCATGACCAACAGGTTTTGGTTCTGGTTGAAGATCCGATGACTTACCAAAGCTGCCCATTCACAGATCCTGCTAGCCAACCACCCTCCATTGCCATGCCAAACACGCGCCTTCAGGCATTGTGGAAGCAACTAGCTTGGGTTGCTTTGGATGAAATGGAATTTTTCCTGGAGGCCACCATGGTCGATGATGCGGCGATCCCTTTCCCACCAGCCAGCTTCCGAGCTGGTGAAGAGGTCAAAGAGCGTGGTGAAAGTTGGCTGCAGCCAGCCTTCGACTCTTGTGAACACTCAGGAGGTACGCCATGGTGTTCTGCAGCAATCGTTGCCAACCATTGGATCCCTGTGATTGTAGTTCAGCAAGGAAATACCATTCACTTTCATACTACCCCTGAAGGGTCGTGTTTCGTCCAGGTTGCGGAAGCCCTCACCCACCAACAGGGGAAGACATCCGAAGTGAAGCAAACACTCCTGCCACAAGCATTTCCTGCCGACTGTGGTTTTCAGAGCCTTGCTTGGTTAATTGCCATCTTGCAAGACAATCCGGTCGAACCGCTGCCTCCCAACAAAGCAGCTCAGTGGAGAACGTTGTTTGCTCGGGAGCTCCTCACCCATCAGACAGGCCACCAAATTGTCACCCGCCTTGATCTTGGAGGCCACCTTGAAAGCCATGAGATGCAGCAACTTGTGTCCCTTCTCAACTCACATGGGGTATGGCCAGACCGAGCCAATGAACGAGCAAATCAAATTGTCTCCAAGATTTCCTTCCAGACAGTACGAAGTATCCTGAAATCGCCACGACCGTGGCAAGACCCCAAAGCCGCTGCAAACAATCTGTCCCCGCCGTTGAAGTTGATCATGACAGATGAACTCAACAAGCAGATTGAAACCCGAGTCCAACAACGGAAGTACGGCAAGAAGACCACAGCCAGAGGACGAAGGATCGATGGCCCGAAAGACAATCCTGTCTTAACAGCAGCCGAAGTTCAGGTACCGCATGGAGTTTTCCGCCAACAAGATGGCACAGTTTTGGGGCCCCTGCACATCAATGAAGTTGGACCGACTGCTAAGGGAATTTTGGTTCTGGATCAAGAAGATTGCCAAGCCACCCTGCGACTTCCTAAGCCAGTTTCGCCACATGGTTTGGCAGTGATTGTTCTGGCCACAGCCGAAAATGCAACAGCCCATCCAGTGGATTCCATTCGGTTCCCAGCGCTGTGTTTGTCCACCCAAGAACCTTTGATTGCCTCAGGGTACATGTACCAACTTGGATCCCAAACAGTGACACGTCATGAACCCCAGACGAAGCTGGCCATTGAAGAACGTGAGACTGAAACAGTGCGATGCCTAGTCTACAAAGACCAGGCGGGCTCCTTTTGGGACGATATCCAGTCACACCCAGTGAAACATATCTTCCAGGCCGAACCGCTACTCAACAGTGCATCCGGGTCTCAGTCTCCTGTGATCGATGTATGGGACCGCCAATGGGTCAGCAAGAAGTATGAGAAAGTTCGTCCAGCCAACGCAGAGGTCTTTCTGTTTTCCTTTCGAATGAATGCAGAACCACTGGAAGAGTTGGTTGCCAAAAGTGGTCAGACTGGATTTTTTTGGGAACCAAGGTCATCCTGCGGTAGATACCCAAATGCAAATTACCATGTCACTTGGCTCCAAAGCATGACCTTTCAGGATGCCAAGTACGCTCAGCAGACATCACCACAGGCCACCTCCTTAGCCCGTCACGGCGATCGTTTTGGCCTTAGATGCGACACCATGAATGCACAGGAGATCCATGACAAACACAGACCCAACACACCCATGCTCCTGGGCCACACCAAGACCACATACATGATCGGCCCACTTCCGTACTCCACTACGAGAGAAGCCTTGATCAAACTTTTGAAAGCTTGGGAATGGGATGCCAAACCTTTGCAACCCAGGGTTAGAAGTCAAGACGGCCAAGGAGTCAACTGGTCCATTTTGGCCACTGAAGATCCTGGTCATTGGGTATATACATTGCAGCATGGTGACGTTTTGGTGTCCAAGGTTCAACCAGAGAAGCAAACCATCAGCCCACCGCAGTACTCCATCGTGGCTTCCAAGAAGACCATTGAACATCTACAGGCCACTGCAATTGACCCTTGGATCAACTATGACCCGTGGAAGCCAGAGACTCAGAAACCCAAGCCTGGGAACGCCAAAGTCCCCACAGGTACCAGCCAATCAGCAGGACTGACACCAGCCCAATTGGCCACCCTGGAGACCAACCTCACCAAAAGCCTTGCCCAAAACCTGAAGAAAGGCTCAGAGGAAGACATCAATATGGAACAGTCAGCCATGGAAAACCGCATTGCACAGCTTGAGCACCAGTTCAATCACATGCAACAGGCCCAAGCATCTACCGACACTAAGGTGTCACAGCTGCAGACCCAGATCGACCAACAAAGCCGGTCGCTTGGGGATAAGATCGATCAGAAGATGACAGAGCAGATGGACCGCATCGAGCAGTTGCTGTGCAAGCGGATCCGCCATGAATGACTAGAGGCCAAACCACATAATTATGGTCCCAGTTTGCAGCACAGGGAGTCTAACTTAGCCTCCATCAAGCCGAGACCATTTGCAAGATTTCGCCCACCAGTGACAACACTGGCCATCAAGAAATTTCGTACCATCATCATGATGTTTGTTTTCTTTGCATGCTCAATCCGAATGGGAGAAGCGCAAGTGCCTGGCCCAGTTCTAGGCAACATGAATCCCACCGGCTTAGCCGGAAAATCTGCAGAGCTGGCCACTCTGGCCCCAGGAGTTTTTGCAGTTCAAGAGACGCACCTGACATCAATTGGTATTTCCCGTTTCAAACAAGAACTCAAATGGAACAAAACAGGGATGAAGTTGCACCATGGTTTTCCTGCACCGCCCAAAAACAATTCCCTGCGTACAGTGGGGGGGAAACAGACTGGGGTTGCTTATGTTAGCTCATTTCCATGCAGGCCCATTCCACATCATTGGACTGACTCAGACTACCAAACAGGTAGATGCATGACAGCTTCTGCATTCGTCCAACAAAGGTGGATAACGATGGGCAATGTCTATGGATATAGTGAACGCTCCCACTCAGTCGAAGTGCAACAACAGACTGCCCAGTTGCTTGATGGACTCACGAGCAGAGTGGTTGACGGAGCCCAAGGTCTTCGAATGATCTCAGGAGATTGGAACCTTGAAAGACCTAACATTCCGGCAGCCGACTATTGGGAATCCAAAGGGTGGTGGGAGGCTCAAAGATTTGCACAGGTGAAGTGGGGTCACACACCCAACAGTACCTGCAAACATGCCACCATCAAAGATTTTGTCTTTTTATCCCCTGAAGTTTTGCCGTACGTGGAAGATGTGCATGTGGAATGGTCCCATTTTGCCGACCATGCAGTCATCTTGGTTCACTTGTCTGATCTATCCAAACCCCCCAATGTTCCCATGTGGCGTAAACCTGCTCAGTTTGGATGGCCAAGCAAACAGGCCAACATGATTGAATGGAACCAACATGCCTTGCCGAATCATGATCCCGATGAATGGTATCGCCAAATATGGAATAACGTAGAGGACTATGCTTCAAGTTGGTGCCAAGCTAATGGGAGCCCACCTCTTCAACCACATCAAAGAGGGAGAGCCACCACCACTGAGGTACAATGGTCCCAGCAGCAAGTCACCCCTATCAAGCCCAACCGACGAGGTGATTTCCAATCCCAGCTTTCCATGACATGTGTGCAACACAATAGATGGACCAAACAGATCCGCAGACTGCAGCATATGGCTAGATGTAACATGCATGGCAGTGTCACCAACATGGAACATCGCGCCTCCTTGTGGGGCAAGATTCGCCATGCTCCTGGTTTCCCTGGTAGTTTCCCGGCGTGGTGGGCGGCCTTGCCCAAACAATTCTTAGAGACACCGCCTTTGCTTTCATGTACTCCTCCTAATGCATCGGAAGCCAATGCGATCTACTTGGAATTTAAGCGGGTTTATAATGCCTTGGAAGCCAGCCTCACCCAGGCCAAAGCCATTCATGCAGTTGAACGTCGGAGTAGAGACCCGCTGTTGATCTACCGAGACCTTCAAAAAGAAAGAGCCGAGCCTGTTCAAACGGTGGTAGTAGAAACAAATCTTGACATCACTCAGGTTGATCATGTAGATGAACACCAAGCCATTGTTAGCTTAGCTGCCCCATTGCCCACTAGCATGCATAGTGTCCCGGTCCAAGGGGTTGAAGTGGCCATCACCATGGTTGATGACTGCAAAGTCAAGATGCATCCGTCTGCAGCCGCAGCATGCTCATCTCATTTAGTAGTTCATCACACTTTGGCCAATGTCACGGAGGTGTTGGCTGCTTTTGAAACCGAATGGGCAGCTCGATGGCAAAGACAAGTTGATCATCACAGAGAGCACTGGGAGGCCATCATTGACTTCATGCGCCACGCCATACCGGCCAGGGAAATCCACTTTCCTCCCATCACAGCGGAAGCCCTGGTCAAGACAGTTGCCTCCAAACGAAAACATGCCGCCGTTGGTCCAGATGGAGTGTCAAAAACAGATATCCTTCATATGCCTCAGTCTGCCTTGGATGACATGACCACCCTGCTGGCCCACATAGAAGGAGGGATGGCATGGCCCACACAGTTGGTCACCGGCCACGTGGCCGCACTGGCCAAAACGCCCATGGCCCAAAAAGTCAGCCAATATCGCCCCATATGTGTTTTCCCTATCTTGTATCGTGCGTGGGGCAGCCTGCGCGCACGACAGTGCTTGCAGTTTCTAGAAAGTATTGTTCCCACCACATTAATGGGCAATATTCCCGGTAGATCCCCTCAAAAACTGTGGTATCAAGTCCAACAGATTGTGGAACACTCTTACTTTTATGGAGCTGAGGTTGCAGGAGGAGTAGCAGACATAGTCAAATGTTTCAATGCCCTTCCACGCTGGCCATTGTTGGCTATTGCCAAGCACTTAGGTTTTCCCAGCCAAGTTGTCATCCCATGGACTGCGGCCCTTCAGCAAATGCAAAGGAGGTTTCAAGTGCAGGGGTGTGTTGGCACACCTATTTTCAGCAACAGTGGTTTTCCAGAGGGTTGTGCCATGTCGGTTGTTGCCATGGCTGTTGCCAATATCACGGTAGAGCTTTGGATGTACTATCGATACCCTAGTGTGCGTATGTGGAGTTATGTAGATAATTGGGAAGTTGTCTGCAACTCTGCGAGTGATGCCATCCTAGCAATCGAAGCTTTATCCCAGTTTTGTGACCTGATGGGCCTAAGCCTTGACCATGCCAAAACATATTTGTGGTCCACCACCATTGCGGGCAGGCAGACCCTCCGAAATCATGCGAAACACACCAGGTTGTATGCCAGAGACCTGGGTGGGCACATGAACTACTCCCGGTTGCCCACCAACCGAACTGTTCAAGACAAGATCCACGACTTGTTGCCATTCTGGACGCGGCTTGCCAAGTCACCAGCCCCCATGACCCAAAAAGTGAGAGCCATTTTGGTGTCAGCATGGCCCAATATCTTTTATGGCATTAGCACGGTTTGCATCGGAGCCAACCACTTCCAACGACTCCGGTCTTTATGCACCAAGGCACTGAACGTCAACCAAACAGGAGTTAACCCAGACCTCCAGCTTTCGTGCGTTTGCTGCCCGCCAGTGGATCCAGAGTTGTATTGTACCATAACAACCATCATGGCTTTTCGTAATCACCAGTCCCAAGACCTTGCCCAGTTTACACTGCAACACCTAGCTGAAGGAGACACGTCATCATCTGGCCCCTGCAGGAGCCTTTTCACCGCTCTCCACAAGTTAGCCTGGCAATGGATTGATGGAGAAACCTGCCTAGATCACGATGGTATGATTGTCCAGCTGGTTACAAGCCCGAAGGACCAGCTCAAGCAAAGAATCACAGCAGCATGGCAAGTTAGGACCTTGCACCTGACGGAGTCCCTGCGCACCACTATGAAAGGTTTGGCCAACACCGATGTGGCCCTTACTTTGTCAGTTTTTCAACGGATGCCTCAGGAACACCAAGGTCTCATGAGATGCGCTCTTAATGGCACTCAGTTCACACGAGACACCATGTTTCATGCAGGTACAGTTGATGACCCAAGCTGTAAATTTTGTGGTGAACCAGATTCACAAATGCACAGACATTGGAGCTGCAAGTTTTTTGCGGACATCCGAGCCCAGTTTCCTGCAGTCCATGATTTCCACACATGGCCCAAGTGCATGCAGTGTCATGGGTGGTTGCCTCGCTCATCAGACCTGGTTAAACTGCGGAAAAAGTTGCTGTGCGTGCCAGATACCAGTGACAAGTTTTCCACTCCTGCCTTAGTTGACTCTGCCCTGAGTTTTGTAGACTTGTTCATGGATGGAGCATGTATCCATCCCACTGAAAAGGATACCAGACTCGCCACATGGGGAGTCGTGCAATGGACAGGACAAACTTTTTGGCCTGTTTCCCATGGGGTAGTTCCAGGGCTGAAGCAGACGAGCCTTCGCGGAGAACTGATGGCAGCGCTGTCAGCGCTGAAATACTGTGTTTTTCTTGGCAAGCCTTGCAGATTATGGTTTGATAACGAAAATGTATATGCCACCTTGAAAGCATGGACGGATGGCGCAGAGGTTTCATGGAGGCACAAACCAGATGCTGACCTCTGGCACCAGTTGTTAGTTCAGTTTTCACATGCGCAGCCGTTTCTTTCCATGGTTCTTAAGGTTCAAGCCCATGCACAGACTCAGCAGCAAGAGTCAGTACTGGATGAGTGGGCAGTACAAGGGAATTCAGCAGCAGACGCTCTAGCGGCTCAGGCTAGGTCAGATTTGCCGACTGAATTTTGGGAGCTTCACAAAGCTGTCAGACAACACAATCAAAACATGTTTAACCTTGGCACTCAGATCCATAACATGTTTGTGCAAATTGCGTTGCGAGCCAGGAACTCCACCGTGCCTGACGAATTAGCTCAACCGTGTTTTGAAACTCCTTGTCAGGTTGCAGTGGACCCAGGAGTACTTGCTCTGTCAGCTATCTCCACCGAAGCACTGCCACAAAAGTTGCAGACAGAAGAGACACCTCATGTTTTGGCCTGGCTACGTACGTTGCTTGATACAACACATGGAGTGATGTGGGTGTCGTTTCATCAACTTTTGCTGGACTACCAACGCTGTACACAACGGTGGGGACCTTTTTCGACAGGAAAACAATGGGCGAATCGCCCTCCCAACCATGAATATGAGTATAAGATACAGGTGCAGTGGTTCAGCCGATTCCTTCAATATATGTCGCGTGCTATCGAAGTTCTTTTACACACTGAACAACGAAAGCCTAGCAGTATGGCGATCACTTTCTGGTGCGGGGCAATTCAGGTTGCGATAGCCCAAAACAGACTGGATGAGGCTGATAACCATTTCAAGCGACATGCGTGTAGCCTTCCAGCCAGACAGATCCAACGTGACCTGGCTGGCATGCCACCTTGCGTAGATTGAGTGTACAAAGAATCTTTGGGGCAAGCAATTGTCTGCGCCTCTCTCAGCAATTGCTTCGGGAGAAAGTGAGAAAGAAAGTGAGGGTTTTGACCCATCCCCAGATGAAGGACTCAGGATGAATCAGGATATCTTACGCATAGCTGGTAGGGTGTCAGATGTGAGCCCTTGCAGGGCACATTCTCAGACAGATGGGTGCAAAATGGTGAAATCGACAATGGCGATGGAGAGAGAAATGTGTCATGTTGAACTGTTGCAGTCCCGCGTTGTAGATTCAACATGTCCAGAGCTATTTGCGATCACTTTTCGGCGATCATTAGTGCCATTTCGTCTTCCACAGCAGGGTACAGATTGCAAGAGCCATGGCAAAACAAGACAAGTTCAGATATGTGATATGTCTAAAGCATTCTAAAGCTTAATTGGCACTAACTATCCTGGTTTTATGACTCATCTTTGAATCATCTAACCTGACACTTGTTTTTTCCCCATTTGAATCCATTAACATCCGTTTCATAGATGATTTGCCCGATTCAAGATGAGAAAGGTCAAGTATATAAAAACAATGTATACTGCAGATACTTGGTAAGTGATAACGGATTATAGCATATCATAGTCTTAACATAGTATTTAATAGTAAGGTACAGTCTAGTGAAGTCCAGTGCAGTTAAGTACCGCATAATACACTATAGATCCGTATGCTATCACATATATGCAATATATATATATATATATATATATATATATATATTGCATATATGTATAATTATATATATATGCACACCATTTGTACCATATCTGTATATAATTGGATTTTGCTATACCATATACACACAATATATATATATACATATACATATATTTATTGTATATTTATTATATATGTTTGTTATAATTGCATAGCTCAGCATTTTTCTATCGCAATTGCCCAAGGGCCTTCGAGAGGGAGATGTCCAACTTCGACCCGGTGACTCCGGGCCGCGCCTTCCAGGTGCCATGGCTCGGATGTCCGAGCCATGGGATGGCACCATGGGATGGCACAAGCTGGGAAAACTCGGAAAACGTAGGCGATCTAGTGGAAAAAACCAGAGAAATGAACCGAAAAGATGGGCCATGGGATTAGTTAATATTGACTATTTATAGTTAGTTACTGGATTACTGGCTGATAATTCACTGGGTCTTTTTGGCCGGCTATGAACAACAAATCCCAGGGCCCACCTGGTTAGATCAAATCAACTGACTTTTCCCGCAGGTCATCTGGCGATTGCGATTTTATGGTGGAAATCATGAAATCCCAATGGGAGAAAACAGGAACATTTCTGTCAGCGTGGGAATTTCTTGGCTGAGGGGAGATCGTTTTTTTTTTCCCGTTTTTCCAGGAAATCCGGGTGAATAGGGATACGCAAAGTTGGGTTGACTGTTCAAGCAGCGGAAGGCAGGCGGAAGGCATTTGAACAATGTTTGATCCGCATAGCCAACAGGTAGTGAGTCCGATCCACACTGGTGTGTGGCAGTAGTTCTTTTATGGTCATGTGGTACCCCCGCCACAAAAAAAACAATCTCCTGTACCTGTTCAACCGAACATGGGCAGTATGAACATGTATAAACATGTATAAACCATCCCCAAATTGTGGTTTTGCCATTGATTTACCCTCTGGTTATTTAACATAGCCATGGTATAGATGGCCCATAGAAATAGATGGTTTACCTGGGTTTACCTATTAAAAATTGATAAAATTGTGATTTTCCATGGCTGTGTTAAATTACCAGAGGGTACCACATAAAGCCAGGTTCCTGCCATGGGAAACTCGTTGCAGCAACATGAGAGGCCGAGTGGGCAAAGTGGCAGAAGCAGCTGCGGGAGTGGCGTCAGTCTTATGATGAGCCTCGGCAGCCTCGGGCTGAAAATTGGAGACGGTTTCTACAATGTGGGGCCCCCCAGTTATAAGTTTGTTTATAAACCCCATTAACTATAGTTATAAGATGTTATAAGTACCAAAAACCATAGTGAAATTGGAGTTGCAAACCAACTTAGCTATCTTGGGGGCCCCACATTGTACATGTTTCTACCATTTGGTTGAAATTTATACCACCCCAATTTTGTTGGGTATGAAAAAATGTCATGTAGTTCATTGAAATAACCCTCCGATATGTTTTGATGTGATATCATATGATGTGTTATTGTTCTATACTATTTTGATATGTGTCGTTATTTATTCTTTTATATTTTATTGCGTTCTATTTTGTTTGTTGAGTTTTTTGATTTTGGGTTGAATGATTTTACAACATATGATTTTAGATTGCATCCTTATGATATGTTATGATAGTTATGCAAATAAGTCCCAGTCCCAGGGGATATTGTTGTTTTCTCATAGTTCCCCGCCAATTTCTAGCTTCAGGGATTATGGGTGTCTCATGTTCATACCTCCAAATGCCTCGGCGCTGCCTTGCAGCAATCTGTAACAAGGAAGGAACTCTCGAGGAATAAACTTGTGAAATCGCTTTCCCAGGCAGCTGAGAAGTATTTCCGCCAGCGTATGAGAAGACACCAAAGAAACATGCCAACTGCCGCAACTGCCATTGAGATTTCTGATGATTCTGACGAAGCAAGATTTTTGAGCTGTAGTTTGCCATCCTGTCCCTGTGACCTTCTGAGCTGTTTTGTATCACCATATGCATGTTTCATCATTTTTCATTTTAATCTTTGTACGATATCGAGAGAGATGTGCCGAGTTGCCTTTGTGGGGCATGCAGGGCGCAGGACATGAAAGTGAAAGTGCTGGTGATTCCAAGCTGTGGTGAACAGCACGGTTCACCCCATAGCATGGCTTGTGGGTCACAAGGAACAACGCAGGGAACAACGCAGGCGGCACTTTAACTGAGGGTCTATTGGATGATGGATCTTGATTCTGGCTTCGCTCTTTGTGTTTTTCCGCTGACTGGGAAGAAGTTCATTCTTTAGGAAGAACTGTCATCATTCATTAACCAACGCACTAATTAGGTCCAGTCCGACCCCAGTCCCGTAATCCGATTGAGCTTGAGGATTGGTGTCAAGTGATCCAACAGCTTCAAGAATGGGATGAAAAGGCGCGCGTCCTTGCGACCATCTTGGACCGCAGGTCTGGGGCATTGCGAGGGTCAGAGCTCCCGTGAATAGACAAAATCCTGGCATATCCTGACAACATATGAGGATTGGTTCTGCTGTACTGAATGCTTTGTCCCTTTAAAATTCAGCTTTTACATTGCCAGCTGCTAGTTGTTCCATCGTTCATGTTTTATTTCGGATTTGAGATGTTGGTTCACCTCACCTAATCCCATCAGAGGATTTCAGATTACATCATATATTATATACATTAATTTGCATTACATCCCGGAATATGTCTACATTTTTCTTAGACATTTGCATTACATCCCCATATTTCTAGATGTTTCTTAGTTCAAATCCCCTAATCCCTATATTTTGTAGATGTTTCTTAGACAGCCCTATGTTTCTAGATGTTTCTTAGTTCAAGTCCCCTCTGTTTCATCCGGCTATCTTTGTCGGATCCACCGGTGGATCCACCGGTGCCCGCGGTTTCCACCGCGCAAGGGCGTCCACGGGCAGCTGGCCTCGATCGATCCCAACTTTGACGTCTTTGCGGTGGAGATCCTGGACGTCAAATTTTAGGGGTGCTTTTTTATAGGGATAGGCCCGATAGGATCCGATAGGTATCTCTTGGGGATATCTCTTTGGGATATCATGGGATTTCCGGGAAACAAAGCCTCTGGTAATGACTCACATAGCTATTAAAATTCCATGGGTAGATTTTTCCATAGCTATGTAAACGTTTACCAGAGGGTAGATGTCCTTTTCCCATTGGTTGGCTTATTTTCTTGCGTTTGAAGAAACCCCTTGAAGTTACAGGTTTGTTTGATGATGGTATACCAGACCGGCCATTATTGGGGATATCATGATGTCATGGGAACCCTTCCTGGGAATTTGCTACGGAAAACATTGGTTTCCAATGTACGGCCGGGCCAACTATAGTTTCTTAATGTAGCTTTTAAACATACTGGTGATTTACAAATTTAGCTATGTGAAATTACCAGAGGGTTTTCATTGGCACACCTGGAAACACAACGGACAGATCTACAGATTTTAGCAGGGTTTTCCTCAAGAAAATCGTTGAAATCCATGATTTTCCAGTAGGCTTTTCCTGGAAGACCAACCTGAAGTCTTTTTGGAAAGTATCCCATGGTTTCCCCATAATTGCTTGATGGTTTTCTTCTGGAACGAGTGTTGGATTAGATAAACTATATAATAGATTATGAAACCTGGAAGGCTTCTCAATTTTCCACAGGGGTGACCTGATTTGTTGAAGGAAGAGAACCCTATTGGGATGCGCGCATGAGATTATGGATCATGATCAACGCTATGAAATGTCCGGGCATGAAACCATTGTTCTTTATCAATTGACTTTATCATATCTGATCTCCATTTTGGTTGGCTTCATCCCTTCTTTACTCTTGAGCCATCCGAACCTTGGCTAGCCATGGTTAGCTCACATCCATGTTTCCAGCCCAGGAACATCATGGATATCGGAGAAGGTGAACCTCTATTTGGCAACTTCGAATATGAGGCTCTTCAAGCTAGAGCAAAAAATGGGCTCAGTCGGTTGATACAGTTGAAGCCTATGGCTTTCATGGTTTTTGGTCATTGTCAATTGTAACTATGTGTAGTTAATATAGGTGTTCTATGCCAGCTTACTGAGGGCCACCCGCTTGTGCTGGGAGGTCTCAGTCAAATGTTGAAATGTTATCACTCTGAATTCTAACCACCTCACTGTGGCCTCACTGCAATGATGGTTAATGAGGTGCATCATCCCAAAATGGTTAATGAATGTTAATGATGGTTAATGATGGTTAGTTCGATTAATTATCATTTTCTTCAGGTTAGTGAATTACTATAATTACTATAATTTACCCAGATCACTAGTGCACAAATAACAATTAAAGGACCTGTCGGGTATTAAGGGACCTCAGATGTTTGCATCGTGGCCGCCATGTCCCATGCATTTAAGATCGACTTTGCAGGATTTCTTAAGCGATATACCAGATGTATCCAGATATCGAATTGAATGTGTGCATTTGCTGAAACACATCATGCACTACCCTTTTTTTGCAATCTAAAATTATCATTAGAAGGTAAGTCATCAAAGTATCAAACTAAATTATCGAGAAACCAGCTATGTAGCAAATTACCAGAGAATATCATGTGATACCATTGCTGGCCAGGATTGGCTGCTGTTGAGTACCAAGGCAAGGATTTGCAGTGGCAAAGCCAATGGTTCATAGGGATTTGACCCGCAAAACATCAGAAATTGATGTAACTTGTATGGGAAATATTGGGAATACATGGGATCTGGGATAGTTATATTAAACAATTCCCGATTTCGCCAGAAATGGGTTGGTCTTAACTTAAGCATCATTTAATTCAACTTCACCAAATTTGGCTTGGGGTCTGGGGTCGTTAATATCTTCCTCCAAATCATAATCCCAGCCCCGCCAGCATTCCCGGTCTGGCACTGGATTGTTTGGGTGCAGATCACAGTCATTCAGCCAGATGGACTAGATGGACATGGGCAGCTCACACATTGGTAGATGTGTGTGTGTGTTGTTGTTTTGTTTCATTGATTTTGTCCCATGGCGTTAGAGTTAGAATACGAAAGGGTAGGTACATTTATGGCCGGCCCCACCGGGGCTATCATTCGGACCAGGGGCCATCATTGCACAGGGAGATGCCCCCGGTCAACTGGCTACGTTGGTGAACTTCAGTAGGTGAACTGGGGCATACTGGGGTTCATGGTAGATATCTAAAATCTAAAGTTTTTGGGCTTATAAACCATTATAAACTACGTAGTTACAGTAGTTACAGCAAGTTTAACTAGGATTTATGGGATTTATGGCAGATATAAACCAGAACCCTCCATGGTGCTGGAATATTTCCCTGGGAGGTGGAACTTCATTTGTTGGTGCACCATTTTCGAGACGACACGGGTGGTGCTGTTCTCGACGAGCACACTGGGCCGCACTGGATTACAGTGGGGAACCACTTTGTGGATTTCTAGGTTTGGGGGAAGGGCATAGGTGTGCATCAAAACAACATAGCAAAACAAGGTTAAATATGTAGGCCATACTCAGTTTGACACCAACCAGATTTTTGAGGAAAATCATACTGGCAGTGTGAGCAGTTGACGGGTTTTGTTCATTTCTTTGAAGGTGGGGTAGAAAATGCAAAAGTAAAAACATAGGAGCAGTTGACCACTACAGGATTGAAGGTAGCCTGGGGCCTAGGAATATGAATTTATATGAATTTCATACCGATTGGTGGTTGTATTCTTTCACGTTCAACCATAGGGATGATGATCCTCAATGACGGCAGTGCCTGCAGCAGCTGACCGAGCCTGCATCATGCGTAATCTGCTTGGTGGGTTTCACAGATGATTTCCAACCCTATTTGGGAAGTTTTGGAGTAATATTTTTCAGGCGGGTTAGAACCATGTCATGGTCCTATTGGATCCTATTGGCCCACGATGCGGAAGCTGCCAGTCTACAGGTCGAACTTGCAGCACTACTACAAGACCTATTTTCGCAAGGACGACCTTTCATTTGGAGGGCTCTGAGTGGCGGCAGGATAAGCAATGGTAGAGGTATAGCATGATTCAATGATATAATATATACGTATAATATATATATATATATATCAATATAGTAATATATATATAGTAATACATATATAGTAATATATATATATATATGCGTTGTATATATATATATATTTATAGCAATATATATATATATGTATATTTGTATGTATATATATATATAAGGTTACAATGTGTCTGGTTGTTTCAATTTTTCAGTTATCCTTCCTATTTGGAACAGTTCAATCAATTCACCAGTTTTTGTGGACGGGTTGATGTGGCCAACCAATGCACCAATGCCAACCAGATATTGCCCATGGACGGTTGACCTGACGGATTGATGAGCGGAACATGTTTTGCTGTGCACTGTGTCTTAAAACTGTCCCAGAGTAGGTCAATGGTTCAAGATCTTTGATGCTTTGTGCAGGCCAGACTTTGCCAGACTCACCCAGATTTCCAAGAAGATGGGCCAGCAATTAGTTGTTGTTCCTTCAATTTTATTGTTGTTCTGTTTATGAAATGTGGGATTCTTTTCTTGGCTTTGGGTGGTAGAAAGGTCAGATGAAAAAAACGCGGAAAACTATGGAATTCATATTGCACGCACTCATATATCATATATATATATATAATATTAATAATAATAATAATAATCATAATCATAATCATGATAATTATAATAATGGTAATAATAATGGTGATGATAATGGATAATCTATAAATATTATTATATTATATATATATATACATACTGGCATCAAACCTCCCCCAGATTCAGAAACCCTGGGCCTAGCTGAACATTGGCGGGACCCAAAAGAGTGATGAGTGCCTAGCGAAAACTCTTGCCCTCCCACTTCGAAATAGGGTACCTCTAAAACCATTGGTTAACCATCAGGTTCCCCTTTAAATTGACAATTTTATGGATAATTACTCCATTTTCAGACAGACCCAGGTCCTTAAAATTTAAAAAACACCATTTGTGTGGGAGCAGGAGCTGAAGTTGGATGACTACGGTGTCCAAGAGCCCAGTTGTTTTTTTTCTTGTGCCAATGGATGGGGATTAATTGTTGGTTTAACCAACAACAATGGTTATTTCATGGGATATTTCGGCCTGAACGGAGGGAGCTGTGATTGGAGTCTTCTGGTTGCATTGATATTCCCAAAAAAATATGGAGCCAGTTGGGGGCTACAATCAGAAATATCAAATATAAATAAATATCAGGGCTTACATGGTCTTACGTGAGCCCTTATGTGTCATTGGTGCTTATTATGCGTATGTGGCTGTTGAGTAATGACATGGAAAGTGAGGCTTCATATGAATCTGCGGTGGAGCATCCATGGTTGAATCGTGTAAATTCTCTCAGCACCCACAGGGTTTTGACCATACAAAACCCGTTGGTCATCATCATTTCCCCATTAAGGTGGCATAAAAAGGTTGCTTGGGGGCTTGTGGGTGTCACTTATCCCCAAGTTTTTTCCATTCTTGGACAAAGCCATATCCATGGATTTATCATCACTTCAGCCGATTTCAATGAACTAAAATTAAAAGCAACAAGCATGACTGGTTGGTGGTTTGGCACATTTGTATACATTTGTTATTTTCCCATATATATTGGGAAAAATAATCATCCCAACTGACGAACTCCATCATTTTTCAGAGGGGTAGGCTCAACCACCAAGCAGATGAACATCGCGGTGAACTCCCAAGTTTGAAGTGCTGCCGTCCTGGTTGTAAGTTGCTGGATCAACCCACAAACTATAAGTATCCATAAGGTTCTATAAGTTCAAACCACCATCATCAAACCCACATATATATATATATATACATACACCATTATTATTATATATATATATACACAATAACATTTATATATAATTATATATATACATTTATGTATAATATATAATATATAATATAAATATAATATATAATATAATATAATATATATATATATATATATAATATATATAAATAACGTAATATAAATAATAAACACTAGTTCTTCCTAGTTGGAACCATGTTGGAACCCTTGGCGATTCCGCCATTTCAACAGCGGCTTACGGCAGGCCCAGAGACCCAGCGAGCTGCTGAAGCTGGTGAAGGTCATGGGGAAGCGGGTCATAGGATCAATTTTGTTTAAGCACTAAGTCACTAAGTCCTCCAAGTAGCCCTGCAATCTAGAGGAAACATGGATATATGATATATGGTATATATATATATATATATATACATATTCTCATACATATATATATATAGTGTGTGTGTATATCATATCTCTATATACATATATAATACGTAGCTATCCCATATTATGATAAGTGATTTTAGATTGTAAGATGATATATGCAAGCTCATGCAAAACGGTGCCCCAATTTGTTAGTTGAGCTGGTTTGTTTCATTAGATCCTAGGATGAATGTTGGGTTTATGACGGGCATTGTTGTTGTCAAATGCTTTTGTAAACCAACATATCTTCGCATCATAGTTGCTGTTCTATTCCACCATTTCCATTGGTTCATCTTCTCAATGGAATTTTAAGTTCAGGATCCAAAAATGGAGGTACTATACATTACGGTACCATATAAAACCATATATGTTGGTTTTATATGTTTGGTGCATATCCCCTTACATAGCCCAAAAAGACCTTGGCTGTTTCAGGATTCAGTGCACCTGACGGAGGGTTTGATGGACTTCAAGCATCCGGAGGAGACGCCCTTCGTGCACTTCCTGTCGCCTTGGTCCAACCCGCTGGGACCTGGATAGCCTCCGGGAAACTAACATAGCTATGGAAAATGACCCATTAAAAACGGGTGATTTGTAGAGTTACCCTTTGGTTATTTAACATAGCCATGGTATAGATGGCCCATGTATAGATGATTTTCCTATTAAAACATCCATTTACAAGGGGTTTTCCATGGCTATGTTAAATAACCAGATGGTATGTCAAATTACCAGAGGGTAATTCTATTATGAACTTTCTCATGTGAACTGGGGGATCAACATCAGCACTAGCCATTTTTTCGTGTGAACACGTGTGTGGGCCTTTTTAGGGGTAACTATAGTTTGTAAACTATATATAACTATATATTAATATATATATATTATTCATTTTTTGAAAAAAACACATGCTGAGACGGTTTGGGTTACTGCAACCCCAAAACACCTAAACGTCTTCCAGTTCGTATAACATCACCTGTATTTTAGGGGGTGAGTCATCAAGTTCCCTGAGGGGTTGCTAACCATCAACCCTAAAGCCAGCTCCTTTCAGCTGAGGAAGATGACCGAGTGGCATGGTTGCAGCGGGATGTTTGGTATGTCCTTTCTGTGGGCCCCGTTGGGCACTAGCATTGGGGGGATGTCTTTGTAGCAGCGGCATACCCCAAACTTAGGACGTTTGGGCTGGGAAAATGGGCTGGTGAATGGCTGGGACACGCGTTTGTTTTCAGCTATTTCAAATTTCAATGGGAAAATAACATGTTTAAAAGTCTCATTTTTGCAGGGTATCTCTAGCTTCAGTGATGATGTGTTTCTGGTTACCTCATCCTGGCAGCACCAGCCGAAAGATAGAGTTGTTCAAGGTCACACGGATGTTGTGATCATGGTAGCGATTTGGCGGTGACTTTCCCTTTTCTTCCAGGCTTGAAGCAACTAAGCAGATCTATCATTAATCACTCAATGTCTCAATGGTGAGCATGTTCCTAACTTAGAACCGCTTACAATTTTCGACCTCGTGGTTTATAATGTCTTTAAGCCACCAGCGGGGAAAAAACACATCCCCTCCACCTTGCTCGGATTTCATTAGGCCACCTCGGGCGGCCTGTCCTAGGCAGTCTCGACGGGAGCGCTATCAAGCATTGGAGGCCATGTTTCAGCGGATTGTTGGGACGCTGTGGGGTTCGGAAATGACTATGGTGCTTGTTTGGGAGACTAAAACTGTTATTTTTTTGGGTTGTTAGTTTGATGCACTTGAAATTGTGTGGAGTGCTAGGTCCCGTCACAAGTCTTGGACCTTTGTTGGGATGTTCCTTTTTGTTCTTCGGGTCGAATCACTATTAGTGTACATACCCGCTAGAAATGCCCAGCAAGGCGGCATCTAGGGTCTCATTTTACAGTTCATCCCATTCCCCCTAGCACGCCCCAGAAAGCATGGTTTAGTAGGGGATGAAACCACATACTTGGAAACATTTAGGGATTTGGGGTGTGTGACAATATTAGGATAGGAAGGCCGGGATCGCTCTTAGACTCAGGTCCTCGAGCTGTCCCGAGCAGCCAGGCCATATGTGGCACAATGTGACATGTTTGTTCTTCCCTGGGCTGAGGGGTCAAAAGCAGCAGCAAGATGCGACAGTTGAATACAGTTGACAGATGGATCCGTTTGGTATGGTGCCCCAAAACCCCAGTCATTCTCCCCACTAATATGGCCGTTTTGGGTGCCCAATTTGGGACATATCCAGATGTATGTGAGCTCAAGGTGTTGAGTTTGGAATGTCAAAAAGTTTTGTGCAAAGTGCAGCTGAGCGAAATGCCTTATTTCCACATGTGATGTTTCCGCACCTGAAGCCCGGCCTGCCGCCCATGATGGGCGATGAGTGCTGCATTTGCTACGAGTGCGGGCCAGGCCAGGTCCAGTCAGTGGTCCCAAATTTGGATCCATGACTTCAAAACCTGAACTCTGTGGGAATCTGTGGGGAATCCTGCATGGGCACATGGTGGCACATGTGGGCACCTAAAATTAGAGTAATAGGAAGGAACATCAATCCAGCTTTCGGGTTGAAAGCAGACCCATGGAAAACGAAAAAATCCAGTGGTTGAGGGATGAGATGAACATTCATGGTATGTGCGCATGTTGTGGTTCAACTTGGGACAGTGATTGTCTTGAAGGAGCCGAAGTCTTGCCATTGCCGCAGGTGTGCGCGCGTTGAATTGCAAGCATCCCGTTTGCATCAGCTGCTGTCGGCAAATGAGGGCCCTCAGCTGTCCCATGTGTCGAGCTGCACCATGGCTGCACCATGGCCATGAGTCGGACGGCAGAAAGGGCTGCAAAAAGATGCACGAATTTTTGATGCGGCGTGCAGCAGAAATATGCAGATGTTTTTTATGTTTTTGTTTGTCTTGTTGAAGCATTTTTAGTTTTCTGAGGCGTTCTTTTTGTCATCCTCGGTTTTCCTTTTTCTCTGTTCTGGATTGTTCTAGGATGGGTAAATGGCGGAACTTGTTTTGGTTTCAATACCTGCGAATGCTTTGCCTTGGTAAATTCGATTTCACATCGTAATAGTGTATATCATCATCCAACACTGGGGGCATGGCGTTTGCGTGGCTGAATGTGTCAGCGAGACTGTCATTGCCCCACAAAATGCTATCTCGCTGGAATTGTTTGTTGCATTCTGGCATTTGCAGCATTTTTCCAAAAGGCGACGGAAGGGAATACGACAAAATATGTTGTCAGGAAAATTCAGAGGACAGAAAACAGCGGAAAAGGGCGGGAAAACGGCGGAAAAGGACGGACTCTGAAAATTGAGTTCTTGCCGGAAACATGCCCAAAAGGTTTTACCACGGATTTTGCGTTTTTTCTAGCGGTTATTCCTCTCGTGAAACTTTGTTGAAAGCTGCAATCCAAGTCTCTCAATGTCGATGGAAGCCAATGCTTGAAACTGTACTGTAGTGGTTGTTTTCAGCATTGTTTTTCTTGCAGCGTTTCAATCATACGGAAATCCTTAGCAGTATGTGTGGCTGTTTGTCAGGGCTTTGGTCCCTAATTGCTTTGCAACTCCAAAAGTGGCCATGGGGAGTCCAAGTTCTTTGGTAAACTGTTGTGTGTGTGAGGCGTTTTTTGCGTTCCAGATGCATTTTTAACCCACAACGCAAAACAAAACTCATGCGGCGTTATTTTGTTGCCTCGGGGGCCTGAGGCACTTGTTTTTTGCCTGTGATGTTTCTAGGTATCTGTTAGGCTGTTAGGTACCTCCGATGTAATTAGGGTCCTGAACTGACAGTAAAGTAATGATTCTAATGATGGTGGTTTGCGGCAACGATTGGGTCCATTGATGTTGACTTTCTGAATTGGCGATAATTGGAACCCACATGTCACCCCATTCCATCGTGAAGTTGGAAAGTTGGAAAGCCCACATGGTACTATGATGTACTATGTTCATTTTTTTGTTTTCCTTCTGTCCCTTGCATTTGAACGGTTGTTCATTGTTCAAGGAATGTTTACTTTTCAGTAAACCAACATAACTCTAGCATATAGCTATGGAAAATGGTCAGTTGATAGAATGATTGACCTATTGCATCTATTTAAAAATATGATTGTCTACAGCTATGTGAGTTTACCAGAGAGTAGCGCTTAGAGAACATCAAGCATCCACAACATGCTCATGCGTTGTTGAACCCCTCCTTATTGTACTTGCATCCAAGGAGATCGACAAAGCTTTGCTCCTGGAACTTCGGATCGTTCACATGCACCGGCGAGGCTACAGTTTCTTTTCGATATCTCAACTGATACTGATGGCAAGGATTTTCAGCAAAGTTCATGGCTGATCTATAAACAATATAAACATGATTATGTCATACTATGCCAATTGTCACAATGATGTTACAAGTTGGATTATGCCTCCCACAGCGGATCTTTGGGATTTGCACTTGATTTTTCCAGTGTTTTCGACAGCATGTGCTGTCCAAAATGCTGAAGACTAATCAGGAGCTGGGGCCACAACTAAACATGTCAATGTGATCATCCTGGTGATGACTGAGGCTTGGAAGTTAACCATGGTTAACCCAGCCCGGAAATTCTCTTCCAGAAAAAATACCAGTTCGAGAGGAAGCAAAAATACTGTAAAATCACCAGCTGGATATCTATCAAGGGTATTTTGCAAGGCTGCGACAAGTGCAAAAAGGCTGTGACAGGATAGGACGAACCAGAATTGGATAGAATTGGCACTTCGACCTTCCCGCTGGAATCCAGTGAAGATGTGGTCAGATGGTTAGATGGAGAGTGGAAAAGAATTCATTTCACTATTATATCATTATATATTATATCCAATAGTTTCCAGCATGTAATTAGATGTGAAACAGCCGTTGTTGCCAATGTTTGTGCAACAGGTAGCGGATAACGGATAACCTTGCAAGATCCATTGGCACCCTCAACAGGGCGACACATCGTGACTTACTGTACAGCTTTAGTATTTTGCTGCATGCTAAGTATTTTTAGTTCACTGCTTTTGCAAATTTGAATTCAAGCACGGCATACCCAAAAAAAAGAAAACATATCAAACCCAGACTGCCCCATGATGGGTACAGGATGCAGCCACCAGAATCTGAAAACGCTGCGCCCCAGGTTTCGATTTGGTCCTGCCCATCCAGCCGTCTGGCGAGCCAGAGCACCCGCAGTCCTTCCCGGTGCACTATCCGTTTGGATTGAGTTCCAGACTTAGAAATGACCAGTGACCAGTTGACGTATGGGATGGGGCCGGTCAAGCCATTGGTATTTTTGACTGTTAAGACATGTTAGTACACATCATGATTAATGTTGGATACTGACTAGTGTAGGGTCCCCCCCCCTCAACAATTTTAGGCTACTCAAATACTCAATAACTCGGCATTGTAACGCCCCCTCAACAATTTTTAGGATAGTCAACTTAAGTAAGGATTTCAATTGACATCAATCTACTTTCAATTGATGTTCCTTTTAAATCAAAAAAAACATGGCCCCAAAAGTTTTTGTGCACAATAGGGTGCCATCGAAACAATTACATTATTGAGGATCTGGGTCCCTCATGGGGTACCGCCTTGAAAAAATGTTTGGGTGCTGTTTTAAAATAAGGAATTAATAAGGCATCTAATAATTTGGAAAACCTTGCATGGTCAAGGTTTTAGCATGGATATGGCTTTCTAAAGTAAATGGACCAACTTTACCCAAAGAAAGGTGTATAGAGGTGGATAAAGCTCCCGAGGTGTATCCAACATTATGATCTTATAAGGTGGTGCCCCCGAGCTTTTGGAGGGGTCATCCCATCAACAGTTGGTTGTTTTTTTTTGCGGTAAGCATCATAAACCCTAGTAGTTCTCCCAGTCATGTGTTAAATCTATGGTATTTCTACATTATATATACAGGTAGTATAAATAGATGATTATATATATATATGATGGGGACAATATATGGAATATGGAACTTCACATTATAAATCCATCACTGCAATTCCGACCCGGGCACCGCACATGGCACACGGTACCCCGTTGCCGAGGTTCGGACTTTGAGCTCTGCGTGCCTCCCAGCACCTTCAGGGATGCCATCATGCGCTTGAACTCGGACCAATTGGCAAGCGTGTTGGGTCCAGGGTGCCACGGAAATGATCATATATATATATATATATTTATATAATATACATATTATATATATATACATAACATGTATATATGCATGTGCATTCACATAAATATATATATATATTGAAAATGCAAGATTTATATATGTAGGATAATATCGGGAGGTGCGTGAAGAATATACATTATACACATCACATGTTGAGGGTGGAAAGGTCCACATGGTGGTTGATTCAGAGAATTAATCCATTATTTTCCAGAGAGGTTGTTACCTCAAGGCTTGATTCTAAGGAGCGAAGGAGCTGTGGATGGGTTATGTATGATTATGTATGTCCGGTCATATCTAAGGCCTAGAAGGATGTAATTTGTGTCATGTTCAGTTTAATTCAGGGGTTTATTTGTGAGCTTTGTTTTGCAAAGAACGTTTCGGTGAATGTTGAGGGCGATGGAGGGAGATGCACATGTATATTGTACAGTATCCAACGCTTGCTTGTCTCATGTCACAACATTTCAAACGCAATACTCAAACCTCTCTTTACTCAAGTATAAATGCGGATAATGTTTGCCTCTGATTTATAAACCTGGCCCCCCCCCCTCTTGATTACCTCAAATAAAGTTAAAAACTTGTTTGTATGTAAAGGTTTTCAATTACCACAATTTAAAACGAATACATAAAATGCAATTTCCAAAAAAAAACAGGAATCCAACAATTGTTTTAGTATTGGTTTAGTATTCATCTCATGGATTTAGTATTGATTTAGTATTCATGTCATGGATTTAGTATTGATTTAGTATTCATGTCATGGATTTAGTATCGATCTCGTATTCATGTCATGGATTTAGTATTGATTTAGTATTCATGTCATGGATTTAGTATTGATTTAGTATTCATGTCATGGATTTAGTATTGATCTAGTACTCATGTCATGGATTTAGCGTTGATTTGTATTCATGTCATGGATTTAGTATTGATCTCGTATTCATGTCATGGATTTAGTATTGATTTAGTATTCATGTCATGGATCTGTGCAAATCTGGGTTTAGGGCCAAAAAACATTAGCTTTATTCAGGGTCAAACTCTAATTAGTGCTAAGGCACCTCATGGGGGGTACCCTTGACGAGTTGATTTGGGATTGATTTTGGATAATTTTGAATAAAGGTTTTGAATAGAAAGAGCAACCATTATTTTTGAAAATTTGAAGTTATCAAGGTAAGATCTGATGAGCTGGCAATTTGAATCAGTACATGAAAGCCACCTCAAATAAAACTTTTTTTCAGCCCCATCTGGGCAAATCTGGGTTAAGGGCCAAAAAAATTTAGCTTTATTTAGGGGTAGTTTATTATTTAGTTTGGGGGTTTGGTTAGCTTTATTCAGGGGTAGTTTACAAATCGCAGGTCAACATTATTCAATGATATTGACAAAGGGAACTTACCTAAATGGCACCATACTCAGCAAATGCATGCAACATGGCAGAGGTTTAGCCGGTTTAGCTGAAAGTTTGCGGCAGGAAATCGCGGCTGTCTACGAAATGGGCAAAGATATTGCAGGTAGTACGACGTTTGGCTGATTCGGTGCAGATGGTGGCCTGAGAGGATTTAGTAAGGCTTCATGAAATCGCAAAGATGTTTATATATATATGGTTATTGTATAGCATGCTTTATTTAGATACTCCACTATAACATATGGTTCATATATTACACATAAACTGCCAAACCTGATAAAACGATGTTCAACACAAGATGGCAATGTTCGAGGCAAACAAACTCGGTTGGGTTGCGCCACTTGCAACTTTCGGATGCAACCAACAAACTGGCGCGAGTTCATCAGTTTACAGCAGTGCTTTCGGGTTCCGAACATTTGGGATTCTGATGTTGACTGATGGAGAGAAAGAGAGAGAGAGAGAGAGAGATGTTGACTGACTGGATTCTTGGTGGAGGTGGTTCTGCTTCAAAATCGTCAAGCAGGGAGAAATTGGAGTACTTAGTCTGCCATGTTTTCAGTTTTGTACCAACCTTTGGCAGACAAGCATCGCAATGGAAAGTGGTTGACCTAGTGAGGTTCTTGAGATTCATGAGCATGAGGATGCAGCCAAATGCTCACTCACCAAAAAGCCAAACTCAAGTATTAGTTTTCTGTTTTTTTTGACGCCATCACTTGTTCATGCATATTTTCTTTAAACAAACATCAAGATCTCATGGAAGCCTATACCGTAGTTTCTTCCAACCTTCTAAATATCATAGAATTGGATTGGAAAATTTACAGGAAACCCCTATATTTGATGGTAAAAACATTAAAAACCATGGTTTCTGTAGATTTGCACTCTTTGCCAATCCATTAAAAATATGGGTGGCCTAGGAACTGCTACCGCTGGATGCTTTCGATCTTGGCTCGTTGCAAAGTGCGAAGAGCTGTTCTCCAGCAGCTGGGCTGGAAGATTTTGGTGACCGGGCTGGGTGCGTGAAAAACAATGAAAAACACGTTGGGGCCGCTAGATGGCTATAGGCTTGATCTTAAGAAAAAAACATACAAAAACAAGAGTCTAAATTGGTTCAGATAACATCATTTTTTTGATTTTTGGATGTTTATGGCAATTTTATGGATATTTCATGCATATTGTTGGGGTTTCGCAACATACAACTGGGCGCCAGCACCTGTAGTAGATGTTCAACTGCTGGCGCCCTTAGACGGTTAGGTGAAATTAAGAAGACACATGTGGTTAGTACACCTATATTACTGTATTATTGTTGATGTATTTATATATATATATAGATCATAGATATTATTATTGTATGTTAGGTGATGTATCCCCTTAAATCCAGAATGATTGATGCTTTCAGCACGTTCGTTTGACAACCAGAGAGAGATGTTGTGATACGAAATGCAACCCGATCACAGGGTTTTTGGAGCGTGAGAAGTGCACCAGTGGGAGACAGTTTCTGGCTTTTTAGTTCGTACTCATGCCCTGATTTTCACGTCGTTGGACATGAACACTTCAGCAGAACTTCGCCTTGGAACTGTGAACCCATGCAACATCATGCAACAAACATCAACAAACTATAGTTGAAAAGGGGAGAGCCCGTCAATCGCCTTTATCAATGGTTCTATCTTCAGCTTCACTTTCTCATTCTGCTGGGTATAGCTTGTCCCAGGCAGAACTTGGAGTGGCGTTTAGCGAACATCCCCTGCTACTTCTCGCTCTCACCGGGCTGGAGCGTCTCAAGCACGACCCTCTACGTGCAGTGGGATCCAGATCGAGATGTGATTTGAGCGGACCGTTCCACGGGCCTCGTTGTGCATAAGTGATGGCCATGGATTGGTTGAGAATGATGGTTGCCGGATATTTTCCAACAAAGATGGACTACCCTCTGGTAAACTAACATAGCTATTGAAAATGGCCATTTATAGTGAGTTTTCCCATTAAAAATTGTGATTTTCCATTGCTATGTTAGTTTACCAGAGGGTACAAGAATGAATCGGTCTGGATGTGCTTTTAAAAAGTGGTTTCATTCAGCTAATGAAAAAAAAATCCTACAGTACTTGTTCATTCATCTTGTGGCTGCAAACCTCATGGCCATGGCCTGAATGGTCACTACGCCTCTCAAACTCTTTGTAGAACCATGCCTCGATAATGCTGATTAACATGAAGTATTACCCATAGGATCCATGTATGGTATATATGGTAACATTTGGGGTATATTGATGGGATCCATGTTACCATACATAGCAGCACCATGGATCCGTCATGGGTTATTTGAACCATTTTGAGACCCTATTCTCGCACGGGCGGCGGGCGGCCAGTGGCGGACCTCAGTCTTCATCCCCACAGTGTATCCGGTGATCAACTCATCGTATACCCTCCGGTAAACCATACAAAAAGCTGTGGAACATCACCTAATGTGTAAGTAAATCAACTTAAAATGTTCATGAATTTTCTATGTGCCATCACCATATCATAGCAATGTAAGAAACTACATCTTAAATTACCAGAGGCTATGAATATAACTGGTTGGTGTCCCAACTGACTAATATTGTTCAGAGGGGTTGAAACCACCAACCAGATAAGTAGTGTGAAGTATTACTTGGCATATGACGCCTCACCTTCGCAGGTCACCGAACTGAAAAAACGCAAAAGCCATGACTCCTGCCAGGGCACCCACGGCAGGAACATCAGATGACTGCTTCAATTTAGGACTGATTAGGTCATAACATCATACAACATCTCATATTAGTTGATTATCTAGTGATTATAAGAGCTGATTTTGACTGACTAGACATATTAGAACATCTCAGGTTAATTTTTGATTCAGGACTAGCCTCAGATTGAACGTCAAAAAGATGCTCGTCACACCGGTTTGTGCTTGGTCATGTGGTTCTCATATTGCAAAGATTCGTCCTTTCATGTTGTAAGTTTGTAGAAGAACCCACCACACCCCGACTTAGTTCCTATTTTAGCAGGAAATCTGTTGCGGTAATCTCCTGAGCAAATTCAACTGGATACAGGATGCAGATGGTGGGGTTTGTAGCTTAGGCGTTGGTGCCAAAGTGCACGCGGGCATTTGAATTTTAAGGGCCCAAGGTAGATACCACTCGCAGTGTCGATGACCATTGGGCTGACAAAGAACTAAAAGCAAGCAACAGCATGAAGAACCAACAAACAGTGGGAGATCTTGGAGTGTACTGACGGCAATGTTAACCCAGAACGAATAAACCCGCGGATTCCCAATAAAGGTGGGGGGGGGTACCTATGTAGATAGTATGTCTCTTAAATTGTGGCTGTTTTGAGCGCAACCACCCCGATCAAGAGGGAATGAATTAGTCCGATGTTGGCCGCAGGTTACAGTCACAGTAGCCAACCATCATTTCTCAATTTTAGCTGTCAAAACATTTGTCGGTTAACAATTTGTCCAGGCATAAGGTGTGGAGTGTAGGCAGCAGATTCGAATTTGTGGTGGTTGCAGGTCGCAAGAGAGAGAGAGAGAGACATTTCATATCATCAAACATCCTAATATCAAATCATATCTGCCATAGGGTAAAGTAACATAGATGTGGAACATGGCCCTTTTATGGGTGAAGAGTTCCTTGGACTCGAACTTGTTTGCAATCAATGACCCAACATGATGTTCCACTCATTGGCCACTTTATCACTGTAGAATTGTCACGTACCATCACGCATCATGTATGATTGTATAATGTCTTATTGTTTGTTGCCATGTGTCATCATGTGTTTTCAATTGTCATTAATTCAAAATGTTATGATGTGTTGTATCATGCGGTATCGCGTATTTTCATCCAGTGTCACGTGTTATTGGCTATGTCATGTGTTATCATGTGCTGTTGTATAGTCTATTGAAACTTTTCTTTTCCCGGGTGGGTAGTCACAAGATCCCTTTCTCGTGGTTGTGTCACCACTCTGGTCAGGCTGGCGATGAAAACGTGGCGCTGAAGTTTCCGGGTGCTGAGAAGGAAAGAGAAGCCAAGCCTCTTGGCGTGACGAGAAGAAAAAGCAGCGAATTAACGAATTAGTATAGCTATGGTTACAAACTCCTACAAGTTGGGTGAAACCCTGTATGGTTATGGGATACTGTAAGTTATATATCAACTTTCAACTGGAACTGCACTTTCAATTATTCAAACATATACAGTAGCATCAAACTATATTGCAAAATCATGTAAATGGTGTACATTGGCTCATTTAGTTGGATGATTTAGCGAGTGTCCATAGCTATGTTAGATTTTCCGAGGGAAAAACAAATGGTAAGACATACATTTAGTTGATACCAATTATTTTCAATGACTTTGTAAATCCCATGATAGTGGGATTTTACGGATTTTTTGTTGCCACGAAAGGATATAACTTGGGGGGTTGCCAGGCGACTATATACATAATTCAACAGTTTGCTTTGTTTGGTTACGGTGGGATTTTTAGGGGTGCAGCAACAGAACATTAGATTATTGGATGCATTTCTTCAACTTTCTTCCAATTTGGACCAATTTGGGAATTGGGGATAGCCAAACATCAACCAACCCGATGTTTTTGTCTCAGTCCGCTGGCCTTTCTACACTTGTGTTTGAAAATAGATGAACATATACAGTATATAGGGTACATTGGTCGCTTGTGACCCTATTCACTGTTTCTATGATGTTTCTATGTTCTGAAGCAAAAAAGATAGGGTCACAAGTGACCAAGTGTGCTTGGAGTCCCACGCCTGTCACACAAAAATGGTGCGTCCCCTTTGTGGTCGCTTGTGACCCTATTCGTGCCCGAAGTATCATTTTTGAAGGAAGTCTCGCAGAAAAGCTTCGTTCTTGAGTTTCGAAGCTTCATTTTTGAAGGAAGTCTCGCAGAAAAGCTTCGTTTTAGAGCTTCGAAGCTTCATTTTTGAAGCAAGTCTCGCAGAAAAGCTTGGTTTTTGAGTTTCGAAGCTTCATTTTTGAAGGAAGTTTCGCAGAAAAGCTTCGTTTTAGAGCTTCGAAGCTTCATGTTTGAAGGAAGTATGGCAGAAAAGCTTGTTTTTTTGAGTTTCGAAGCTTCAGTTTTGAAGGAAGTCTCGCAGAAAAGCTTCGTTTTAGGGCTTCGAAGCTCCATGTTATTTATCTATCCCCCTTACCATTTCCACTACTAAAAGGGTGAACACGTGCTTGGTACTATCCTCTGATTCGTGGATAATTCAAGCAAAAAAAATGGACCCGTGCACCAGTTTTTGTAGTAAAAGGGTGTGCACTGTATCTTGTAGCGGCGTTCCATTTGGCACTCATAAATCGGAAACGCATTTTGTAGTGATTTATTTTGGGATGCGTTGTGTCGTACCGGAAACCCCAAAGCCCTCTTCTGCCAGTCATGCTCGGCCCGCGCGCATAATCAAACGTCGAATGTGAGAAAGAACCTCGCTCTAGCAACAGGAGGCTTTATTTTCTAAGCCATCCAATGGTGCCATCAAAACCTCTCAAAAACAGCATCAACAAGTGGCACCCCATAAAACACCATTCCACATCCTTCTTGCCATTCCATGTGTGGGTTAGTTATGATTAAATGTTTTTTTTTTTTTTGCCTGTTATACCGCCAATATATGTCAATATATCATTTATTTATCCAAGATACTATGGAAGATGCCCAGAATAATTTTATGCGACATCTTCCCATTAACACTATCCCACCTCAAAAAAACCATATCTGGATAAAATGTCCCTTGCTACAAAAAGGGGCAAACCATTTGTTACTACAAAACGAGGTGTTCCCATAAAAGTTGTTTGGGTGTGAACAATTTTAAAGGGGACTATCTATACAATAATGGGAGTATAATATATATATATAGAGTATAATATGGTTAGTGTTGATTAAATGGGGATTACTTTCCATTAATAGGTCAGTGATGATTAAATGGTCGTTTGGCTTTTTGTACCGCAAATATGCCATATGGGAAAATACGATGGCCGGACATGCTTGGCCATCGTATTTTCCCATGTCGTTTTTTGAGGAAAATTGGGATAAAAAATCATGGAATATGCCACTGAAATAATTTTATACGAGGTCTTCCCATTATAATTATCCCACCTATAAACCCCATATCTGGCTAAAATGTCCCTTGCTACAAAAAGATGCAAAACGTTTTTTACTACAAAAAAAATGTGTTCCCATAAAAATTGTTTGGGTGTGAACAATTTTAAAGGGGACTATCTATACAATAATGGGAGTATAATATATATATATTATATAGTATAATATGGTTAGTGTTGATTAAATGGGGATCATTTTCCATTAATAGGTCGCTATGACCTGGGCCCCGGAAAGTAAACCAAAGATTTAGAGTGAAATTTCCAGAAACCATTTAGTAAAGTAGAGAATCATGATTTTTCACTGCAACCCGTTTGCGAAACCATTTTGTAGTGACCCACATTGGCTTTTGATCCACCATCAAAAACCCCAAAAACATTTTGTAGCAGGGGGGGTTGGTTCAGATTCAAGCAGCATTTTGTTGTATAAGGCTGTGTTTGTAAACGGTTGAGTAGACACAACTACCCTGCAGAATGCACACAGGGATCTAGTTTCTGGATTACTTTTGTCATGCGCTGCATTTTGTAGTGACACACGCGTGCACAAACTTTTGTAGAACCCACTGCGCCCCCCTCCAGATAAGCCCCAAAAAGTTCGAAAAACATGTTTTTTATGTGGAGACTTCAAGAAGGAAAAATGGGACAGATTTGGTTTAAAACCAATCAATTGAATTTGAAGTTGTGCGCTTAGATCGTTTTTGTTGCCCCATAGCTATGACGATTGCAGTTCAAAATCTCTGCGCCGTGCTTTTGTCACACCTTTTTTGGCCATTACATGCGATTACCAATCATAATCTAAACGTATCCCATTCTACTAGATTCCTGCTCGTTTTGTCCAATAGTCAAGTTTCACCCAAGTTCAAAAAATCCATGCTCAGCTCCTTTCACCAACAAAGCACAGATTCGATGGGTGATGTCCTAGTTTCTGGATTACTTTTGTCATGCGCTGCATTTTGTAGTGACACACGCGTGCACAACCTTTTGTAGAACCCACTGCGTCCCCCTCCAGATAAGCCCCAAAAAGTTCGAAAAACATGCTTTTTATGTAGAGACTTCAAGAAGGAAAAATGGGACAGATTTGGTTTAAAACCAATCAATTGAATTTGAAGTTGTGCGCTTAGATCGTTTTTGTTGCCCCATAGCTATGACGATTGCAGTTCAAAATCTCTGCGCCGTGCTTTTGTCACACCTTTTTTGGCCATTGCATGCGATTTTTAATTATAATCTAAATGTATCCCATTCGACCAGGTTCCTGCTCGTTTTGTCCAATAGTCAAGTTTCACCCAAGTTCAAAGAATCCATGCTCAGATTTCCATTCACCCTCAAAGCACAGATTCGATGTGTGATGTCCTATAGTTTCTGGATTACTTTTGTCATGCGCTGCATTTTGTAGTGACACACGCGTGCACAAACTTTTGTAGAACCCACTGCGCCCCCCTCCAGATAAGCCCCAAAAAGTTCGAAAAACATGTTTTTTATGTAGAGACTTCAAGAAGGAAAAATGGGACAGATTTGGTTTAAAACCAATCAATTGAATTTGAAGTTGTGCGCTTAGATCGTTTTTGTTGCCCCATAGCTATGACGATTGCAGTTCAAAATCTCTGCGCCGTGCTTTTGTCACACCTTTTTTTGGCCATTACATGCGATTACCAATCATAATCTAAATGTATCCCATTCTACTAGATTCCTGCTCGTTTTGTCCAATAGTCAAGTTTCACCCAAGTTCAAAGAATCCATGCTCAGATTTCCATTCACCCTCAAAGCACAGATTCGATGGGTGATGTCCTAGTTTCTGCATGACTTTTGTCATGCACTGCATTTTGTAGTGACACACGCGTGCACAACCTTTTGTAGAACCTACTGCGTCTCCCTCCAAATAGCCCAAAAAAGTTCGAAAAATATGCTTTTTATGTAGAGACTTTAAGAAGGAAAAATGGGACAGATTTGGTTTAAAACTGATCAATTGAATTTGAAGTTGTGCGCTTAGATCGTTTTTGTTGCCCCATAGCTTTGAGCATCGTAGCAGAAAACCTCTTGAAAGGTCAATTCTTGGAATCCGATGGAAATCCCAAGGTTGTATTTACTTGTGCTCGGCAAATACTATGACCTGGGCCCGGAAAGTGAACCAAAGATTTAGAGTGAAGTTTCCAGAAACCATTTAGTAGCGAATCATGATTTTTCATTGCAATCCGTTTTCACTACAAAATGGTTACGTAAAGTCATTTTGTAGTGACCGACATTGGCTTTTGATCCATCATAAAACCTCCCAAACCATTTTGTAGCAAGGGGGGTTGGTTCAGGTTCAAGCATCATTTTGTAGTATAAGGCTGTGTTTGTAAACGGTTTAGTGGGCACAACTTCTCTGCAGAATGCACACAGGGATATTTATCTATCTTTCTTTCTTTCTTTCTTATCTATCTCTCTCTCTCTCTATCTATCTCTCTCTCTCTCTTTCTATCTCGTTATCTCTCTATCTCTCTATCTCAACTTCTAAAAATTCTAAAAGCGGTCCGAACATGGTGTGTTTTGTACATGTTGACTCTCTCTCTCTTTCTATCTCTTTATCTCTCTATCTCTCTGTCTCAACTTCTAAAAGCGGTCCGAACATGGTGTGTTTTGTGCATGTTGACTTCGAAATGGACTTCACGCGGGCAGCTGGCTCCGCGCCCGCCGCTGTAGCGAGCTTACTTGTCGACTCTCCGGAGCCACAAAGCATTGGAAAACACTACCTTTTGGCTCCTCTGCATCTTCTTTCTTCTGACTCGTTCGAAGTAGAATGGAGACCATGGTTTGGTAAAACGCAGGGGGGTAGTTTAAATCAAGAAGTAGAATGGAAGTTTAAATAAAGAAGTAGAATGGAGACAATGGTATAGTGGAACGCAGGGGGGGGAAGTTTAAATAAAGAAGTAGAATGGAGACAATAGCACCATGGTTTAGTGGAACGCGGGGGGGGGGAAGTTTAAATAAAGAAGTATAATGGAGACAATGGTTTAGTGGAACGCAGGGGTGGAAGTTTAAATCAAGAAGTAGAATGGAGACAATGGTTTAGTGGAACGCAGGGGGGGTAGTTTAAATAAAGAAGTATATTGGAGACAATGGTTTAGTGGAACGCGGGGGGGAAAGTTAAAATAAAGAAGTAGAATGGAGACCATGGTTTGGTGGAACGCAGGGGGGGTAGTTTAAATAAAGAAGTAGAATGGAGACAATGGTTTAGTGGAACGCAGGAGGGGGGAAGTTTAAATAAAGAAGTAGAATGGAGACCGTGGTTTGGTGGAACGCAGTGGGGGGTAGTTTAAATAACGAAGTAAAATGGAAGTTTAAATAAAGAAGTAGTATGGAGACAAAGGTATAGTGGAACGCGGGGGAGGGGAAGTGTAAGTAAAGAAGTCGAATGGAAGTGTAAATAAAGAAGTAGAATGGAGACAATGGTATAGTGGAATGCGGGGGGGGAAATTTAAATAAAGAAGTAGAATGGAGACCATGGTTTAGTGGAACGCAGGGGGGGTAGTTTAAATAAAGAAGTAGAATGGAGATAATGATTTAGTGGAACGCAGGGGGGGGAAGTTTAAATAAAGAAGTAGAATGGAAGTTTAAATAAAGAAGTAGAATGGAGACAATGGCATAGTGGAACGCGGGGGGGGAAGTTTAAATAAAGAAGTAGAATAGAGACCATGGTTTAGTGGAACGCGGGGGGGGTTTAAATCAAGAAGTATAATGGAGACAATGGTTTAGTGGAACGCAGGGGGGGAAATTTAAATAAAGAAGTAGAATGGAGACAATGGTTTAGTGGAACGCAGGGGGGGGAAGTTTAAATAGAGAAGTAGAATGGAGACAATGGTTTAGTGGAACGCAGGGGGGGGAAGTTTAAATAAAGAAGTAGAATGGAGACAATGGTTTAGTGAAACGCAGGGGGGGGAAGCTCAAATAAAGAAGTAGAATAGAGACCATGGTTTAGTGGAACGCAGGGGGGGAAGTTCAAATAAAGAAGTAGAATGGAGACCATTGTATGGTGGAACGCAGGGGGGGTGAGAGTTATTTAAGGGATAGGGTCGCAGGTGACCGGATAATAGGGTCGCAAGTGACCGGGCAGAATAGGGTCACAAGTGACCGGATAATAGGGTCACAAGTGACCATGGTACCGTATATAGGTATACTGGTATACCTTCAAAATTAAAGGCCGGATTGTTGATAATAATTTTCCTGAATTGCTAAAGAATAAGGTAGACTACTACGGTAAACTCATTCTTTGGACAACCGACACGTGCTCCACTCAGGAAGAAACATGCTGCCAGAAAGGCCAAGGACAGGCAACTCGCAGGTTGACCAGGGACCGCATAGATTCAGCTGGGACACCATGGAAGGAATGGTGACTTGGTCTCCGCCTCAGGAGTCGCAGCCTCCCTTGGAGCGTCGCAGGTGGGGTTCCAAAGCAGTTCCTCCATGAAATCCACAAGAAGGGCCCCTTTACCTAAGGTTTTTGGGGGCCGTTGCTTGAATTCTTCATTTACCCCCTGGTAAATTAACATAGACCCTGAAAATCACCAATGTTGAATGGAAACTAGTCTTCCAACCCCGATGACTGCCAGGGTCTATATTAATTTACCAGAGGGTAAATGAGTCACTTTCAGCCACCCAAGTCTTGTGCAACGCTTTGCAGTTCCGCCAAAGCAGCGACCACGGTTGATGGTCGAGACCGCGACCGTGAGAGGCGCTTAAGCTGTCCGTGTTGCGGTTGGGGATTTGATCCAACAAAAATCACATGGGAATTTGATGGGATCTACATGATTGAATAATCTAAAATTCGATGGGATATGTTGTTGAAGGTTTTTAGATGTTTGTATGATAACGAATTAAGATGAATTCACCATGAAACTGGGATAGAATGGCTTTTCTTTGGCCAACAAACTATAACTACAGTTAGTATTTGGGTTTTTGTGCACTTGTTCATCCCTGTTTATCCCAGTAGTCTTCCGACGTCAGGCATGGCCCACGCGAACGCGCAGAGAAGGGTGACTCGGTGTGCAAGGATTACTATGGCTGGGTTGAACTGGTAAGATCCCTTTTTGCAGGTGGTTCTCGGAACCCTCAAATGGCTAAATCGGTGTGTGGTATAGCAGCATATAGCATTGGGTTTGCTACATTGCGCCTGACTAGATAACGCTTGTTCTTGGCTCAGTGTAGTGTTTGATATGTGGGTTGGATAGGGTTTGAGTTTCGTATGTTTCATGCATAGCATGCAATCGATATTTACCATTTGGGTCCAGTTGGGTATGTTCTGAAGTGAAGGTTGCAACTAAGTTTCATTGGACTAGTTGGGCATGTTGCCCAGCTTCGGGCAAGTTTGGTCGGAAAGGGTATCAAACGTCCAGATCTACAGCATCACTGGTATTTACCTGCAATCATGAGGCATGGTAACGGACTCATTCAGTGAGACCAGAAATTCTCAAGGAAATACCACTCGGCCACATGGGCGCTTCAAGTGGATGTGCTCAGGACTTTCATATATTTCCAGATGATTGCCTGGCCACATTTGTGATCCCTGCGGGATCCAGATTTTCATCATAAACCATCATAAACCATTCTGTACTAATCATATCTAAATTAGATATCAACGGCAATGACGGAAATCATGCCCAGCAAGGGCATACTGTATCCCCAATGTCATAATCCGCTACGATTTGGACACCTCAATGGTGGCCTCACTCAGCCGTCCCTTCGAGGTTCCCTTCGCGACAAGCGCCCCGAGCGAAACGATGCGCCACGGGAACGTTATCCGGAGAGGGAGCATAGGGACAGGTGCGGGGGTTCTGGCGGGTTCTGGTTCGTTTTCATGGTCACCCATCATCACAAGTTGGATACATTTGATGGATTTTGATGGATTTGGATGGATTTTGATGGTACAAATGCGACAAAAACCTACAAAAACTGTGTTCTTTTCTTGGCCGCACGGAATCACCGCAGCCAGCCGCAGGGATCGCTACACGGAGCGCGGCCGGAACGGTGCGGCGTTGGACCGCTCCCCGCGCGGATATCGGCAGAGTCGATCCAGAGATCGAGGGCGCCGCTTGGAGTGGAGAAACATCCGCTATGTTGGCACCCTGGGAATCAATTCGTGACATTCGTGCTTCCAAAGTATGCCCAAAAAAAAGTGCAAATGGAACGCCTTATGGGCCTTATGGGAGTTAACAAAAAGAAGTCAAAATTGCAGTGGTTTAGCCTGAATTTCAAATGTATACACGTGCTCCATGACTCAAGATTCTTCGATTTGCGCTATGGTTGGATATGTTTGCTGGAATTGTGTGGAAATCTGCCGGAAATTCCCGGAATAGCGCCGGAACATTCCAGAATGATTCAGGCAGGACTTGTTCCTGTTTTTTGAATATTATTGTTCATCTTGGGGGCAAAAACACGAGTAATGTTGGGATTTTTCATATACAAGTGCTTCAGGCTCTTTGCTCGTTTCGCCCTGATAGAGCTTCAAGTTTAAACTGCAATAACATGCAATACCCCTTTGATCCTTTCTTTAGGACCTGTTCCCTTTTTTTCGTGCTCGTTACCTGTTTTGCCTAAACAAATCCTTTGCACCTTTGCTTTTGCGACATTGGGGTTCCAGGTATTGATTTCCTAATCAATAAAAACATTGCAGGGTGTATTGAGATTGATTTTCACCAGAGCATGCTCACCTCCCTTCCACCACAATTATCGTCATTATATTCTTCCGCTGGGTATTTTTTGGGGCTGTTGCTACCCATCATCCGTCGGTTCATAGGTGGGACAAGTGTTGGCATGTTCGAGTTGCTGGAGGCTCCCAAAATGATACGGGTTACGTCAGGTGATTCCATCTACTGCTAAAAATGGCGAAACATTGCCAGATCCATCACCACCTCAACCGAATTCCTAGGGCCTGAAGGGGGTTCGGACAACATGTCCATGTCCCAATGTGAGTTCCAGATCTTGTACCACTGAAGTGCCTTTAAAGTTGATCTATGCGGGGACGAACATCATCCAGAGAGATGTTTCAAGCGAAAAGGTGTTGCTTTAGCGGGGTATGCTGGAACCTCGTCCGAGGATACGGCGAAGCAGAGTATCGGAGTGAACGGCCCTATGGGACCCGAAGTGATCGTCGGAAGACCCAGCTGAGCCGAAACAGTGCTTGTGAGATGCGGTGGGGACGATCTCACCATAGCCGGTTGGTGATTTAAAATGTTTCTGCTGGTTATTCTTGGAATTTGATTATTAAATTACATTAAGTTGACTACGATTCCAGTTAAAGCCAGCACCAGCTGGCCACAGCCGTACCAGTCTGCATTTGAAGCTCTGAAGCTCCGTGAACTTTCTCCAGGTGCAGAAAGTGACTACCGGAGCGACCGTCCAACGACGGCACGAAGCGCCCCCATCGGAGCGCGCTGTGCCTCGGCTGAGCTTCAGGATGGATGCGGAGACCTTGTTGGACACGAGGGTTGTGACACATAATTTAAATCATGTGGGTAAAACAATGTTATAAACCACCCATTTGGGAACGGATAATATACCACCATAAAAATGATGATGACTGGGGGATGATTTATGGATGATGTTTATGGCATTGTTTTACCACATTATGTGATTTGTATATTTGTATATCATTGATCATGTTGGCGTTGAGAATCAGTCTCTCCCTAACACTGCCTGAAACGGCCGACCTTTGCGCGCATACTGTACATACAATACCTACCCACAACAAAAGTTTGCGCTGCTTGCCCTAAACTTTCAGGGACTATCTACTTCCAAGTTGGGTGGAAAGTCTACTGGTAAAGTGCATTGAACTCAGAAAGATAACACATGACATGAGTGATTTTTACGTCCACGCTTTTTGGTGTCCTGGTAGGTTCTAGCACGTTTACATATATGTATACCTTATTCATTGGTGTGGATATTGATGGATGTTAAGTTTCAACGAGACTTCACCATAAAAAATCCTTCAGCCATTGATTAAACCTGTTTGGGAGGCCCTCCAGCCCCACCAGCGCCCCCACGAGCGTATGATACCGCAGGCGCCGGGTTTCTGTCCGGAAAGGCTGAAGGAAAGCAGTGCGGTTTTCTTAGCCTCTGGGAAAAGTTGACATAGCTATGGAAAATCACTGTTTAATGGGTAAATCAACTATTTCGACTGGGCAATTTTCAATAGCAAACTGTTAAATTACCAGAGGGTAACACTTTCTCAGAGGCTTTCCTGAGTTTCCTATGTATTTCCTTCAGATTTTTGTTGAAAGAAGTTTTGGGAGAAGACTAAACATACGAAAACATGTTGTAGCGGCATTCACTATGGCATGCCATACATGTAACTACTCGGTTACTCTTCCCATCCCACTAATACTTAACGGCCCCCCATGAAGCATCGTTTAGTATGATACTCATGGGACCATTCGGGGCTTGTTTGATATACAATGACGATCTCAAAGGCCCTGTCCAGTGACTCGATCTCGATTCTGGGTACATTGAGATGTTTTACCCAGTCGAATCTCAACCACTCGAAAGTCAGTATCCTTTTGGAAAACGGTGCAGCTTCACTTCCATGGACCTGCGATACTCTTGATGGCAAGGTAGAAAGATTGACCTGACAACACCTCGTGCAATTTTGTGGCATTGCCAGGATTCAGATTTGGGCATTGGCTTTCTCAGATGAACTGATGTAGTACCACAACTATATGACTATGGCGCTCATGCAACGTGCATGTTTGTGGCTGGCGTAGTTCTTATCTCAGTATGTCTCCCATCTAGGCATTTGACAGTTGAAAACGGGGCTGATGAAGTTACACTATAGTTCACATATCGGTTGCTATGGAAACATTACGACATTAAACAATGACGGCCACTGTTCGTTTTGGAGCAGTAGAGGGTCAGCCGTTTTCAGGATTTTCAGGTGTCGATATGGCTGTGCAAACATGGCTACCTATGGCTATAATATGTTATATTTTACATAGTTAGATATATGGCACATCTAACCCATGATTTGCCATCAATGTTGGTGAACTGGTGCTACATCCACAATGGTTTCGGGAGTGTTTACTACAAGGTGGTGTCCCTCCACTTATGTTGGTTTATAATTACTGTAAACTCCGTGAATACTCTATATATATAATATTATATGATATTATAATATCATTTGATATCTTATCATATATTATATTATTTATATTATTTATATTACATATATATATATTATATATATATATATATGATATGATTTTATATATATTATATATAATATATATATATATATATCATTAACCATGAAATTCACCTAGTTTTGTTCATTACCCATCCCCCCTCTGCCATGACAGGCCGGCGCTCCCGCAGCCGCCGCCGCTCGCCGCCGCGCACGGCCTTCAGCGGACCGATCCGGGCACCGGCGGTGGCTGCGCCACCAGCGCAGGTCTATAGTGGGGAGCCCAAACTTTGGGACATGTACCCTCTGGTAATTTAACATAACTATGGAAAATCACCATTTTTAATGGGAAAATCCACTATAAATGACCATTTTCAATAGCGACGTTAAATTGCCAGAGGGTAGGTAGTTAACTCGGTAGGACCTGGGTGATAGAAGTGGGTAAAACTAATTCTTAACATGTTCTTACATTAAAAACAGTGATAGGAATAGCGGAATAACTATTCTATCTTATTTTTTTGGGTACTATAACCCATTTTTCTATCCACTTATATCGTATTGTAAGGAGACAGAAGGAAGTTACCAACCAGTTGGCTAACTCCACAGCCCATCGAACTACAGTGTTTTAAAGCTGCTCTCAATTGGTTTATAAAGCCATCCAAAGTTTTGATAGCCACCACAAACACAGTACTAGCCATATTTAAGGCCTACATCTAAAACTGTTTCATCCCCTCCCAAATGTTAGATTTTGTTCAATACCCTGGTATATCATGGCATATCACCAGTTACATCCAGTTACCTTCATCTCAGAACTTGTTGAAGGGTAAAAATTGCACAGTACAGCCCCCGGCTGTATTTGGGAGAAATGTCTTCCTGATTGCCTTGATTGTTCCCCTTCTAAATCTCAAAACCAACAGCAGCATGGTCATTCTCAATTCTTCAGTGGTTATTCAAGATACTCGAAGAAGTAAAACCTTCTATAAACTAACATGGATGTGAAAAAAGAACACTACGTATCATGAATCAGTGTCCTATTCAAAAAACATTACATGTCCACATGTTGTTTGTCATTTTTGTTTGTTTTCCCCAGGGTATCCCATTCAATCACCATCTTTGGTCAAATCTAAGTAAGGCATTCAATCACCATTTTTCGTCAATCATTCCTATTCAATTTCCATTTTTTCATTTGGTTGGTGGTTTGGAACATTTTTGTTTTCCCCAATAGCTGGGATGATGATCCAATCTGACGAACTCATATTTTCAGAGGGATTGAAACCACCAACCAGATAGCCATGGTTTTCATCATTATTAACCATTGTTAATCCACTATAATCCACTATAATCCACTATAATTAATCCACTATATATTATAACCAGCATTTTTTCATGCTTCCCCCAGCATTTTCCCAGTTCCCCGCGTTTCCCCCGAGGCCGTCCCAGCACCGGAGCTCCTTCGGCCTCCCCTTCGGTCCCTGCGGTCCCGAAGGCGGTCCCGAAGGGGGGCCCTCCGGTGCGAGCGCCTCCAGCGACAGGCGCGCTACGTATGGAGACCAGGGAAGAGTTGCCCTGGTTGGTTAATTGATTCCCATAGGATCCATGTATGCTGCTATATATGGTAACGTTTACCATCAATATACCCCTTTTATGTTAGCATATATACCAGCACCATGGATCTTATGGGATTGGTTAATTGATTAGTTAACGTATGTTAATGATGGTTAATGATGTTAATGATGTGGTTAATGTATGTTAATGTATGTTAATATTCATGCCTAGGGGGTTATACGATGTTATACGAAAGTTATTTTTTGGGGGGGGAGGTAGACTAAACGGTTTAAGATACCCTAGACCTTGCAAGAGTTTCTGGCGAAACATGGTGAAACTGTGAGGATGGTTGAAGATCTGTTCATGTCTATTATGAAAAGAATAAGCTACTAACACTATCTAACACTTCCCTTTGCTGGGGATTATTGTGACCTATGGAGATAATGGGGTACTTATGAACCAACCAGTAGATTGGAATGGATTCGGTGTATTTTTTCATGGCTCAAGCATTCTGAGTTATAACGCCCTCACTGCGAGGTCATTGACATTGATGGTCAATAGAGGGAACCGTCCGAAATAGACATCTTTCAGGAGATCCATTCTTTTTCAGCCAGAACCATCTTAAAGCATAGAATTCTCTAGTTGAAAGATCCATTTTGCTGTGATCATCTATAATCTATGCCACTATGCATGACAGATGCAGCTATATACTGTTTGGTTGTAAATGTATTTCAGGCAACATATTCCATGAGTCCATGCAAAGTGCCCCGGTGTTGATGAAGAGATTGACCTGCAGTTGGACTACTTTCTGAGCCGTTGGTCATGGCCCGCCTTACATATGGTTGGCAATCTCATTTGTAATTTGCATTCCCCTGTCGGGCTTATTGTTTTTTTGGGGACAACCCTCCAGGAATCAGACATGGCAATGGAAAAACATCCCTTTATACAGATAATGTACTTACATACCTTTTAATATGGACAGATGAAAGGGTTATTTTCCATAGCCAGTTTTGATTACGAAATGCTAGTTCATATATGCAGCTCCAATTGTTAGAGGTTGTTAAAGCGCCCAGTTGATGTTTCCAGTTCGGCTCTTGAGGCTCGACGAGCAGCATACCTGCAGGAAGGCCTGGTAGCAACTTGGCTGCTGCATTGGCACTCTGCCAGGCGTTTTGCATGCTCTTCAGCAAGTAGAGGTCTCCCAAACAGGTGTGGAAAAATGATGTCCACGTGAAAAAGTGATGTTCTTGGGGTCAACGCCCAGCGTGAGTTTTCCCATGTAACTGCTGCGTGCCCTCATTTCTACGTTTGACATGTTGCCAAGTGCAGATGCTTACTGAGGTTCACACAGGGGTCAAATGGTCGTACGTCGCACTTCCGTTTCCAACAACAACATAAGTGTGTCAACTTTGAAAGCCGAAGTTGATTCGCTGCAAAATTCTTTGTTTTGTTCAGATGTTGACCTGTGCGTGCTGATATTTCATGTTACGGAAACAGAATTCAATGACCCCCTCTTAACCCATAGGATCCATGTATGGTATACATATATGCTAACATTTGGGGTATATGGATGGTAAATGTTACCATATATAGCATACATGGATCCTATGGGTAATATACCTTATAAATTGTGCCACGTGGAAACCGCCTTTTCGGGTGCTTGTTTAAGTTATGTTATTCTTTTTAGAGGCGGTCAAACATGTTTATAAACCGGCGGCCCCCGAGAGTAATTGTTTCATAGATCCATAGCCATGTTATAAATCTAGAAAACTTTTGTGGACTATAAAATGACAATTCCTTTAACTTGTATAAGAAAACAAACCCGGCCGGTCACAAAGATTCGATGAGTGTTTTATTTTTTTTTAACCAACACCCTTATAAAATAATGGTTCCTTCTTAATATGTCTAGATTGACCTAGTATACGAATTTCATAAGAGTTTGGAGCAGGTACCTCATATAACATGATAATTCCATGTCATTCTGTGGAGTCTGCAGGACTCATTTTTTTTTTTTAAGAAACTGTCAAATTCAATTTTGAAAACCATGGCAAACTGTTATATATATATTCCTTATAAAATGACATAGGGAAGAAATTGAGTGTAAAAGCAATTTTGTCAGCCAGACATTTAAGTAGTTTATAGTCCAATCTAACAGTATATACTTAGATGCATAATGATGCATAGAGATGTATATAATAGTTATATGTCGTATTATGTAAGTATAACATGCAAATAATGTCATGCCATCCTTACCACAACACATGATTATCATTTTCTCCGAGGGAGGCCGCCCCCCAGGTTCTAAGAGCAAACATGACTTGCATGTGGCATGTCATAAGGCCCAAACTGTTGCAGGCAGTAGATCTACAATTTTATTATGGTTTCTTATAGGTTGCTTATTATTTAAGCTGTGACCTCAGAAACAATTTGCCATTTTATAAGTTTTCTCAAGCTACCTGCATGCGTGCAAGAAAACATGTTTACTTCGAAGTTCTTATCATTTTATAAGGTACACGTTCTTTTTCAGTGTGTCCTTTTCTTTTGAAAATTGCGGTGTTACCAGCAAAAACTGAAAAAACATACCCGAAGAAATTGCTTTTGTAAAGTGTTTTTTTAATAAAATGATCAAACAAAAAACTTATAAAATGCCTCCGCCATCCTTCCCCAAAAATTCATCCTGAAAAAGCCGCGCGGTTATGAAATGACTATTCCTTGGACAAAACAAAAGGAGGAGTTTGAAAAAAAAACTCTCCATTTATTAGGTCTTTTAGTGATTGAGTACGTTGTCATGAATAGCCATTATGCAAGTCTTTATAAGATGCCAGTTGCAAGGACCGTCTCTTGTACTCGCCGTGACTCCCCATTTTATGTCATGTCTTTTTTTTGGGGGGGAATAAGAATTTTATAACGTCACTTTTTATAAACTGGCACCCCTCGGGTGCCGGGCACCCCTCGGGTGCCGGGTCTAATTAATTATAAGGGGGATAGTCAATGTAAATTACACTATTATGTTCATTCCTGATTCAAACTTCAAAACCACAATGATTAAGAAGTCACGCCCGCCTCAAGGCCTTGTTCCCATGTTCTTCTCTTTTTGTTTCCGGACTTCTATGTAAGTCAAAAATTCAAAACAAACATGTCCATATATAAGACACATTAATATAAGACAACAGATAATATCAGATTTATAGAACGTGTATGTTGAAGGTGTACAATGTGGGGCCCCCTCAGTTATAAGTTGGTTTATAAACCCCATTGACTATAGTTGTAAGTATCATAAACCATAGTTATTGGAGTTATAAATATACTCAGATGGTGATGACGGAGACACAAGAGATTCTCCGGAACTTTGTGTCTCACCGCCCAATACGGGTGGTGAACGATCTCACCAGACCATTGCGGTAGGTTTGGCGTCAGGAAGGTTCGACTGCCACTGCTGCCGCTGTGGCATGAACCATGACCGAAGTCCGCGCATGTTTCCGGACTTCTATGTAAGTCAAACAATCAAAACAAACATGTCCATTTATAAGACATATTAACATAAGACAACAGATAATATAAAATATATAAAGTGTATGTTGAAGGTGTACTCATTTTTGTTGATGCATAGTGACCATCAGTGACCTGAGTTTTCTCCCCAGGCAAGGGCGGCCCGCGACGACCTCTCAGAGATTTGGACCCGCTGGATGCCTTCATGGCTCCTCGGCCGGGGGTATCACTGGGTCACCCGGGGTTTTTGAGGCAGATGTCGCATGATGTTGCAGCATGTCCAGACTCCTTCAGTAACTTTAGAATATTTCAGAATGAGACTGGTTGGTGGTTTGGAACATGAATTATTGAATTATTTTTCCCATCATTTTGGGAATTTCATCATCCCAACTGACGAACTCCATCATTTTTCAGAGGGGTGGCTTGAAACCACCAACCAGATAACCATGGTTTTCATCAAATTTAACCATTGTTAATCCACTATAATCCACTATAATCCACTATAATCCACTATAATCCACTATAATCCACTATATAACCATTATAATCCACTACAATTAATCACCATTAATCATGTCATCTCATGTCTACATTTTTCTTTTCCCTTGTCCGCTGGGCTGACCGGATGCTGAGGCTGGAATGGAGCAGCACGGGGAGGCCTTTGCCACAGGTGAGCTGGAGCAAAATAAGTCCAGGCCTGGCCTGGCAGTGGCTCCAGACTCCAAAGATATCCCCATGTTTGATGGTTTATACCACCCATTTATGGTGATTTCGGGGATGGTTTAACTGTTTATGATCGTTTTAAACCACATATGAGATTGCCATAAAATGATGCCAAACATCGTAAAATCCCAACCAAATCTGATGGCTTACGACCTCATTTTTCCCTATTTGAACTTATAACTATACAACTTAATATCCCATAGGATCCATGGTGCTGCTATATATGGTAACATTTACCATCCATATACCCCAAATGTTAGCATATATACCAGCACCATGGATCCGTCATGGGTATACTGTAGCTGTCAACTAGCTACACCGCCAAAAACCCATATTTTCCCCAGTCGTTGGTGCCTGCGTCTTCCAGGAAGCCGGATCCAATGGCTCCCCCGAGCTCTGATCTCAGCAGAGATATGTTGAGCTGGTTGGTGGTTTGGAAAACCATAGGAAAACCATAGGTTAATGATGGTTAATAATGGTTAATAATGGTTATCAATGGCTGGTTGGTGGTTTGGAACATGACTGGATTATGACTTTCCCATCATATTGGGAATTTCATGATCCCAACTGACTTTCATATTTTTCAGGGGGTTGAAACCACCAACCAGTGAGTTATTTCGGAACTATAGCACGAACATGTGTGATCATTGATTTGAATTTTGATTGGTATTCGGTATTCTGGAGAAATTATGTTCCCTACGTTGCGACGTTGCTGGAATGATGCTTAGCTAGTAGGGGTAACTATCAACTACCCCCAAATAGATCCAAATAGCCTTATTTCAGGGTAGTGACTAGAAGTTACAACATATTTCTAGTTTATCCATGTTGATCCAGATTGTTCTTGGAAATCTTCATGCCTGATGAAATACGCCGGCGACTGTGTTTGCTCATCGGATTGGTTCCGGGGTTGACATTTTCTTATAAACCAATTCTAAGAACATTTGTAGGAATTGCACATGATTTGTTTAAAGAATTATTCCTTGCTCATATTGTCTCCACTTTGTCATGCTCTGAAGTAGTAGGCTTGCTTGAATGACATGGATGAATTGAAACGTCTGGCATCGGTTCGCAGCGCTGGCATTTGTCAAGCGATTCATTCATCAACATCCCACAGGCTTTGAGAAGTAGTACTGTGGCATACTGTGGCCATAGATGTTCTTAATCTGTAGGTCAATCAATGCGGTTTTAAAAGAGAAGATTAAATACCAGTAGTACCGCACAAGGCGGTGGCGGAAGTTTCAAAAAAAGGAAACCTATAGGAGAGGTTGGTTGTTGTGAATCAGGGATGGCAGAGCGAAGCCACTGCTGGAGCGAAAGGTGATTGATCTCTCTCACTATTTCTCTCTCTTTCTCTGACTGTCTACCTACCTACCCACCTACCTACCTATCTATCTACCTATGTATCTATCTATCTATCTATCTACCTACCTATCTTTCTATCCATCTATCTATCTAACTATCTATCTATCTATCTATCTATCTCTCTCTCTCTCTCTCATCTGTCTATCTGTCTAGCTGTCTACCTGTCTATCTATCTATCTATCTATCTGTCTGTCTGTCTATCTGTCTACCTGTCTATCTGTGGTGCAGTGTCATTCAGTGTAATGTAGTGTAGTGAAGTGTAGTGTAGTGTAATTTAGTGTAGTGGAGTGTAGTGGAATGTAGTGGAGTGTAGTGTAATGTAGTGTAGCGTAGTGTAATGTAGTGTAGTGTAGTGTAATTTAGTGTAGTGGAGTGTAGTGGGGTGTAGTTGTAGTTGTAGTTGTAGTGTAGTGGAATGTAGTTTAGTGTCATGTAGCGAAGTGTAGTGGAAAGTAGTGTAGTGTAATGTAGTGTAGTGGAGTGTAGTGTAGTGCAATGTAGTGTAGTGTAGTGTAATTAAGTGTAGTGGAGTGTAGTGGAGCGTAGTTGTGTAGTTGTAGTTGTAGTGGAGTGTAGTGTAATGTAATGTAGTGAAGTGTAGTGGAAGGTAGTGTAGTGTAGTGGAGTGTAATTTAGTGTAGTGGAGTGTAGTGGAGTGTAATTTAGTGTAGTGGAGTGTAGTTGTGTAGTTGTGTAGTTGTGGTTGTAGTGTTGTGTAGTGTGGTGTAATGTAGTGTAGTGTAGTGAAGCGAAACGACATCTGAGCCTCCAAAAGTGGTCCGAACCCCTAGTGTTTTGTACATTTTGAGTTCGCAATGTGCTTCGCGCCACAACGGCGTGCACTTTTTCAACATCCGAACTTCCAAAAGTGGCGCGAACATGTGGTGTTTTGTACATTTTGACTTTGACTTGGAAACGTGCTTCGCGCCACAACGGCGTGCATCTGAACTTCCAAAAGTGGTCCGAGAATGGTGTGTTTTGTACATTTTGACTTGGAAATGTGCTTCGCGCCACAACGGCGTGCAGACATCGCAACTTCCAAAAGTGGTCCGAAGCTGAGGTGTTTTGTACATTTTGACTTCAAAAGCTTCGCGCCACAACGGCGTGCAATTTTTCATCTCTCATCTGGCCAGCTGGCTCCGCACCCGCCGCTTTAGCGAGCCTACTTTTCGACCCTCCGGAGCCACAAATCATTGGAAAAACAGAGTGAATCGCGACTTTCCTACCTTTTCGCGCATCTGTATCTTCTTTCTTCTGACTCTTTCTCTTCTACTCTTCTCTCTTCTAATCTTTCTCTTCTCTCTGCCTCTGCCCTGCTCTGCTTTTCATCTGTCCATATTGTCGGAAGTTTGACTTCTAAACTTCCTTCGATAAGAAATAGTTGAATAATATTTTATGATATGTTATGCATATAGTTTATTTCAAAGTTCATTACCATTTTGAATGGGGCTACCCAAATATAGAGAAGTCAAGTTTCCATGGTGTTTCCCGTTGGGTTTTCTAAGGCCATGCGGGCCGCACGTTTCGCGATGATGGACATCGAGAGTCGGATCGAGGATACGGGCCTCATGGATCCCATAGCAGTCCCTTTGCCAAATGCCAGATGTGTGGCTGACCAGTCGGGAAGACAACAAGTATGACATATGCTCCATGTATGGAATATTTACCAACATTTGCCCTAAAAATCACCCAAATGTAGGTAAATATACCATACATGGAGCATTTGGGTATGACATATGAAATTTGTTCGATGTTAATTATATGGAGTATACTAATGTGATCTGATGTGCAATAAATAGTCTTGAGATCGAACATATTTACGTAGCTTTGAACATGTACGGAATGTTTACCAATATTATTTTTATAATTGCTTGCAATTTACACCATACATCATTCGAAGGTACAGGTTTAACAACAAACACAATGAAGAAGTATATGGGCTAAATCCAGGTGACATGTTTTACACATGATCGCAAGATGGCTATGGTCGTCAGACCTGAAAAGGCTGTGTGTTTTTAATTGTATTCCGCCTGGGAAGTCGACATGTTTCATCATGTCTAGTATATTAATATGAATTTCATACATTCTCTCTTCAAGAATAGATATATATATATACACATACAAATACACTATAAATGAAATCAAACATAAAATCGTTTTAACAGTGCACAAAACCAACTTGCAGCTATTTGAGTGGGATACAGTGGGATTGTATGATTGTTTTTCTATGCTTTTGGGGATTGCTATTGTTTGCATTATCGTTGCATGTCCCGTTTCCGCCCAAGGACCAGAATCTCGTGGTGACAGTCACCGTGCCGATGCGCCGCGTAGCTACAGCCGCACCAATGGCCAAAGCTCGGCTCAAAGCTATGCACGACCTCGCAGTGAGGACAGCCACAGGAGGGAAACCTATCGTGGGACTGGGCACTCACGCACGGATAGCCGAGAGAGAAGTTATCGCGGAAATGCTTCTCAACGCACTAGCACTGGTGATGTCTATCAACGCAGTAGTGATGTCTATCAACGCAGTGGTGATGTGTACCAACGCAGTGGTGATGTCTATCAAAGCAGTGGTGATGTGTACAAGCGCAGTGGTGATGTCCATCAACGCAGTGGTGATGTTTACCAACGCAGTGGTGATGTCCATCAACGCAGTGGTGATGTTTACCAACGCAGTGGTGATGTCTATCAAAGCAGTGGTGATGTGTACAAACGCAGTGGTGATGCCTATCAACGCAGTGGTGATGTTTACCAACGCAGTGGTGATGCCTATCAACGCAGTGGTGATGTTTACCAACGCAGTGGTGATGTCTATCAACGCAGTGGTGATGTGTACAAACGCAGTGGTGATGTCCATCAACGCAGTGGTGATGTTTACCAACGCAGTGGTGATGCCTATCAACGCACGAGTGATGTACGCGACAGCTCTCGAACTGGTGATGGCTATCGTGCAGCTGATTCGGGTGGATACTCCCGACCTGAATCCAATGGCTACCACGATGGCAGATCTGGCTATGAGCGTGGCAGCGAGGTCGCCTACCGGAGTGTCCCACCCCCAGATTATGGGACGGCTCACTCTGCGGCGCCTCCCTTTGGCGCAGAGTATGGAAGAACTGCCACGGGCCGGAGCACCTACTCGGGCCGCGTTAACCCGCAGGACTTGTAAAACGGCAGAGGGTTTGAGCTGGATCGCAGAGAGGCGTACTGTATTGAATAGAGTCATTCAGACGCCTCAAAAAAAATATATAGCAAATATATATATATATATATATTTATATTTGCTATATTTGCTATATATATATATATTTTTGAAATATAGCAAATCAATACAGATCAATGGATGAAGTGCTGGAACCTGACATAGCAGAAACAGAACCGTAGTCAGAACAAATCAGAACCGTTCTTTCATGTTGATTCTTTCCCTTATTTTTTTTTTATGAAGTTCTATGAAGTTATTCTTTCGTTTAGAAATCATCACCATGTTTCGGTGCAGGAAAGGTTGACATGCAAGGTCACAGTCATGGTGGTTAGATTGCCTCGGTCATGTCTCCCTGACAGAAAATGGCATGGTTGAAGCACCCTTGGATGAGGTATGAGATGTTATTATAATTTTTATTGTAGTATATTGTAGTATTTCAGAATTGGGCAGGTCCAAGACTGGGAATACCCCAGATACCTCAGATCTACTGCAGATTGTTGCAACATGTGGTTGCAGTAAGGGAAACCGCTTTTGTTGTGGGCATCTACCATTATTACCACCGTGATGCGGTGAGTGCAACTGAGCACATGAGGGCGATCGTCATCAATCTCTTCCATGATGCAGTTGAAGGATATCATTCACCTTTCTGGAGTGGATGTGAACTAGTTTCAAGTTTGTGGTTTTGTAACAGCTTCGGCGGCATGGTCATGGTAGGCGGCTTTTCCAATGACATGAAGCTCTCCATTCAGCTCGGCATGTGAAGACCTCACAGAAGAGAATGGAGACACAAAAAGTGGCAAACATGATGAATGACGCCAAGCAATTGAAATATCTAGGGACGAACGGAGCGCATTTCTTCCCCACACATTTTAGTTATATCAGCTATAGTGACATTCATCGTGACCACCCGTTCCACTGACCTGTCAGTCACATCTCATCCACACTCTCTGTTTGATTTGGGACTGCAAAGGGCCCCGGCCTGAATTCAGTGAAACCCGCTGGCAATGTGCTTACAATCCACTAACTCAACCAAGTTAATGTTAAACCCGGATTAATAAAAACCCAATTTATGAATACGGTGGGTTCTCAAAATAGTACTCTTTCCATTTGTAAAGGGTACATCCCCCAACTAGTGAATTCGCGTTTATCATATCGGGATTGATATTAATCACTGTCTGTTTATGTACACCTGCATAAATCTATGTAGTTGTAATCATCCTGACGTAGATAGAATACGGATGAATATGGCATGTCCAAAGATATTCCATTTTTAGTGAGGATTCCTTAAAATGTCATTAAATGTCCATATTTCATCCATATTCTATCTAGGACTTTCGGATCTCTATACATCTATACCCAACTTCACCTCTTAACCGGTGCCCCCTGGGCCCTGCTTCCATGCCATGGACGGTGACGACGGCCCTGGGAGCTGCTTCCTTACCGTGCAAAGGGCCACGGCCGTGGAGTGCGCGCTGGGACCGGTGGCCTTCACCAGACCGGAGGGCGAGGCGCTTCTGGGGATCTCGTGCAGCCGCCCGGTGAGTGATGCATGGTGATTTCATGGGACATCATTGGCAAGGGGATATTAATGTGTTTCTGTTGGGAGTCATCTAAGATGATTCAACCAGATTTAACATAAATCTAACCAACAAGACATGGGGGAAAATGATGACAAATGAGGATTTGACATGATTTGACCATCACAAACGGTCAACAATGAGGATTCAACCAGCATAAATGGTGTGATTAACCTTCAAATATGGTGATTTCATTAGATATGGTGCTTCAGTTCGGAATCGCTAAGTTGGTTTGTAACTAGGTTAAGCAGGCTTCAAGGTGATTAGTGTATAGCCACGGTTGGTGGGGTTTAGAACTAAGGGGCACCACCGTATGGTTTTTGTTACGTGGGGACACCTGAATGGACGATATTTGATGTGTAGATTGTGTAGATCATCCCATGATCATCCCAACCTTGGGCAATCAAATATATATATATATATATATATATATATCCAATAGATTCCAATAGTCAACTCTGACAGGGGATGGTTTATGTTGCTAGGCGTGGAGTTCTTCAATGTTTTTCATGGATGTGATGGGATGTAACCATCGAATCAAATTGGGATAGTGATGGATCTATGCTCGTTGACTATGCCCGTACCATGCATGGGATAATATGACTATGATGATCCCTTCCCCGATCATACATACTAAATACGTCTAACTATTTTGAGACCCCAAGATGAAGGAGGAGCAGTAACCGAATGCTAAACCAGTGTTACATTGGGACGTTTTTTTTCCATATTATTGGGAAGGAATTGCCATGGACATCATTAAATTTTACCTACATGAACTATCTTGAAAAATAGTTCCCTAGCTGCCCTAGCTCTAAGTTTAACCTGGAAACTGAACAATAGGGCATTCAACACATTTACCGCGGGATTAAGCCATACAACAGGTAAATGGTAGGATATGCACTGGTTCAGGTGGTTTCAATATTTCCAAATGGAACAAATCGATTGCCAGCAGCCAACCAGGAGCTGGTTGTGATTCGCGGCACGTCTGAGCCTCAAGTTCTTCGCTGTCTTTGGTGTCAGAAATTGAATGGTGATGCAAAAGTTTACATCTCGTTGAAAGAAAACATTAGATCAAGAGATCACATGTTTGACATGTTAACTTCTCTGATACGATTATGACATGAGCTGTGAAATATTCGTCCACATTGGACTACAACCACCTGAATGCAAGTGTCTTTGCACGAAAAGTGCATGTGGAGCGTGCGTTGATAACCCTATAGCCTATAGCATTATGCACCTGTATCATGAGCAAGTGCAGGTTGATATAATTGTTCTTCAGATAATCCCTTGCCCCCAATATCCAATCCACCTAGAGAATTGGACTTGATATTGGATTTGTTCATTTTGGGGGCCCATATATATATAGGTGGGTATCTAATATTAGGGGATGGGAAGTCAACGATGAGTTTTTAATTCCAAATGGGCACCAGACCTAAGATTATCCCAACAACAGGTTCCCCCCATGTACCTCCATATTTCATGGTTTATCATTGTATATTCTCCATTAAAATGGTCAAATGATTGGACATATATGGACAAATCTATTTCTCTCAGACCAAGAGGACTTGAGCACCCGGAAATCACCCCCCCACTTTGAGCACCAGGACCTTGGACATCTATGCCTGCACCCAGCGGCTAGAGCATCTCGTTGGGGGATGCATCAATGAGAGCGTGGCTTTGGCCATGGGTTCTGTAGCGGTCTCGGGATCTGTGGTTCTTGGGGAATCAAACACTCTTTCGTGGCTTCATTTACATATACATATAATATGTGGGGCCCCCGAGATAGCTAAGTTGGTTTATAACTCCAATAATTATGGTTTATGGTACTTATAACTATAGTTAATGGGGGTTATAAACCAACTTATAACTGGGGGGCCCCACATTGTAACTATTTGGCGGTTTTATATATCATGCATGGTTCGATCAATCCATTCAATCCATGACACCAACTGGGTGATGATCCCAGTTGGTATGTTCGGGATGGGTTTTCCAATGGTTGAAGCCACTTGAAGTCACCAAAGACTGGTTTCGCACGGAACCTTGGAGACTCCTCAAGTTTGAACTGGTTCCCAACCTTTCTTCCGGTCTCATTCGTGTTGGTTCCTCAACGAAAACTGCTACTGGATCGGATGTTTCTGTTGCATTGGTGACATTTTTCTTGGGCTCCCCAGTCGCCTTTGTTGGGTGTAGCTCGTTCTGCGTCAGGTGAGCTGCTTGCTGGTAGCTGCATCCAAGGGCAGCTATGATTTGCTGGTGCTGGTGACTGCATCTCGGCGTGGGATTTTGCCAGCGAAAATGCAGCGAAAATGTAGTGACTGTCTATGGGATTTTCACCTTCGAGCATGGCAATTTTATGGGATTTGTTGCCCAGCCAAGTTGGTTTGTAATCGTAGCGCTTCGCTCAAAAGGGTTTTTGGATGTGTTTGGTAGATATATCGAACGAGCCAACTGGGTGAAACTAAACCAACAAACATTTCACTGGACATCATGTTGAGTGGGCATGGCCTCCAATATGGTCAACAAAAGCCACAGATGTTCGTCAAGTTCTTTAAAAAAGCCATCCAAGTTTGGAGCCCTCTTTTTGGTGACCCATACAAATCATACAGAAACTGAGCTTGACAAAGATCTATCTGAAAGGTTTATCCGCTCCACTGCAGCGCAGGTCTCGTTGCAAATTCTTGTGGTGCGTATTTGCCTCAGTTGATGCCGATGTCAAAGTGTGGGTATACCGGGTATATACCCCCAGAATTTATCATTTTAAGACGGAAGAGGAACCAGTTGATGTGGGGATATCGGATGATATCGGGATAGCCATGGATAGCCTATTTTCAGACAAACCGATGGTACCGATGAAACAAGACGGGTATCTAAGATTTGATGCCGAGACAAGGCTGGGATTTTTTCGGCCGAAAGTCCCAGCAGATTTTGGGTGGGCGATTTCAGTTACGACAGTTACGACCTAACTCAGGGCCTTTCTTTTTTTCGGGTTGGGTTTCTTTGTAGTGACGGCCTGGGATGGTTTTTCTGTCAGATAATTACTGAATATTACTCCAATTTCACTATGGTTTATGGTTCATGTCATTCTGCAGCTTGAGTAAATCAATCACTCGTGCTGACATGCAGTGATGTCGACTAAGTGCCACGATTGGGCTGGTAGTCTGGCAAAAAATCGGATGCAAAAACGGTGCCACTTGCTTCGGCAACACGCAGCATCCATTGGCCATCTTCAGGCCATAAATCACTAAAGGAATGAATTCGTGAGCCTTCCTGTCTGATCCGGGTGCGAAGTCCAGTGAACAAAGTGATGATCATTGCCTTACAGAGACCTGCCGGGTACTCCTTGGCCTCGGCTGTACGGAATCGCTTTTCCGTATGGTCGAATCCCTCAAGGATGTTGCACGGCTTCCGAAGGCCTGGAATTTCTTCAGCATGGAACACATTGGAGCTCGGGGGCAAACCATAGCAATCGCAGCGTAGTAGGCTTGACACATGGTGCGCCAAAGCGCCATTGATGAAAAACAATCTGCTGAGAACCTGGTGCCTGCATGCAAAATTTGGATTGGAGTTTAGTGCGCCAGACACTGGCAAAGGACATATCAAAGGGGGGAGCAGGATGTTCCATTCCAGTTGCTCCACCTACTTATAAGTAGACGCGCAGTTCAATTCGCACATTGTGGAGCATGAGCTTGCTACCAAGAGCTAGTTGTCGCAGCTCCCGGAGGTTTAGGCCATGAACACCCCAGGGGCGTAGTGCCGAACGTAATGGCCGAGGCCATTGGAACGGACTATCGTCAGGAGCTGGAACATGCCTGGCTGCGCTCCATGTTTCGCAAGGAGGGCCTGCTCAGGAGCAAGCTACATACTGAGCATCCACAATTCGAAACAAAGCAGCAAGCCCTTCTCCCTCGGCTAAATTGCACAAGTCAGGGTCGACTGCCGTATCCAGTGAAAGGACGCAAAGCTTCAAATCAGGAAAAAACTCCGAAAAGAGGGTCTGTGCCCAAAAATCGTCTGCCCGAAAATAGGTGGATCATCACAATGGTATGGGAACCATCTGGAAAACAACATACAGGCACTCCTCTAGGTCGGGGCCAGTGCAGGACGTTGGAACCCACAAACGGTGAAAGCAATTCATCAGGGTGATCGAAGCATCCATCGAGAGATTCCAAGGCACGATGGCTACGTGGATCTCGAACACTCGCTGGTACTTCGAGAGGAATTTCAACAGGTGGACGGCCTCGATGAAGTCTGTCCAATTCAGACAGCAGAGGATCCATAGGAAATTCCTGTGCGAGATCAGCGTAGGCTTGTTCAATGATGGGACCAATGTCGACATCATCAACACATTCAAGGACATCGGTGATGTCTGACCGACCCCAGATGAGAAACGCCCATAAAGCATACACCCCTTGTATCTCTGAACGTCGTTCACACTCATCAATAAAGGAGCACCATTGGAAGATGAGTTGATCTGCAATCGCATCATGGGCGAAATCTCGGCAAACCTGCAAGGTAATGGCACGAATACGATCAAAAACTGTTTGACAAATGATGTCAGGGAGCTCATCAGGATACCCATGTTCAGCCCATCGCACTCTCCATTGCTCCCAGTCATGTTGGTGCTTGCGGACCCAACATGTAGTAGCCGGGACGGAAGCTGGGCCATCTGCATAGACCCATGGAAGACGATGCATGTTCCGGTGAAAATCAGGCAAAGCAATGGGTGTCGATGTTGCTTGGGGATCAAAATGTCGCCTCAAAATGGCTAGGCAACCATCTTCATGTTTTCGGGAATATCGCAAGTGCTGTTGAAGTCTCTGAGCAGTCCAGAAGCATTTGCCACATGCTGCACATGTGCTAGAAAAAACATACTGACGCTCAAGAGAAATTTCATGATGTACACGCCAACGGTGCGCAGAAAGGCCTTGCGGAGTCGTGAAGCTTGCGGGACAAGTGGAGCACTGAAAACGTTGCAAAAGAAGGTTGTCAGGCACAGGTGCATTGTCAAAGCAAATCCCATGCTGGGTGCACACTTCTTGCAGATCACGATATCCATGGGCGACTTCCTGAATCATGTGTTCTTGCAGGATGTGCTTCTTCACCGCAATTCGCACTCGATTAGCACAAGCCGGCGTAGCTGCAGAGAGCCACTTGAAGATATCAACGGTGGACCAGTCAGTTTCGGCAGGGACATCATGAGGGCACAGGCGCGCATACCATCTGAGCGCATGGCGAAGTGCATGAAGCCACGAATCATCACATAGATCGTCCTCAAGAGAGATGCAATTCCAGAGCTCAATGGGGGCATGCTGATACATCTTCAATGCTAGCAGTAAACGGTGCTTAGCAAGGCGAACTGACAAACATGGGAGCTCCCAAGTTGCCAAAAATTCATAGTCAGTCATGCGCGTGTGGGACCAAAATCCAACACCGACAATGCTACGCTGCCAGGATAAAATGGCATGTGAGACATGGGTATATTGTCGATGAGACAAAAGAGGCCACGCTCCACTGCCATACATCAGAATCGAAATAACAAGGGATTCAAGGAGCTGGAGCCGCGTTTTCACGGGAATGTGCCGGTTATGAAAAATGGTTCTCCGCATCTGTCTGAAGGCACTGGATGCTTTGCCAACTCTCGTCTTCAGCTCAGTCGCAATAGACATGCTTTGGGAAGCAACAGTACCTAGATGCGTGTAGCACGCAACTACATGAAGATCAAGATGACCGGGAACAGGCAGTCGCCCATGATCATCAATGAATCGAGCACGTCGGCAGTCCCTGGCACCTGTGCCCTTGTAGCTCAGAATTGCTTCGGTTTTTCCTGGTGACATATTGAGCCGTAATCCATACTTGGCAAAGATCTGATGTATCTGAACCATCACGTCAGCAACTGTAGGATCCAGCATAGCAGCAGTCTGGGTGAGCACAGGGAATTGTCAACCCAGGCAATAACTGGAACTTCAATGCCAACAGTAGAACTTGCAGCAAGGATTTGAGGGTGATCTCGCAGGAAAGGTTGCAGTTCTCGCAGGATGGAGACCATCAGCAAATTATAAGCTATGTCTGCCACTGGCGATCCTGGGCGGGAGCCACGCGCAGTGGTGTGGCATTGGGCTTCCTGAGGTGACGCAAACCATGTATGTAAATGCGCATCCTTTAAAATTCGAGCTGTCACGGGTTCAACTGTCTGCTCAAACGAGGATGCATGGTTTTGAATGTCATGCTCAAGCTGGGTTACTGACAATCCTTCACGAGTCAACAAGTCTGCTAAAACAGGTGGAAAAGCAAGACCTGTGCCAAAAACGTGCTCACGCAAAAGGCAGTGGAAAGCATTGCGCACATCTAAGAACACTATGGCAGTTGACAAACCGTGATGAAGGGCCAAACGTCCAAAAAGCCGGAGCCAGAGTGTGGCAAAACTAGCTTGTTGGTCTCTGAAGCCTCCAAACTGTGATTTCAGTTTTCGTTCTTGGGCAGAAGGCAACACTGCTTTTCTCATCAGTGCATGACCCAGTTTGCCCAAACCATCCAACAAAACTATGCCCCTCATGTCTGCGGCATGCATGGAAATCTTCTTCTTCGTGATGGTCCATACCATTCCGCCCTTAAATTGTAAGGGCTCGGCACTGGTAAGCCACGATTTGAAAAATAGGGAATGGAAAGCACTGGAGAAAGTTAAGGCTTGGCATCGCAAATGTTCATTGAGCACAGTATCAAGGCCCGGTGCTTTCCGCGATTTCACACGTCTGGCTACTATCTCGACATCAAGCCGGGAAGGCACATGAACAAGATCGATACTGAGGGGTGCTTCATCAATGCGACTCTTCTGATCTTCAAAACACTGTGACAGCAAAGAGGCATAATCGCAGGGCTCACCAGCTTCAAGAGAGCAATAGTGGCTCATAAGATCTGCATTTGTTGGACCATGGCATCGTATATTTTGCTGGCTCCGCTTGATGTTCTTGGGCAACAGAGGTTTGATTGATGTCCACAAACGATTGAAACCCTCATCAGCTGCAATCTGACCTTGTTGTTCGGCAAGGTGGATGAAGAATTTCTTGTCATCAAGTCGGACAGCTTTGGTCACACAACGACTCAGGCGTTGATACTGCCACAAATGCAAGGCAATGGTCTGGTCACATAATCGCATCCACCGAGAACAATCAGACACTGGCGCCGTGGCTTTCCAAGCACGAAACACAGCAAGCAAGTAATGTCGGTTCTGCAAGCGTTGGACTGTGCGTACTCGAAGGAAATGATGTCGTTTCCATCGGATCATATGCCATGTCTCGTCCGTCATATGGCTTTTTCTTCGAACAGCCTTGGTGCGAGGAGGTTGTGTGGTGCATAACCAACGCTGCAGGGTGGCAGCATGCGTGTGCACATTAACATTCCACTCAATGTTTGGCGGAGGGTTGTCACAAACTGTTGGCGGAGGACGAAAGTCATGTGTACAGCGTGGAGTTACACGGCAAGAAAAGTCAATGGGTAAATCCACTTGAACTGCAACATGATCCAGCTTTTGCATGGCAAGATCAATTTCGGCAATAGATGTACGAACCTGACATGAGCGTAGACATTGGGACAGCACAACATAGTCTAGCCTAGCCGCTGCTCCACTGGCATGGAACCATGTGTTTCCTTCACCGGCATGAAAATCGGCAAATGTCTGGGGCGCATACATGTCAGAGTCTTGGAGCCATTGATGGAAAATGGTTCCAGGAGGATCCTCAACTTGAGACTGATGACCTCCTACATGATCAGACACAAATTCACCGACTCGAGCATTGGCATCAACGAGACCGATCGTTGGAACGTGTCTCAAATGATGAGGAACTGCTGCTGTCGTAGCTTTCCACCAGGTTCGGTACTCTTCATCAGGGACATTAGAAGGCGCATGTCCAACAAGAAAAATCAAATGCAAGCCATCGTGTTTGAGTTGAACTACTAACCTTCGAGAGGTTGCATGGAGAATTCGCAAATGCCGAGCAAGAATGGCCAAGGTACCTGAAGAAGTCTTCCAGGTTTGTTGGATCCAAAGTTGAACTCCTCCTGTCCACGCGATGTGGCAGGGGAACTCAAAACATGGAAGCTGCCTACAACAAAATGGCCTGAGGCTTTGGAGCGTGTTTCCTGGACGCCAATCACTTGAGCATGAATATCTTGAAATTGCTTCATCAAGGATTCTTGTCGTGCCGTCACATATGACCCATGACCTGCTTCGGAAGGAAACAGCGTGAGCACATTGGCAGTACAACATCTCAAGGTCATGCTCGAGGGGTGTTGCAGCGCATCATTTCGCTCATTCCGCAAAACAAAGGGATGGTGGTCAGCGAACGGAGAGACAAGGAATGGGGCATCAAGGTCCACATGCATGATGTGTTGCTGCAGGCACGGAAAACCGCATTCACCTTGTTGAGCTGCTTCCACAAACCACAACCATTCAACGCATTTCGAATCTGTGTTGTCAAAGGTAAGAGAAGCAAGAATCTCAGTGATAGGGACAGAGGCGATCCATTGGTGTAGAGCAGCCCAGGCTGCTGCATCAGCAGCTTCATTCCAGGGATGGTCATTGTGAGCCTTGATATGTTTCCAGTGCCATTGACATCGGTGTCTCTGCTGAAGCCACTGCACAAGTGCACGAGCTGGTTTCTGAATATCAGCATGTGCAAGGATCTGCCATTGGCCAGCAGCAGGCAAACCAGCAGCAAGGATCTTGAATTGTTTGCGAATGCTCTTCAAGGATCTGAGAAGCCCAAAGGAGCGCTCCCAGAATCGCTGCCATCTCAGCACGAGGGGCTGATGCTCCTTCAAAGAGGGAAAAGCATCGAAATCCACCAAAGAGAGTATCATGCAAGGTATGTACGAGGAGCACTACCGCTGAAGCTCCTTGACGCACTCCGTCAACATGCGCAGCTGATCCATCTGTGAAGAAAGAAATCTTGATTGGGGGCTCATTGGTCCACGCTACCATGGTTTCAAATGCTGCCAGGGTGACCGGATGCCACTTAACGACTGCATTGTTGGAATGCCATTGACCTAAGTCAATCTGCAAGCACTGCTGCCGTATAGTTGCAAGCACTGCATGGTTTATGGTACACAAATAACTACAAGCTGTATAGTTTTCATGGGGTTTATAAACCAACAAACATAACTGGGGGGCCCCACATTGTACTGAATATTACTGATACTGAATTTAGGAGTGCCAGCAACCAGGCAGGGTTTCGGTAACGGGTGGAAGTGTTGAACAAAAAGAGACCCTTCAGCTCTCCGTCACCAGGCTATGACAACAATGCCAAAGTTTTGCAGTTGTCTCTTGGTGTACATGGAATCTCCGCGGCAAGTGAGGGCCAAGCTGATATCGTTTGACCAGGTTGGCATGAGATGATTGACATACAGCAACATTTAGCGTGCAAAACCATGCAAAACCATTGATGTTTAAGGTTTAATAAGCACATACACAGACACACACACATATGTATATGTATCTATATATATATTATATATATGTACATACTATAGTATGTGATTTATACATACCGTGTTTTTCAGTATGTATGCATGAAACACTGAAACACTGAAACACTCCCATTTTTCAGTATGTATGCTCATTGCCAAGATACCAAGCACGGGTCCGCCATGGCCGGCTTCCACATAAAAATTATCTGCTCAAATCGGCATGTTTGATGTTTAAACCCGCATCCTTGGTTCATAGAGAAACATGTTTGATCGGTTTTATGGCCAAATAATGTCAAATACATGTTTTTGGTTGGTCAAATCCCAGTTTTTGCAGCTTTGATCCTAATTCGCAGATCAACTCCAATGTTTGGTTGCTTCAAACCCCACAGTTTGAAATATTAAACCATATGACCTTAACTTACTGCTCTTTGCTAGGACAATGTCCATGTTTCCCCCGAAAAAATTGCTTCATACCCAGGTTGGCCAGCGCGGACGCGGGGAACATGGTGCTGGGTGCCACGGCTCGCCCCGCCTCCTGTGGCACGTCCAGTTGCCGACGCTTCGTGGCGGCGGCTCGGACTAGCTGGGCCATGCTGGGCAGGGGGCGTGTAGCTGGCATGTTGTTGTTTTTCCTGGGGGTATGGTACCCCATGGTACCCCCAAAATCCATGAAAATCCAATGGTCTATCATGTCTATCATCATTTTCTCACTTGAAATTGTTGGTTGGGGATGAGACCTCATTTTCAGACACGCCTTTGGCCACATATGGGGACCATCTATGACCATCTGGTTGTTTTTTTCCATTTCCATCAAAGATTAGTAATCAACCATGTGGGGGCTGCAAATCATTTGAGAGATAGGGATAGCACAATAGAATATGATGTTTGGAGTGATGGTTAGGGGACGAACTTTTCAAGTTAGAGAACCAACACATAAATCCAGAGATTTGATGTGCGACAATCCGTTCATACACAAACTATTTGGGAGGTCGCCGGGATTTTGAAGGGTTTTGACCCAAACCCACATGGAAATGTCATGAAAGTTACTGTAACACTGAACATTGGGATTTAAGTGCGAGAAATGGATATGTTGAAGTGGACATTTGTGGATTTAAGCGGGAAAATGGATTTGACCATGACAAATGAGTCAATGAGGATTGAATCGAGAACAACGTGAGTTTTCACCAGTAAGAATGGGGATTTTATGCCTTGCTGTGCTCGAACTGGGAACTGAAAACAACCTCTTAGACCTTACGCATTTAAGAACAGAGCACCTAGACCTAGACCAACTTGTTTCCAAAATTGGTAAGGACACAACAGGAGTGCCTCAGGTGTACCTGTACAGCAACATTGTGGCAATCGCCGACCTGGCAGCCGTAGAAGCCTCCTTTGAGCAGAATGGAGTCGTTGACCTGCCGCATGGCTGCGCCAAAAGGCTGCGGGGGTTGCGGTCTCCAAAGAGGTCCCTCCCGGGTCCATCCCGGGTCCATTTGAAATCCGAAACCATCGGGGTATTCCTGGGGGAACCAGCCAGGCGGCGCCATGAACAGCTTCAATATTTGCATATATTTGCCGCCTTGATGCCGCGTAGGTATTTGGTGGGGTTGGAATGAGTTGGATCCGAAAAAAACTTCAATCTGTTTCACGTGCACAAAGTAACGCGCATCCAGAGCTGAAACATTTGAAAAGTCTGAAAACCACACTCTAGATTTATCATCTCATGCCTTTTCAAAGTTGGAACTCGTTTGGCCATGGGAGCTCAGGAAGACCAGCCAGAAGATGTTTTATGTGGACGTGAAGGAACAAGTCGCATGCCTGGACTTCTTGACTTTCGCGCCTCGGTTTCTGCGCCGAAATCCGGACAGTAGTCGCCCCAGCAAAAGTATTCAAGGCGTGCACGAAACCGTTAGGATTCGGCAACAAGCTGTGATTGGGATAGGAGCGATCCTGAAAAAATGTTTAATCTTAATTGAAGGGCTAGCTTTGTGTAGCCATCTTGGCGTTGATTGCAAGGTGTTTCCAGGGGCGCATTATCAAGCCGGAAAGCAGCGGAATGGGTACTGTTGAGCTTCTGATTTCTGAGATATACCCACCTACAGTTCAATAGAAACCTTTTCAAGATTTCAAAGCTCGGGTATCCCCAAGCCAACGAAAAAATGCAGGTCACTTTGAATGTTACACCTACTTACCCTCTCTCTAGTCATCATGCTCCCTGAAGAAAGACATTATTTTGATATGAGACAAGCGCCGAATCAATTGGAGATAATTGAGATTTCCAGCCAGCCAAGTGAGATTGCCAAAGGCTAAAGTCAGTTTGTTGTTTTAATGACCCACCACATTTCGTTGGTGAATTGTTTCTGATTTGTATTATCTTATTAAATCGACAGAAATCAAAATCAATGTAAATCTCCATTTCTTGATGGGTAAACAGTCATATTAATCACAGCTTTTGTTGTTTAAACCACCGCTATGTTTGGTGACGAAATTGCCCCTCCAGTTCCTCCAAGTTGCAGCGTGAATGTCAAGGTGTCAGAGGCGACGCCCCAGCTGGTGGCCCTGCACGCGCGCGAAGATGCCTGCGGAGCTTGGGAGGCGACTCAGCTGGGGCGGCTTATCCCATCCGCCAGATTTTTGTTGGGGGGATGACCCTAGGGTCAAGCTACGTACAAAAAGATGTGGATAACCCATGGTTTCATTAGGAACAAATCTATATTCCAAATCTACGTTAGTTTACCCCGGGGTAGATCGCCATACAGATGGATTTACCATAAATCATGATTAGATCGCCTGAATTGGACATTTTACTTCTTATTTGAGCGTTTTATGAGTTATAGATGTATTTAGCACTGAAATATATACTGTATATATATATAGAAATATATATATATATAGAATTATATATATATATAGAATTATATATATATACAATCAAAATTTAGGAGGGGAGCAACAAGCCGCCAAGTAAGGCTACAAGTGTACAAGGAAGTCATGTTTCTTGGCTTACATGCACAATCCCATTGAAATAGGGGCTTTACCATCAACAACAGGGGCCTCACAATATGTTATGTTTGTTGGTGAATCACTTCATCGAATCCAACTATAGATATATATTACCATGATATATCCACCCAAAAAACTATAATAACAAATCTAGTTTGCCTAGTGATACACTGTATTACACCAACTTACCTGTTCAGGGGGTCCCTTCCTATAACCAGCCCACATGCCACCGTTGGGCCTGGGCAGGATGGTCAAAAGGTGCTTTGCGTCCACTCCGTGGACCTGCAGAAAAAGCTTCCTGACCAAACGTCCCAGGAGTTTCGAACGATCATCCATGGCTAAGGTGAAGATGACTCCAATAACTATTGTTGGTGATGGTTAGATGATATTTGTAACTATATAGTAAATGGATATCAGGGGGGACCTAGGTGGGACCTATCATGGAGAATGGATATCATTTACCTAGTGAATGAAGTTCAAAGTGGTGCCCCAGTTTGCTAAATTGCTTGAAGTAAGTAGAAAGACTATGGTCAACCCTGATTTATGCAACTCGAGGGCACCACCTTGTATCCATCCATGCATGATTCACCACCGGGTGAATCATTTGGTGAGAAAAGATATAAATACAAGCTAATAGCAGTGTTCTGGGCCTAGAAATTGGACAGTTAGGGACGTAATATATATATATATATATATACCAGTAGTACCGCACAAGGCGGTGGCGGAAGTTTCAAAAATAGGAAACCTATAGGAGAGGTTGGTTATTGTGAATCAGGGATGGCAGGGCGAAGCCACTGATGGACTGAAAGGTGCTTGAGGTCTCCTCTCTGTCTCTCTCTCTTTATCTGACTATCTACCTACCTATCTATCTTCTATGTATCTATCTATCTATCTAGCTAGCTATCTATCTCTCTCTTTCTCTCTTTCATCTAATTACCTATCTACCTATCTACCTATCGACCTATCGACCTATCTACCTATCTACCTATCTACCTATCTACCTATCTACCTATCTACCTATCTATCTATCTGTGGTGCAGTGTCATTCAGTGTATTGTAGTGTAGTGTAATGTAGTGTAGTGGAGTGAAGTGGCATGTAGTGTAGTGTAGTGTAATGTAGTGTAGTGTAGTGTAATTTCGTGTAGTGGATTGTAGTTGTGTAGTCGTAGTTGTAGTTCTAGTGTAGTGGAGTGTAGTGTAGTGAAGTGTAGTGGAAGGTAGTGTCGTGTAATGTAGTGTAGTGTAGTGGAGTGTAGTGTAGTGTAGTGGAGTGTAGTGTAGTGTAATGTAGCGTAGTGTAGTGTAATTTAGTGTAGTGGAGTGTAGTGGAATGTAGTTGTGTAGTTGTAGTTGTAGTGTTGTGGAGCGTAGTGTAGTATAATGTAGTGTAGTGGAGTGTAGTGTAATTTAATGTAGTGTAGTGTAGTGGAGCGTAGTGTAGTGTAATGTAGTGTAGTGAAATTTAATGTAGTGGAGTGTATTGGAGTGTAGTCTAGTTGTGTAGTTGTAGTTGTAGTGTTGTGGAGTGTAGTGTAGTGTAATGTAGTGTAGTATATTGGAGTGTGGTGTAATGTAACGTAGTGTAGTGTAGTGAAGCGAAGCGGCGAAGCGACATCTGAACCTCCAAAAGTGGCGCGAACATGTAGTGTTTTGTACATTTTCACTTCGAAATGTGCTTCGCGCCACAACGGCGTGCACTTTTTCGACATCTCAACTTCCAAAAGTGGTCCGAGACCGCCAGTTTTTAACACTTTTGACTTCGAAATGTGCTTCGCGCCACAACGGCGTGCACTTTTTCGACATCTTAACTTCCAAAAGTGGTCCGAACGAACCCCTAGTGTTTTGTACATTTTGACATCAAAATGTGCTTCGCGCCACAACGGCGTGCACTTTTTCGACATCTCAACTTCCAAAAGTGGTCCGAACCCCTAGTGTTTTGTACATTTTGACTTCGAAATGTGCTTCGCGCCACAACGGCGTGCACTTTTTCGACATCTTAACTTCTAAAAGTGGTCCGAACCCCTAGTGTTTTGTACATTTTGACTTCAAAATGTGCTTCGCGCCACAACGCCGTGCACTTTTTCGACATCTCAACTTCCAAAAGTGCTCCGAGTTTGCCAGTTTTTAACACTTTTGACTTCCAAATGTGCTTCGCGCCACAACGGCGTGCAATTTTTCATCTCTCCTGTGGCCAGCTGGCTCCGCACCCGCCGCTTTAGCGAGCCTACTTTTCGACCCTCCAGAGCCACAAATCATTGGAAAAACACAGTGTTTCGCGACTTTCCTACCTTTTCGCGCATCTGCATCTTCTGTCTTCTTACTCTTTCTCTTCTACTCTTCTTTCTTCTAATCTTTCTCTTCTCTATGCCTCTTCCCTGCTCTGCTTTTCATCTCTCCATATTGTCGGAAGTTTGACTTCTAAACTTCCTTCGATAATATGTGTGTGCGCATATTCATTTTAGTCCACAAGGATAGTTAGGGGTGGAAGAATGCAACATCACCAAAATGTATTGTCATCAGAGCAATCTATTGAGGGCCATGCGCATCACTGAAAAGGCTACAGATCCCTACAGCATTTAGATTCCTATACTGGAACATGTTTTATTTTTCCATATAGGGTTAATCATCCCAAGTAACTAATATATTATTCAGAGGGGTAGGTATACCACCAATCAGTTATAGTATTTTCATGTAATTAATGTTCTTCATGATACCGGGTTCGGTAACGAAGCATGTCTTCGAGGGAGAATCCACCTTTCGTCACTGGGATGTGTCTATATTTCGTTGCGTCGAAGCTTTCCCTGGAAGTCGTGCCTTTTTATGGAAAACGCAAGCAAACTCTGGTGATCACAGCGCAACCATGTTTTTAAGTGTTTTTGTGTTTTTTTCTTGCGTTCAGCTTGGGTTTAGGGATCTAGTTATGCTTTGGGTATATGTAGTTTTTGTTGCGTTCGGTTGGGGGGGAAACTTTTTTTGTTGCAGCTGCTTTCTTATCAGTGACTTCTGTACGTTCAATTGTATTTAGCAACTACTGTTAAACTGCTGCTCAATTGCTGGCTGTTGCTCAGTTGCTGCCGCTGGCTACTGCCAAACTGCTGCTGGATTGCTTCTGAACTACTATTAAATTGCCAATTCTAAAAGGAACATTATTTTCAATCCTCAAATTTTGGGGTAGCTTATTTTCACAAAAACTAAGTGAATAATTATGATCCAATTTGGACATGGTTTATACCACCTATTTATGGTGATGGGATGGTTTAAGATGTCACAGATGTCACCGATATTGAGGCGTGCGCAGTGCCTGGCGAAGCCAGAGCTTCCAGCTGCCCGTGGCGTGGCAAATGTTCCTGGGAGGCCGACGAAAAAAGGGGCGACCGGGAGGGATGATGGAGCTACCTTCGAGCTGGCTTCAAAAAAAAACTGTTACTTGTGTTTTTGTCGTTGATGCACAATGTGTGCAGGGCGTTAGATCTATCTATCTATATATCTATCTGTCTCTCTGTCTGTCTATCTATCTAACTAGCTATCTATCTACTATCTATCTATCTATCTATCTATCTATCTATCTATCTACTCTATCTACTCTATCTACTCTATCTAATCTATCTAATCTATCTAATCTATCTAATCTATCTAATCTATCTATCTAATCTATCTATCTAATCTATCTATCTAATCTATCTATCTAATCTATCTATCGAATCTATCTAATCTATCTATCTAATCTATCAATCTATCAATCTATCAATCTATCAATCTATCAATCTATCAATCTATCTATCTATCTATCTGTCTATCTATCTATCTATCTATCTATCTATCTATCGAATCTATCGAATCTATCAAATCAAATCTATCGAATCTGTCTCATCTGTCTGATCTGTCTCACCAATATAGTCTGTCTAATCTATAAAATATATCTAATCTTTCTACTGTATCTAATCTATCTACTCTATCTAATCTATCTAGTCGATCTAACTTATCTAATCTATCTAATCTATTTGATCTATCTAATCTTTCTAATCTATCTAGTCTATCTAATCTATCTTAATCTATCTACCTATCTATCTACCTATCTAATCTAATCCAATCCAATCCAATCTAATCTAATCTAAATCTAACCTAAATCTAATCTAAATCTAATCTGTCTATCTATCTTTCTATCTGCCTATCTATCTATCGATCGATCCATCGATCTATCTAATCTTTCTAATCTATCTAAATCTATCTACCTATCTAATCTAATCCAATCCAATCCAATCTAATCCAATCCAATCCAATCTAATCTAATCAAAATCTATCTATTTATCTATCCTATCTATCCTATCTGTCCTATCTATCCTATCTACCCTATCTATCCTATCTATCCTATCTACCCGATCTATCCGATCTATCCGATCTATCCTGTCTATCCTGTCTATCCTGTCTGTCCTATCTATCCGATCTATCCGATCTATCCGATCTATCCTATCTATCCTATCTATCCTGCCTATCCTATCTATCTAATCTATCTAATCTATCTAATCTATCTACCTATCTATCTACCTAGCTACCTGTCTACCTATCTACCTATCGACCTATCGACCTATCTACCTACCTACCTACCTACCTACCTTATCTATCTATTTATCTATCTATTTATCTATCTATTTATCTATTTATCTATCTATCTGCCTGTCTATCTATCTATTTATCTTTCTATCTGTCTGTCTATCTATCTATCTATCTACCTATCTATCTATCTATAATTTTTATCTATCTATCTATCTATCTTTCTATCTATCTATCTATCTCTCTGTTTGTCTATCTATCTATCTAGCTAGCTATCTATCTATCTATCGATCTGTCTATCTATCTTTCTATCTATCTAATCTAATCTAATCTAATTTAATCTAATCTAATCTAATCTAATCTAATCTATCTATCTATCTATCTATCTATCCATCTCTCCATCTCTCCATCTCTCCATCTCTCCTCTCTCTCTCTCTATATATATATATATAAATATATATATATATCCCAGTAGTATCTCCAGTAAGTCCCATTACATCCCATATCATCTCATCAAATCATCATGTTTTTCGTGGCACACGGCCAGCTGGTGTGTTCGCAGGCAATACCTGTGCTGCGACCTCATCGCTGCAGTACCTCACAGCGCCGGAACATGGGCAGCTTCAGGTGCCAGAAAGCGGCTAGGAAGTCACCCAGAAGTCTTGATAAGTCAAGGGATTTCAAGAGAAAATATGGGCAAATGTGGGAACATATAAAACATATAGGCAACATATAGGAACTATGATAACATTTAGGGAAAAACAACCTTATTTTGCATTTGACAAAAAATAAAGTATAATTTGGCGTTGTGCCGCTGACCAGCCAAGATGATGCTGAGAACCAACCAGCGAGCTATGCTGATGCTATCCTGCCGGTTGCATTCTACAATACTTTTTACATATTGACCCGAGAAACAAAATCTGTAATTAAGTAGGGTTGTCGAACCATTTGACGGAAATATATTTAACCTTTTACTGGATTCCACAAGCAAATATACAGTGAAAGAACGAACAATCGTTTTATTTGGATACGAGTAACGTTATTCCGTGCGATGATTGACATGCAAATGTCGACCCAATTTGGGGGCATCAAGGCTTCAGCTTTTGACTCAATTTGGAGGCCCCCCTTCATAAGTTTGTTTTTAATTTTTAACCTATATTACACTGATAGGTGTTGGGTCATACCACGACAGTGGAATCTATACCACGACAAGATCATCAACTATAGAACAGCAGATCTACCATAAAATCCCAGTTGGCCAAGTTAGAAAAATGTTCGAAATAGCCAACTCTGGGGCACCACAGGGGCTGCCGACCCAGGTGCTGTACTTGCAGCTTGGCTTGCAGTGGAACGGGGTGAAAAAAGGGGGATGCGGCACATTGTAGCCAACCTAATGGATCGAGGATTATGTTCATGGCTCATATATAATTACATATATACATATATATATATATATGTGTGTGTTTATTTATTTATTTATTTACATGTATCATATGTTTTCCCATGGTTTCTCATCATTTTCCCATCTTTTCCTGGCCCGTAAAGGCTGTGGGTGCTGGCTACGTCCGCCTGTTCAATGCCGAGCTCCAACAACTCATCGCTGTGCGTGGGACGCAGGCTTGCTGACAAGAGGATATGTATAATCTGTGTACGTATGCATGTGTATGTGCAATGATATATTGATTAATTAGGCACATGCACATACATGCATGCATGCATACATGCATGCATAAATACATACGTACATACAGACAAACACACACACACACACCCACCCACCCACCCTGTTGGATAGATAGATGGATGGATGGATGGATGAATGGATAGATAGATAGATAGATAAATAGATAGATAATAGATAGATAGATAGACAGATAGATAGATAGATAGATAAATAGATAGATAGATAGATAGATAGACTTTAGATAGATAGATTTATTTACGTAACCTTAAAAAACATAACAGTTAAAATCCAACTAAAAAGCCGCACATCACTTAGCTGAAGCCTATACGGCAGCATTTGCCAGGCTTGCAGCTCAATGCTGGTGAAAGTCAACGATGCAGGAAATCGGTGGCTGGTCGCTGGCTCCTTGGGAGACCTCTATTTGTCACTTGCAGCAGTGAGCCGTGGAGTTGAGCTGGGGGGAAGCCTGAAAAAATGTTTCAAGTCATGGAGGAAAAAATGATTCATGGCCTGAATTTTTTGGAGCTTCTTGAAGTTCCACCTAAAATTTTAAATCAACGTCAATATTCTTCGATCGTGACGTGGGTTTGTGGGGGGAGGATCCCCGAAAAACGTTGACGTTGCAATTGGAAAAATCGGAGAGTGTATGCTCGGAAGCCTGCTCAGCGAGTGCCCAAACCAATAAGCGATTTACTTAGAAGTGGTGTAAGTGGTGTGAATCAGGTAATGGGGGAGTGTCCCTTGTTTACCATTTTGAGAGGAAATTGATTGCTACCCAACGGTTGATCGAATCATGTTCTCCATTTTGAATGGCCATAATTTGGGAGCATAGAGCATGCTTACATGTTTCAGACAATTTAGGTATTTAGGTAGCCTCCAATTTACGTTACACACCCAGCCACGATCATGGTCCGCATGGTCCGGGCATGGCTATGCCCATTTTATCTGCTTTAGGTTGCGATTGGAGGCTGGGCGGTAGTTCAAAAACGTGGGTGTTGTTGATTAAGAGTGGTTTGACTTTTAATATGACGGGTTTTGTTAACTTGATATATCTTAATATATTGGTGGGGGGGGTGTTCCCTTCCCCCTAATGCAACATAATCCCCAAATGAAAGCCTAGTTTAGGCTTTAGGGTCTATTCATTCTGGGGGCCTGCATGGTGGGAATTGGATATTGGAGGATATATATATATATATATTCTGGGTAAATTATAACGACCTCACTGTGACCTCACTGGAATCATGGTTAGTAAGGGAAATCATCCCCAAATGGCCTTAATTCAGGTTAGTGAATTATTATAATTTACCCATATATATACATATTATATGTAATAATAATATTGATAATAATAATGATAATAATAACAACCATTTATAGCTGGATAATGATGTCAGGGGATGGATATAGGCTACAAGAGATCAATTTATTGTTTGTAGCTTTCGTTTGTTGTCATTCCATGCCAGAATATGTTATGCAATGCTATAATATTCATATAATGTGCATGTAATATGCATGTATGCATATAATATGCTACATGTAAATTATAGATGATAACATATAGTATGCAATTAATATACTGTAATACAAGTCCATGATATGAAATATGTATGAACGCCCCAGATGCATGAAGAGGATGGGTTTATCTCCCTGGGTTTGCGCTACGTGTCATGGCGCGACCCCAAAGGTGCCCCTCCTGATTCGCAGGGCGGGTGCCCCGTTTCTGTGACGGTGCAGTGCATGGGTGTCTCTGTGCCTGTCCCCTCCTCAGCCAGGCGGAAGACAACAGCAACATCAGCAAGGCATGTGTTGAAAAGGTAGTTCAAGCACATGATCCACATGGCCATAGCATGCCATAGCATGCCATAGCTACTTCTAGGTATACATGGTCCATCATGGTCCAATGAGTCGACGATCCAAGGCTTCAGCCGTGGCCACCTGGCAACAAGGAGACTATGCCTTCATTGGATCTCAGGCCGTGGGACATGGGATGCCTTTTGGGGGTGAAAAAACCGTCCTGATGAACTGGGGGACTCGGAGTTTAGGTGTGATTTCTGTTCAAGTTTCTACTATAAAACAACAAGTTGACCAAGAGCATATGAAGGCATGCATTCAATGTTGGTGAGTTTGAATGCGAACCCAGTGGCATGATCCATACTTACCTTTTCTTGCCAGGTCAGTGACTCAGAAGTGTCGCTTGGTGCTGCATGGGGTACGACGGAACATGGAAGCGTGGAACTCTTGCTTTGCAGAATTTACCAAACTCCCAGAAATGGCATGGAGTGTCGGGAAAATTGGAAAAATGCGAAGCGTGTAGGACAGAGTATTTGTATCTCAAGGAATCGTGTGAAGAGCCTGCTAAATTTCAATCAATGATTATCAATTAAACCAACAAAGGTTTAAAAAACAAATGAAGGGATGCCTTTTGTGGATGCCTTGGTATTTTGCAAGGTTTGTCACGCCTGGATTCGGCATTTGGGACAGAACATTCCAATAATAATTGGCTGGTCGTCTTGGGAGCAGGGACAAGACATATTTATTTGGTTTATATCCTTTGGTGTGCTGGCTTTGCTGGCTACAGCGCAGTAGAATTGCATAAATACATATCAGGCTGAAACCCATATATGATGGGCCGACGATTCCCGGTGCCAGTGATGTTTTCCAGCGGTATTGAAGCCACCTCACTATATTCTAATATATCCAGAACAAATCCAGCTGCTGGCCTAGTCATGAACTGTCATGAACTATACACATCTTAAATCAATGGACATTGACTAGATCAAGCATACCACTTTATATATATATATATATTATATATTATATATATTAATTATATATATATAGACATACATATATATATACATACATGTTTCATATCATTCCCCTTTTTTCTGATTTCCCATTTTGGCCGAGTTTTCACGGCCGACCTACCCTAATAGGTTGCACTTCCACGCGGTTTGCGCGGATGCTCCAGCCACGGCCAGCACGGCCGCGGGGCGTCGACGGAAGAATTTGGAGGATGCCTTTGAGGCGGGAATCCTTATCATGGTGGGTATATAGGGATTAATATGGGTATATGCTCTCCAATACCCATAGGGTACCATCCCTATCACCCATATTTATATGCTAACATTGGGGGTATATTGATGGTAAATGTTACCATATATGGCATACATGGATCCTATGGGATTCTGTGTGTGGTCAACCATGACCATACCGACCATACCTGGTTCTGGGTTGACCATACCGACCATACCTGTTGAAAACCGGAATGCATTAAACACCCGAATTAAATTCTGGTTTAATGTCGACATGATTGGGACCATGGAATGGGGGTGTTTAATACTGATTAATGTCAAGCCTGGATTAATAACCCCCAAATTGCGTGGAAAATTGGTGGGGTTACCATTCTAGTACAAGAATCACTATTTGGGAGTATCCCCCCAAAAAATGGCTTTAATCAAAGATACCAACATGTACTCATGCACCCTCCCGTAAACTCAGATAGATGTGGAAAATCCACTATGTGTAGATCGTTATATAGGGAAACCATGGATTTCCACATCTACGTTAGTTCACCGTAGGGTAATTGTGGGGTAATCAAAACATACTACCAACATGGTGGCAATCAAACATACTACCAACATACTGGATTTGACTGCCCCCCCCATCGGAAAACAACAAAAACATCCGGTAAGCCGGAAAATCCCTGATTTATAGATGATTTTCCTTCAAAGCCAGCAATTTCTTACTGGAACCATCTGGAACCTGGGGGATTTCGCCATGGAATATGGCGAAAAAAACGGGGAGAATGACCCGTAGAAGAAATCCAAGAATCCAAGACATTCCACCAGGCTTTCGTTTGAAAAGGAGCACTGTATAGTGTATATCTGGTTGGTTTGTTTGGACCATGGCTTTTATGACTTTCCAATTTTTTTCCATATATTGGGCATATTGGGCATAATACTCCCATTTGAGGAACTCCATCATTTTTCAGAGGGGTGGGTTGAAACCACCAACCAGATATAAAATGCGGATTTTACATGATTTTACCCAAAAATGAGGAGACTTCACCAGATGAATATCTCGACCAATTGATCGACGTTGCCACCAAATCACGGTCGGAATGAGTGGGATTTCGGTAACGGCAAGATGGCGGAACTAACTTCTGAAGTGGGTCAATTTTTACTAACGTTATCCAGATTGGTGGTGCCAGTCCCATTATCTTAGTTAAGTTTGACCGACTTAATTATGCATTGAATTATGTATAATGTATATATATAATGTAAAAAAAGTTGTAATCCAGCTTAGTTAAGTACCTCCTTGTATACAACCATCGTTTATAGTCACCACCAAATATGGGGATCTATATAATCGATCAAATCCAGCAATGATGGATGGTTTGAGTTGTTCAGGGGGTTATACTACCCATTTATGTGTGTCTTTCTCACAACATAGGCATTGATTTATCGATTACAATAATAAACCACCCCTTTGGGAATGGCTTGTACCACCTATAAATATGGTGATTTGGGGGATGGTTTGTTTTACCATGTCTTACCAACATTATTGGTTTATATTGTGTTTTTTTTAAAATATTTTTTGATAACGGTTTTACCAAGATTATTTATTTACCTGGTTGGTGGTTCCAAAGAATTTTATTTTTCCATTCAGTTGGGAACCATCATTTTTCAGAGGGGTAGGTCAACCACCAACCAGTTACCATTGGTGTGTATAAATACATTTCCAGTATAGGATGGATGAATCCCATGTCTTGACCACAGGTGATGGAGACCTGGACAAACCTGGGGCCTATCACAGACTTTTGCACCAAGGATTGGACTCCTGGGAACCTGATTTACCCTTTGGTAAACTGTTACATAATTATGGAAAATCATCATTTTTAATGGATAAATCAACTATAAATGGCCATTTTCAATAGCTAGGTTAAGTTACCAGATGGTAATGGTGATTGAATGGTGATTTAATATTGTCATTGTTGAATGGGGAAAAAAATGCCCATTGGGAAGATTTGGGCTGGTGATTTTTTTTCAGCAGGGAGGCGCCTTTCGATTTTATCCATTGAAATCATGGAAGCACCCCCGAAAGAAATGGCATGGAGGCCCCAGATCAAGTCAACATTATTCATATGTTTTTACGGAATGGTACTACATGTTGCTGGTATGTCCAATCGAACTATTAATTTGCGAACATGTTTCGTTTTTATTGTTGTTTGTTACTTGGTTTTGTTTACAGTATTTACTATATTTACTGTGTTCCGAGATGTTCTGATCACCAATGTTTTGTGATCACCATTGTTTTCACCACTGTTTTCACCACTGTTTTTGACGCATTCCCCCATCCATCCCCCTGGATCCCCGGATCCCCCCTGGATCCCCAATGATCCCCTTCCGTGACCGCCAGGAGCTTGGCTCCGGGCGCCTTGAACTCATCAGCTGCAGTGGTGCAGGGTCCAATCTGGGCTCCCTGCGCTTCATCCAAGTGGGCATTCCATTGGAAGATCTGGGCAGCTCAGGCTCCTGGCAGGTCACCAAAGAACTGGTCCATCTTGGATCAACTCTAGGATTTGATGATAGTTGATCCCAAGTTAAGTGATGCAACCAGTGTTTTCATATATAATAATCTTCCAATTGGGCCCGTTTGATCAATCAATTGGGCCCCAACAATTGGTTTCTACTACGTTTCTACTCATTATTCAATATATGTTAATGCCCGTTTTGAACGAGGCCCAGTGATCCTGTGGCCAGGCGGGAGCCTTGGCAGCGTTTTGGGCCTATGGCCCTTGGGCTGCCGCTACCTGGTGCTGAGCCGCCCCGGACGGACGGAAGTGCTGCAAATTGAGGAGAGTGCCCTGGCAGAATTGGGGGAACAGTCTAGGTGGGTGGTCCAATTGATGATATCCTGAAATGGTCATATTAAAAATGATCTTAAATCATGATTTAGTCTGATGTTCATGATTGGTTGGTTTATATCTTTCAAAAACTGTTGGGTTTATTATGGGTGTGTGTTGGTTAGAAACTATAGTTAGCTGCGCAATAAACATCAATAGACTAACTACAACTAGGTGGAAATAAACACCTTGTTGGGGGTATATAGTCCAACTGAGGATATCTCGAATTGGCCGTGTTTAATTAAAGAGGCCATTACTATTTATAGATAAGATAAACACAAGTAAATCACATAATTGAGAAACCACAACATTAGGGGGGTACCTCATTTTAAGACGCAGCCACATGAAGGAAGGTGGCAGGTTGTCATGCGCAATATGGTGTTGGTTCATTATGAAGTCGTATTGGCTTTGAGACCTTTGTTTTCCTTGATATATGACTTGCATTAGGCTGACTATTGGGTAACGATAGTCCGAAAAAGCTTATATTTCAGTGATCTCAAGTTATTTTTGTTTTGGTAAACTATATCTATGTTTAATGAATGTTAGTATGATCTACCTATATCTATATATTATATATCTATATAATCTCCCCACCTTCAGTGAATCTAAGACCAGTCTGATTTCGTGGCACCCACATCTCCGCTGGATCCTTTCCCATGCCGTCAGGTGAAGTCGAGGAATTCAGCCTGTGTCTGCGGCCTTTCATCGAGTGCGGCCTGCGACTTTCAGAGGAGACCCTCTTTTGTTGTAGCGCCTGGGTTTGTGGAAATCGGGTGCGGAATGCGGATGGGAATTTTTCAGGGAAATGAACTGTAGATCTACATGGATCAGAGGATGTACACTTTTTCTTTTCAAGCATTTTGTAGGATCTGCATATCATTACAGATCACAGTGCTGTTGATTACAGCCAAAAGTTATATATATTTATATGGTGTATATACCCTCCGGTAAATTAACATAGACCCTGGCAGTCATCGCGGTTGGAAGACTACTTTCCATTTTAAAAATTGGTGATTTAATTTTGGGTCCAACTGTTAATTTACCAGAGGGTATATCATTGCTATATCCACATCAATCCCATTTAATCACCGTTAAATCCCATTAATATATATATATATCCATTCTTGGACATGCGGCTATTCTTGGGACCAAGTCATTGTAAGACCACCTTGGTGACCTTCCCCTTTACCAAGGTGGGCCATCTTGATGGAACCGAGAGATTTATTGGAGGTACCTACCAGACAAAAAAGATCAAAAAAGGCCTATGTTTTAGGCCTATGGTTTCGGCCTATGTTTTAGGCCTATGTAAGGTAATAGCCCAGTAAAATATGGCCTTAGATGGTACAGTACCTCAATTGTGGGATCCTGAAATTTGCATTGACTCTTAGATGAGTTAGATGTAAATCGCATTACATCGCTACATCATATACTGTATCGATGATAAAACATCCAAGAGTTTTTTTTAGTGAAAAACCCAACAGTCTGATTCGAATGGTCACAACGTGGTACAGACAATACTCAACCATGCCAGGTCATTTAACACATCGTCCCAAACAGAGGCACATTCAGTAGTGAACCCAAATAGGGGATAGTTTACTATTTGGTTTGCCTCATTGATTAATGATACACAGCCGTATAAATATAAGTGTTTGATAATGTTTGATAACTACTTAGATATACCATGATATAACTATATTTAGGGTTTATGACTATGTGACTATATAGTTGGATCATTAATGACAACGCCGGATTAATAAATCCTGGCAGTCATCATTTGCTATAAAGTGGTTTTCCCCATTTATCCTCACTTAAACATCTTAGGGGTTTACCCTCCGATAGTCAAATATGGCAATGGAATGCAATGGACAATTTCCCACTTTGTTCATTTTCCCATCAACACCTATAGCCATGTTTGATCCTATTCAATTTCCAATACCCTGTGGCAACCTGTAACCTATTAAGCTTACAAGTATCTATAGCACAGCCATGAAAGTTCATGGCCATGTCTCATGGCCTCTCATGGCTTTGGTAATTTGCATAGCTAATCACCATGATAACAAGTAAATCACGTTACATTGGTGATTAGTTTCAAATCATTATTATTATTATTCACTAATGGTGTTACATCATAATTGATAGCCATTTGCATAGCTCATCACCATCTAATGGCTACACTCTGGCCAGTTGCATCCATTTTCGCCACAGGCATTGCCGACCTCTTCATCCAGGTCACTCGCTTCGGTGCTCTCATGCTGGATCCGCTACTTCGCACGCGTGGGGAGACGCTTGGCGTAACCATGGTCAACCTCGGATGGTTTGGGATCGTTCAGTACTGTCATATTTGGAAACAGTTACCCTCTGGTAAACATACAAAAAGCTATGGAAAATCACCATTTCTTTAATGGGTTTGTATCAACTATTTCGACTGGGCCATTTTCCAGTTCGCAAACTGTTAGTCATTACCAGAGGGTATTAATGGAGAATAGTGAAATGATGGGGATCTACACCTAACAAACTGTTTTTTTCCCTGGCAGGGTTCAAAATTCTTTAATTTTGCCATGTCATGCTGAGTGACAGTGAAGGATTGATAAAATGGAGCCAACACGACGAATAAAAGTGACAAGGGATAGGTGTTTTTTAAATGTGCTTTCCATTATTTGCGACTGATATTATTAACCACTTTGAAAAAATAGGCTTGGACCTAGATTGCCTTTGTTTTTTGGAAAAGATGGGTTTATTTCCTGGGCATTGGTGCTCCGGGATTGAATTTCCGGATCCTTTCTTCACGACCAGCTTGAAAATAGCAAGTTGAGCCGAGCCTTGGATAGCAGTACTTTGGGGTTATAGAATCCGATTTGCGGATTTCTGAATTTAACATCTGCCAGTAGCAAGCCCCAGTCATGGAACATCTCATGGAAGCCTTGAAGAAACCCGTATTTTCTAGGGCCGTCACCTGACGTGGATGAGATCTAGGTGGAGGATCGACCCCTTGTCCGGCAGCATCACCGCTGCAGTGGATGGAGAAGGTGCCTCCTGGAGGACATTCCAAGTGGCCATGACGGGATGATATGTTCAGTTTTTATGGAATTGTAAAGGATTGGGATCCAAAATCTTACCCAATGTGGGTACTTTTTTTACGGTACTATGGTGAATTTCTTCATGAGATGAACTTGGCAAAAAACAAAGATCTACCAACAAACTGGGGTGATATGCTTAGGTTTGTGGTTTGATTGACGGTCTTGATGCCGTTTGATTATTGCCCTGCAAGGCGCAAGGGTGGCAATGGATAGTCACCATATGTTTATTGGAACGTGACTGAGAAAAAGGATTGCTCATTGTTGGGTTGGATGGCTAATTGGTGATTGGTCATAGCATAAACCCTACATTATATAATTGTCTCTCTCTATATATATGTATATATTGTGTGTGTGTTTGATATATATATATATATGTGTGTGTGTATGTGTGTGTTATACCCATGAAAACGACCATGGACCCCGCGAACTACACTTTCCAATGACAATTCTCGAAGTCGTAGGCGGGCTTTTGGTCGCATCGGCTCTGGGGGATATCTTTGCACTGGATCTTCACTCCGAAGGTCAGAGGGGGATGGTGGTGCCATGACTATTGGGGTTCAATGAAGGGACAGCCAACAGGGAAACCAATAATTTTGCCAACAAATATAGGGGCTGGCTGCAAAATGTCCATCATAGAACTTTGAAGTATTTATATTATATATATATATATATACTATATACGTATATGTAGCTGCATGTCTGCATTTATGTACATAAAGATATCACAAACTCAAAACTTTACAACCAAAATCCATACATCCATGCGCACTATGCATGCTTCTCATTTGGTGGGCTTGTTTAGGTTAACCGTGGAGACAAGCACAAGGTGCTTGGATGGTAGTACACGTGGATATGACTCAGTTATCAGTTGCATCACCACGCTTAAGGAAGTTGCATCGAAATGGGTGAACATGTGTTTTCGATCATATCCAGGTCCCACATTATGCCACCATCAAAGCAATGATTCACTTACAATATGTCATGTGATGTCATGTGCATATCATGTATATATCATGTATAACACACACATGCACACATATGTACATGCATATATATATATGTATTAGTATAAACATATATATATATATATACACATGTATAAACGGATTTCTGCTACCTAACACAATTTTCTCCCAGGGTATCCAAGGAAGGTCGCGTATACGGCCCCAGGTGGAACTCCTTGCAGTTTCGTCCAGACATCAGCTTGGCGGCTCGCAGGTGGAATCACTGCACTAGTTCGGGCTGTTTGGGGCTGGGGTAAAAAAAAGGGGGGGGCCCTATGGCCGTTCGATAGCTAAGTTGGTGAACATAGCTCCAACAACTATGGCTCATGGATGTTCATGGTGTGTATAAGATTTTATAACTCTTATATTGGTGTTTATAAACCAACATATAACTGGGGGGCCCCACATTGTAGGTTCACTGAGATAGTTGGAGCCTTCTCCAGTAAACATTGCTTGGAAAACGGCTCATGTGTGGATGATTTACCTATTCAAATGATGGTTTTCTATTGCTATGTTAGACTGCCAGAGGGTATATAAGGCATATCTTGGGATATAGTCTTTATGTACTGGATACATCGGAATATAATTGGCTCACTGGGGAACTTACCAACATTTAATTATTGGCAGAATCGAAACATATACATGCACTATACAAACATGGGGGTATATGACGATACCCTGCTGGGATAATTGGATAGTTACGGATCTTACGTTTCGAATATAATTGGATGATTATTTTTTTATTGGAATATGTTGGGATGAATGGACAATTACAAACAATGACTGGGATGGCTAAGCTGCTATGTATATATTTGGGTAAGCTCTGGGATATATATATATATGTATATATATATATATGCTGTACCCTATAAAGTAATCCTCTAGTGTAGATGCAGTGTAGATAATTTTCCTTGAAAACCATTGTTTGTATCATTTTCCATCCAGCGACAGCGATGATCCCCAAGTCAAAATCCACACGTTGGTTGGATATATCTCAAATTCTGTTCCCAACAGATCCCAATCTTGCAGCCTAAGAAATCCATCTTAGTATTTGAATCACTGGAAAAATGCTCCAGTCTTGAAGCTTATATAAATCCATATTCCCCCAAGAAATCATGATTTTCGGTTGGTTCCTCCCATGTTTTCTCCCGTTTCCCCCACCGCGAAACGCCAAGCGTAACGCGCAGGTGAGCCGAGCTGCCTTTGCTCGCGGGAGCAACATCTGGCGGCGGGACTCTGGAGCGACGAGCTGTGCATTTGGCATCGCCAGGACGCCGCGGGAGTTCAGAGGAGTTGACCACGGGTGATTTTGGTGCTTCGGCTGGTTACCCGGCCTGGTAAACATACAAGAAACGGATGGGAAAATCACCATGCTAATTATTAATGGGTAAATCCATGTAAATCTACTATTTCGACTGGGCCATTTTCAATAGCTATGTTAGTTTGCCAGAGGATAATTTGAATATCAAATCACCTTTTCCTGAGTTTGAATATAGGTGATTCGACCAGTGGCATGGGTGATTTAATTATTTTTTCATGGTTGGAAACGGTGACAATAATGAGCAAAACGGAGACTGATGCAACCAAAAAATGGGATATGATGGGGAAGTTAATTATTAAAGATGGGGATTTAGCCAGCAAACATATAGGTTTTTAATCATCTAGAATCTATATCATGGGAACATGTTGATAAACAATGATAAAACACGATAAAACCAATATGAATCACTAGCTTGTAGGTTCTAAATATGTTTCATCTTCAATCATATTTGCACTGATGGTCTCTATTGACTATTATTGTTCGGTACTTGTTGGGACTCCCAGAGTTTATGTTTTTTCTTGTTTGTTCAACCATGTTCGACCCATGGTCTTTCTTGATTTTTTTGGGTGCGCAGTCTATCATGACCCCATCATTGTAGCGCCCTACAGTTGTCAGTTGGTTTAGAATGGTCTGGAAATTCAAAGAACTTTCCAAATATATACCTAGCTGTACATCTAGATGTCAGTTGACCTAATCATAAACCAAATTAGTGAACTATGTGGGCATCACCGTGATTATAGGTTTTACAGTTCCATAGGGTTTCATGGGATTGTTTTTTTCTTACACCTGAGTTGATGGAAAATTGGGTCCCGCACTAAACCAGTGACGTAATTTGCTATATACTATAAGATCGTACCGGTCGCGCCCCACAAGAAACCAGCCAAGGGGTTATCAATCTGGGGTTGATATTAACCCATGTTTATATCGAAAGACGATACATGGGGCAGTTCGCAGCACCAGCGTTGTGCAGTCACTTGCAGTCACTAAGACGCATGATTCTCCAAGTGACTAAGTAGTGGTCCCATTTGGCTCTGGGTCAAAGAAGTTGGGGCCCCAAAGAAGACTGGTCATGTTCAGTAAATTTAGCGAACCCTTTTTTTGGCAATTCTTTTTACAGATGGATTTTCATGGATTTTCATGGATGTTCATGAATATCAATGACTATCTATGTTGGTTTACCGAAGGGAATAGTCTAATAGAATTCAAAGCAGCCCCCGTGGTCCCAAGTCCCTTGACAACTCTGACGCGTTGAATTCTTAGAATCCCTACCTGATACCCTCTAGTTATGACTAACAGCCATGGAAGCCATGGCCTAGAAATAGATGCTTTACCGTTCTTAACTATGGGTGGATTTCCATAGCAAACTGTTAGTCATAACCAGATGGTAATGCCAAAAGTTCTCAGGCGAGTTTGTTTGTTCCAACTGCTTGGAAGACGACCTTCATCAGATGCGAAAGCACCGGTTGAGGGGAAGCGCCATGTCAGCGATCAATCATGTTCCTGTGCGCTTCTATTGCAGATGCTATATGATGATGGGCCTCTATCGTAGTGAATCAGGTATAGCTACAATTGGGTGACTGAAAAACGATGTCTGACTTAGGAACATAACACAAAAGAAAGACTACAGCCCCCGAATTCTCCAACATTTTTTCCAACAGGACTTTGGGCTTCAGACCTTGGCTTTGCCAACGCTCCCTCGGTCAGTGGCCTTCGTGTGAGCTCCCAGGAGTTGATGGTGGTGAGATGCCCATCCTAAGCCTAAACATCCCAACACCACTTTGCACTGGTTATATCATGTTATATCTGGTTATCAAACTTATATACTGTAATATACCCCATAATTAGGATCCATGGTGCTGGTATATATACTAACATAAAGGGGGTATATTGATGGGATCCATGTTCCCATACATAGCAGCACCATGGATCCTATGGGTACTGTAATTCATTTCCCTGAACGAATACCTCCGCGAAACTGCGCTTTGGTCGATGACTCCACTGGAATCCGGTGAAGAATCGCTATGAAAATGGTGTTTTTTTTCCAGCATTTTCCCAAGAAATCCCCCATGGATGTAGTAAATCACCATAAATCACCAATGTGTGGGTCCGTTTCCCATGGGTTTCCCATGGGTTTCCCATGATTTTCCACTGTGCCCAGTCCCCACATCTCCAGCTCTTCACGGGGCTGTGCGATGGTCGCGTGGTGCTGGCGACGAAAACAGCGGGTTCTGAGTGGCATCTTCAACGCACGGTGCAGCGGGCGATTGAAACACATGAAAATTGACCAGAAACTCAGACGCTGAAGCTGGACCATCTGTTTGTTTTTGATGTTTTTTGAAATGTTTGAAGGTTTTTGGGTGCCCTTCATGCGGTCCCTTTTTTTTCCGGAACACGTTGATGTCTTGATCAGGATGAACATTGATAAGCAGTGGAGTGTTTGGTTAGTTGCCATAAGTTGCCGACTTTTTTCGGTGGTTGGAGCTGGTTGGATTATGGATGGTGAAAAAAAGAAAACAACTATCATGAGATCGATGGATTATGCGCTGATGGTGTCGATATGGCCTGAGAGGGAATGAAACAGGCAGACTAGAATAGATAGAAAACGATAGAAAGCTCGACTAAATATATAGATCCTATATAGAATACCATCAGATACCATTGGTAATGCTTCTTGTTTGGTGCACATCAGGCTCCATCAGATATTGTAAGTTTGGTGCTCGCGACCACGGCGACCAGGTGGTGGTTGGGATGGAGCCAGTGAAGCTTCTGGTTCTGCCGGCGGAATCTGAGATGGGTCTCTGGGCCTCGACAGGGCGTTTGGGGCTTGGGGCGTTTTTGGGTTAGCGAAGCATTTCTGAAATTTGCTGCAACTCCACAACTCAAACACGGTAAACATTGATTCATATCAAGATACATTTTTAGTATATTCCAGTTTGAGGCCACTTGAATACACACTGAGGATGGTTGACTTCTATCGCTAGGGCCCTCTAAATCTCAACTGCAAGCCATGCTCAAGCCATCCCAATTTGATGAGGACCAAAGCTGCCACAAGAAGACGCGTCTTCGGAGCGTAGCGCAGTGCAGGACGGGTTGAGTTGGGTGGTGCCCGCGAGACGTATGATTCAACCAATCACCAACCTTAAGATATAGAAAAGTTCCAATCAGCAGTTATATATATTATATATATATAATTATATATATATATTATATGTATGCAACTTCTTAAAGCCAATATTACCAACCAATAGCCAATAACAGAATTACTTTGTCAACCAGTAGCTGTTCCATGTTGTTCCCCTTTGTTGCTGCTGGATGTGCAAAGGAGCAAGAGATGCTCCTGGCAATCAGTGGGAATGGAAGCATCTTGCAGGCCCGGGGGCCCGGCAACTTGTGACATGTCTCGCATTTTTTTCCTAACCATCATTCGGCCGACACAAAACTTGCCGGAGCCTAAAGGAACTGAAAGAACAGCAGTGAAGACATGGCAAACATATCAGAGCTGATAAGCTGAGTTTCATGGTGTTGAGGGGAAATACTCTGGAATTGTGCCGAGTTATACAGTACGTAATTCACTCTTGCATCCATGGGCCATGCAAGTACCGCACATGTATATTGGTGCACATCAAACAGGCTTATTTTTTTGGGGGGAATATGCCACTTCCAAATTCCATATTTACACAGCCCTTTTTGGCCCTTATACAAAATGTTCAACAATGTATCCCATAACTTGATGATGGAGAAATTTACAGGACCCTGCTAAAAAATGATGACCTGGTGGTAAAGTAATAATATATATATATATGTGTGTGTGTGTGTGACTACAATGACTATGGGTTCTCGCAGATTTCCCCCAAAAACCCATCCATTGATCATATTTGGTGGTTCAATTATCATGTTCAGTGGTTACATCCAAATGTTGAATGTGATTAAAACAATAGAACACCATCACCAATTTCACCATAAATAGGTATAAACCATTCCCAAATGGATGGTTTATTGAATGGTAAAGTCTCCCTGAAATCAATTCATGTTCCGGATGTTTGCCGAGGCTCAGTCGCAGCGTGTGGTCCAGACACCCGTGTGCCTTCCCAATATGTCACATGCTGCGCCTTGGCTTTGCCCCCCCTTTTTTTCGACAACATGCCCCAAATTGAGGGACTTACCCCCCATACCCCACCTAAATTTAACTGGAATCCTAAAATGGCTATGATCAACAAAAACATCATTTTTCAAACCCTGATTGTTGGGCTCACATGTTGAAGTTAGGTGGTGTCAGGTGCAATAATATGGTGTCTTGGAATCCGCGTTGGATAAACCATCCACAATTGGGATTTAAAACCATCCCCAATAGCAACTGATTGGTGGTTTGGAACATTTTTTATTTTCCATATATTGGGACTGGCTAATATGTTTCAGAAGGGTTGAAACCACCAACCAGGCAATCATTGCAGGGTGTGAAATAAATCATTTGAAAGGATCCGAACGGGTCAACCACTGCAGCCACAACTGAGGCCTTCTTTTCCCATGGCTTGGCAGGCCTTCATCACTGCATGGCTTTCATCAGTGAAGAGCCTCCGCCTTAGGATGTTCGCTGTCAAACGGCCCTGACTTGTGAAGATTGTTTGTTTGTATTTACAACATGATATGTATGATATGATGCTTATAATGTATACAGTTCCATCCATTTATGGCATTTTATCATGCAGTAATACCTGTAGAAACATGATGAAACAGATGATGCAAATTTTCACCAAAAAAACTGCAGCTTTATGGTGCAGTCGCCCTGAGGCGCCTCTTGCTGGCGCGGCTACGATGTCACGAGCGAATGCACGTGCGAAGCCTGCCATTTCCACAGGCACCACGCAGGACCATCCAAATTGAACCATAATCAACTGTATATAAACATGGAATATAATATGTACAGTATATGTATATATTTATAGTTATTATAGAATATATATATATATCTATAAATGTTGGCTTCAGTGGCTAAGTTTTAGCCAGACATTATGCATGAATTCCATAAATTGGAGGATAGTGGTTTCCCGCGATGGTACCAGGATCGCGTATCACCAGCCAACACGGATTTGCGTGGCCGGCTGTTGCGACATGAGCTCGTCGGTGGCCATGCCGCTCAGAAGTTGGTGGTGAAAGATGTAGGATGTAGCCTGGCCCCTTCTCAATGGGACTTTGAGGATATTTCAGGAACATAAATAGAGGTACCTATACATGGCCTATTTTTTAGGCCTATGTAAGGGAATATACCCACAAAATATGGCCTTATATGGTACAGCACCTTCATTTTAGGATCCTGAAATTCCCATTGATCTACTGTGGCTTCCAGAATGCCATAAATTGGGGGATAAGTAGCGTGGGATTTACATGGATCCACAATGAATATGCGGGATGCACTAGCTAAATTAAACCAGGTGGACACTGAGTTAGGTTTAATTTTTTTGGTTTAATTTAAAAAATCTTACGAAAACAGGGGGTCCACCCACCCCCTTAAGATCCTGAAGAAAGTTGAGTTGGTTTAATTTTGAGATGTGACCCACCCCATGGTTTAATTTCAGCTGTTTTAGCTCATTGTGCTGCCTCGTGTTCCGCCTCGGGATACTGCAGCCATGGTTCCTGACACGTGTCCTAGCACAGCTCCGTGAAGACGATCCGGCGTGGACAGCAAGGTTCTTGCAGTTGGGAACAGCATTGCTGCAGCCCAAATGCTCCATCTCAAGCAGAGCAAGTCCATGGGAAAGGCGCTGCGGGACCATGGATCATGGTAAATTGTTTCTATTTGTTTCGGGCCCCTTGCGTGACCCCAGATCAGGTTAGAATAATTAATCAAGAGGTGGGTGAGTCCATACGTACTGAACATTCATTCATCAGGACGCCTTTGGCACCATAATATTCATGGGATTTATGGTCACCAGAATAATTAAACAAGGGGTGGGTGAGTCCACATGTACTGGGCATTCAGGATCAGTTCTTCCATTGGGGCACCCCCAACACCATAATATCATACAATATCCATGGCCTTGATTTATTGATGGTCACCAGAATAATTAAACAAGGGGTGGGTAAGTCCACATGTTCTGGGCATTCATAAAGATTCATGTGCTGGGGTACCTTTGGTGTTATGATTCATTGTTTTTTCTTGAATGTTCATCTTTGGTCATCACAAAGGAAGGAACCTGACACCTGTTACTTTGGGAGTTATTTTGTTACCTGTTCGGTGTGCGTGTGTGTTCGGTGTGCAAAATGATCATGGTGGAGAGAGATTGGTGAGATACAGGTGTCAAAATAATGTTCAAAGTAGCAAGTCCAATGAGATTCCATCAGGTTCCTTCCTTTGTGATGACCAAAGGTGAAAATTCAAGAAAAAACAATGAATCATAACACCAAAGGTATCCCAGCACATGAATCTTTATGAATGCCCAGAGCATGTGGACTTATCCACCCCTTGTTTAATTATTCTGGTGACCATCAATGCCATGGATATTGCATGATATTATGGTGTTGGGGGTGCCCCAATGGAAGAACTGATCCTGAATGCCCAGTACATGTGGACTCACCCACCCCTTGTTTAATTATTCTGGTGACCATAAATCCCATGAATATTATGGTGCCAAAGGTGTCCTGATGAATGAATGTTCAGTACGTATGGACTCACCCACCCCTTGATTAATTATTCTGACCTGATCTGGGGTCACGCAAGGGGCCCGAAACAAATAGAAACAATTTACCATGGTCCCGCAGCGCCTTTCCCATGGACTTGCTCTGCTTGAGATAGAGCATTTGGGCTGCAGCAATGCTGTTCCCAACTGCAAACCTTGCTGTCCACGCCGGGTCGTCTTCACGGAGCCAAACCAGTACTGGATGATCCTGCAAAATAAAACCAGGTACTGTCAAGTAGTTTGTTTCATTTTGAGCTGGGGGGGACCTGACGTGGATTGTGCTGGATTGATTTAACTTCCCATGTTAGTAACCAAAAAATAATCGGAGGGTATGTTTGACTGATGAAATTTGGAAAAAATCATACTGCAGGGGACCCCATTTAAGTAAAAAAAACCAGGGGTCCCACCCCCCACCCACCAATTACCGATAGGGACATGTTTTTACACCAAGTCTCACTGACATGTGTAGAACCAGGTGGTTTAATATTTGGTCTTGGCAAAACAAAATCAACCCAATGATCCTGTAAAATTAAACCAGGTACTGCCGAGTAGCTTGTTTAATTTTTAGCTGGGGGATGCTGGGTGGGACCTTAACTGGAAGTTTTCTGGATTAATTTCTTATGTTAAAAATAAACGGAGGTTATGTTTGACTGACAAATTTTGGAAAAACCATACTGCAGGGGACCCCGTTTAATTAAAGAAATTAAACCAGGGTCCCACCCCCCTCCCACCCATTACCGCTACCCGCATCAATGAATGATCCCACCTTGTGTCGTTTTCTTTTTTTGGTATATCCCTACTTTCTCGGGCTTTGCTTCCCATAGTTCCCCGTTGTGGTTATATAATGATTCGGGATACTTTAATAAATCCCAAAGGGGTTGATCAATCCCACGCGGGGGTTGTGCACGATCAGCCTAACCAATGGAAGGGATGACACAAGTTTGGGTACAGTTTCTGCGATCCTTGGCCCACACGGAAGTGATGTCTTCCTTTCTCTACCATTTTACTTTTGCAAAGGTTCATCCCTTCAATGACTTTCCTTCATAGTTTCCACATGTTTCCACTTTCCGGTCACCGCTTTGCATCTCTGTTTCCCCACAGCTGGGCACCAGTTCTTTCCCGTGTCAGCCGAGGCCGAGCCCAAGCAGATCCAGGGCCCAACTGCAGTTTGTGCACTCGGATACTGCAACTCAATGCCCGTTCCAACGTGTCATGGGGTGGTTGGTCATGTTGGGGCAGGGCTGAATTTTGATGGATACTCCAGTAGTCCCTCAGTAAATGGTGTTACGGTGTAAAGAACTTGTCATGTTTTTTTCACGGGGGGTCTAGTTTAGAATTTAAACGTATTTCAGCTGCATGTTAGGTTTTAAAATGTTTTAAGTTTTAAGTATACATGAAGGGTGTTGGTAGCAACCAGAAGATGTGAAAAGCTCAGAGTCGAAAGTGTTCTGGGCACACTGAGGTGAGCTTGTTGGACACCATGACCTTGGGTCACGACGTTCCTTGACGCCGCAGATATGAAGAACTTGATCTTTTATGATCTTTTATGAAAATTAAAACATCTTTTATGACAAGCCATGTGAGGTAACTTTTTTATACCGATCCATAGAGTGATTGATATATTTGTTGATTTCTTCTGTGGGAGATGGTGCCTCCCCAGTTGCTGTAGCCTGCAGGAAATGATCTCCTCGGTGGTCACGGTCTCTTTCACTGGGGACCCCACGGTGTATGTTGCAGCATCTTGGACGGCACGGCACGGCTCAGGGCATTGGAAACCACTATTTTTAACATCCGAACCAACGGGTTGACCCTGAGAAACACGGGGGAATGTAGTCTTCGAAGCCCCTATGTAGGGTCCATGTGAGTTGGAGGCCAAGTTTCTCTGCATTTGCCGTGCTGAAAAGGGGACTATGGACCTCGAAAGTGCGTGTGGCAATATTGTGTGGTCTGGACAGATGCCGTTATGCTGGAATTTGTAGCTTTTGGATTACAAGTCAATAATGTCGCATCTGTATGCTTCACATCCATTCAAAAATGAGATTTCCAGCCAACCTGACCGCCAGTGACTAGCCTCGGGTATTTCACTTAACCTGCTTAACCTGTCAGAAACCCAGTTGTTGGGGAGCAAAAAGAAACCACGTACAGTCGGATGGTAATTAAGCTTATCCATGCTTATCCAATGTCCGGTTGGATCAATGGGAGGCATAGCCTTCATGCTGTAATTATAATGAATCACTACAAGGTGGTGCCCCCAAGATAGCTAAGTTGGTTTATAACTCCAATAACTATGGTTTATGATACTTATTATACTTACTGGGGTTTATAAACCAACTTATAACTGGGGGCACCATCCTGTATTTGAATACATCCTTTTACCACCCGGCAATCAAACGTGGCAATGGGACATCTGTACTGTAAATGGATAAAGGATGATAAAGGGAGGTTCTTATAGGAAATTCATCTACAAATGAGGATCTTAAATTGCCACGTTTGATTCCCAGAGGGTAGCCCTTTTTACTTCTCTCTCCCTGTCTCTCTCATATAATTACTAATAACTATATGATTACATATTATATATAATATGTGTGTGTGTGAATTCAATCTTCTTTATATCTTTTGTCCACCCCCCAAGGTATTTAAGATGAGACCCAAATTGGAACTGGGTTTGGCCCAAAAATGATCATAGAATCCTGCTGGGTAACCAGTTTTGGGGGTCCCATATTAAATGTGGGGGGTTACAGCTGTAGTAACTCCTCCCAACTCCCGAGTGATCTGAGGTGGGCACAGCTGTGGTGCTTCAAAGCGAGCCCGAACCCACGCGGGGCCAGGCACGAGTTGTGTCGGTGCAGCTTGGGATCCGCGGGTGCCCCCAAAAGTTGGAAATCGAGCCACTTCCTAGGTCCTACATGGTCCTACAGTGGATGGTTGCGAAATCTTGCACCAGTTGATAGATGGCAAACATCTCATTGTTTATAGGGTTTCAACATGTTTCAACCATCCAAGGTGGTGCAGCGCAGGATTTCTTCCATCCACAGTAGTTAGGACATGTTGGGACTATAGTTAAGGTATGTTAAAGGTATAGGATGGTATAGGTATGTTACACACATGTTATACATAGGTGCATGTACCTACCATAAATATCCAACCTTGTTGGCCAACAGTTGCTGGAGTTTGTGGGCCAACTTACCCAGCGAATGCTCATCCTCCAAGTACCTGGTGGCTCATCGTTAGCAGCTGTATGTTTTCCAGCTGTTTTCATTGGAGAAGTCATAGGTTTGATCCACATTTTATTCATCTGGTTGACTTGCTTTCAAAGGATGAAGCGTCAGGCATTGAAACAACATGTGCGCAGGGAAGATTCTCAAGTACTTTAGATATTTATCAGATAGGAGGTACAAAGTGAGGACCCCTAGACAGCTAAGTTGACTTACTAAACTTGGTTAACTAGGGTTTTATGGGGAGCTATTGCTAACGGGTTTAGAAACCAACTTATAACTGGGGGGCATCACCTTGGAGAGTCTCTTTATATATATATATATATATATATATGTACTTGAATAGTTTGGTGATGATTGGTGTTTTTTTTTTTTCCCGAATGCGTAGCAAGGGTTCCCGTTTCACTCTGGGGGTCTGGGGGTTGGAGTGTGTTCGCTCGACGTTGCGTCCGCGTCCGCAACCGTTCGCAACCGTCCGCGCGATCCCCGTATGGCCGTGCCTATGGGAAGTTTTGCAGAGGTGGTCCTTTTTGGAGGTTTCAGACGTGTCGTTGCTTCGTTTCGCGTGGCAGGCGTGGCACTTCGTGACATTCAGACGTGTTCTGGAACGTGTCGAAAGTCGTTTTGCGTGGCAGGCGCAATACTTTTGCGACGTTTTCAGAAGATGTGTTGCAGTTTTCGTGGCAGGCGCAGCACTTTGGACGTGTCCATCGTCATTTTTCGTGGCAGGCGCAGCACTTTAGACGTGTCATGTTGCGTGTTTTTTGCAAATCGCATTGGCAGGGCTGCGTCAAGTGGCGACAAGGTGCAAATTCCGTGGCAGGCGTGGCATTTTGTGCGATGTGCTGAAAATTGACGGAAGCCTCGCACGAAACATCGATTTTGAGGTTGCCAATTTTCACGTTCTAAGGAAAACTCGTAGGAAAACGTCGATTTTGAAGCTACAAAGTGTGAAAATTGGAGGAAGTCTCGCACGAAATGCTCGTTTTGGCGCTCCCACGTGTCGCGTCTCGCGTCTCTGGTTTTCCGGTGGCCTCGCCGTGTCTATGGTGGAAGCTGCAAAACTTCTCCTTTTGTCATGTTGCCAACTGTGAAAATTGGAGGAAGTCTCGCACGAAATGCTGGTTTTGATGTTCCTACGTGTCTTGTCTCGAGTCTCTGGTTTTCCTGTGGCGTCGCCGTGTCTATGGGGGAAGCTGCAAAACCTCTCCTTTTCGAAGGTTTCCAAGCAGGTTGTCATGTCGTTTTGCGTGGCAGGCGTGGCACTTTGTGACATTCCAACCTGTTTGATAACGTGTCGAAAATGTCAAAATTGGAGGAAGTCTCGCACGAAATGTTCGTTTTTCCTGCACCCACGTGTCTCGTCTCGAGTCTCTGGTTTTCCTGTGGCTTCGCTGTGTCTATGGGGGAAGCTGCAAAACTTCTCCTTTTCGAAGGTTTCCAAGCAGGTTGTCACGTCGTTTTGCGTGGCAGGCGTGGCACTTTGTGACATTCCAACCTGTTTGCTAACGTGTCGAAAATGTCAAAATTGGAGGAAGTCTCGCACGAAATGCTCGTTTTTCCTGCACCCACGTGTCTCGTCTCGAGTCTCTGGTTTTCCTGTGGCTTCGCCGTGTCTATGGGGGAAGCTCCGCACTCCACACTCTACACTTTACACTCCACACTCCACAATCTACACTTTAGACTCCACACTTTACACTTTACACTCCACACTTTGCACTTTACACTCCTCACTCCTCACTCGAGACTTTACACTCCACACTCCACACTCCACACTTTACACTCCACACTCCCCACTCTACACTTTACACACTACACTCCACACTCCACACTTGACATTTTACACTCCAGACTTTACACTTTACACTCTTCACTCCACACTTTACACTTTACACTCCACACTCCTCACTTTACACTCCACACTCCTCACTTTACACTCCACACTCCACACTTGACATTTTACACTCCAGACTTACACTTTACACTCTTCACTCCACAACACTTTACACTCCACACTCCTCACTTTACACTCCACACTCCTCACTTTACACTCCACACTTCTCACTTTACACTCCGCACTCCTTCCACTCCACACTCCACACTCCACACTCCACACTTTACACTCCACATTCCACACTCCACACTTTACACTCCACATTCCACACTCCACAATTTACACTTTAGACTCCTGACTCCACACTCCACACTACACTATACACTCCACACTCCACACTCCACACTTTACACTCCACACTCTACACTTTACACTCTACACTTTACACCCTACATTCCACACTTTACACTTTACACACTCCAGACTCCTCACTCCACACTTTCCACTCCACACTCCACACTCCTCACTTTACACTCCACACTCCACACTCTACACTTTACACTCCGCACTCCACACTTTACACTCCACACTTTACACTTTACACTCCGCACTCCTGACTTTACACTCCACACTCCACACTCCACACTCTACACTTTCCACCCCACACTCCACACTCTACACTTTACACTCCACACTCCACACTCCTCACTTTACACTCCACACTCCACACTACACTACACTTTACACTCCGCACTCCACACTCCACACTTTACACTCCGCACTCCTCACTTTACACTCCACACTCCACACTCCACACTACACTTTCCACCCCACACTCCACACTCTACAATTTACACTCCACACTCCACACTTTACACTCCACACTCCACACTCTACACTTTACACTCCACACTCCACACTTTACACTCCGCACTCCTCACTTTACACTCCACACTCCACTCTCTACACTTTCCACCCCACACTCCACACTCTACACTTTACACTCCACACTCCACACTTTACACTCCACACTCTACACTTTACACTCCACACTCTACACTTTACACCCTACACTTTACACTCTACGCTCCACACCCCACACTCTACAATTTACACTCCTCACTCCACACTCCACACTTTACACTCCGCACTCCTCACTTTACACTCCACACTCCACACACTCTACACTTTCCACCCCACACTCCCCGCACTCTACACTTTACACTCCACACTCCACACTTTACACTCCACACTCTACACTTTACACTCCACACGCTACACTCCACACTCCACACTGCAGACTGGTAACAGGGGAAATATGTACAAGACTGTTCAAATAAACTATTGCAGAAAAGTGTTCTGCGTGATTGCATATCCATGTGTTTTGACATCTGCGCCATTAACATACGTGTGAGCATTCGGGTTCGTGGGCTGCATCTTGTTTTTTGGTATATATATATATATATAGGACACGTTGCCAATCCAAATGTTGATCCATCAGGTGCGTTTGCTGGCGCCATGTCCCAGTTCTTCCAGTTCAGAGGCTAGGATGGGTGCTGCCGATCGATTCGCACGTGGAAATTTCGGGGTGTACAGCGGGTACATAGGCTTCAGAATGCTTCATAGTAATATATGTAATATCTCATAATTATCCATATTATATGCAAAGAAGATCGAATATGCGGGCATTACCTCGAAACCTGAACGGCATCTCTAAAGATCGACATGATTTTGCGACAGAAGACATCGGCAGGTGGCCCTGCCACCCTTCCGCGTGGCCAAGACGTTGGAGGTCCAGGGTGCGGTCTATGCCTTGAGCGCCTTCGAGGGACGGCTCTTAGGGGCAGTGACTTCGCAGTTCGCCGCCAGGGGGATGGGGATGATGATTTCTTCTGATGGTTCACAGCTGTTAAAGCACCATTAAAATGGGAAAACTCACTATGGAATGGGAATGACTGTTAATCTTTTTGGTAAACTAACATAACTATGGAAAATCACCATTAAGAATGGGAAAACTCACTATAAATGGCCATTTTCAATAGCTATGTTAAATTACCAGAGGGTAATGATAAGTTACTGGTGAAATAATCCGCCAAAAAATGCTGGATGTTTAAATTCTTCACAGTGTCACCATCGATGAGTTGTGAAACGGTGAAACCTGACATCCCAAATGCTGTGTCGCTGCTTTCATTTGCAAGCTGCCAATGATGGGGGCTTAGACCCTGCTTGTGCCCGTAATTTGGCAAATTACTTTACTTCGTGTGATCCCCACCATGACATTTATACATTTTGTTACTGGCAAATCTTCTGGCATTCTATCTGACATATTTTCTGGCATTCGATCTGGCATTCTATCTGGCATATCTTCTGGCATTCTACCTGGCATATCTTCTGGCAGATGTTCTGGCATATCTTCTGGCAGATGTTCTGGCATATCTTCTGGCAGATGTTCTGGCATATCTTCTGGCATATCTTCTGGCATATGGTTCTGGCATATCTTCTGGCCTTCTGGCATATCTTCTGGTATCTGGCATATCTTCTGGCATTCTCACTATCTGGCATCTTCTATTCTAGCTGCTATCTGGCATTCTATCTGGCATACCTTCTGGCATTCTATCTGGCATATCTTCTAACATTCTATCTGGCATATCTTCTGGCACTCTATGTGGCATATCTTTTGGCGTGGATACTCGCGGTTGAGGTCCGGCAGGGAACACTGGGCGTGGATGGTCGTGGTTGAGGTCCGGCAGGGAACACTGGGCGGGGATACTCGCGGTTGAGGTCCGGCAGGGAACACTGGGCGTGGATGGTCGTGGTTGAGGTCCGGCAGGGAACACTGGGCGTGGATGGTCGTGGTTGAGGTCCGGCAGGGAACACTGGGCGTGGATGGTCGTGGTTGAGGTCAGGCAGGGAACACTGGGCGTGGGTGGTCGTGGTTGAGGTCCGGCAGAGAACACTGTGGATCGCGGGTCGCAGTTGAGCAAGGACGAGACAAGGACGACAAGGATGACAAGGAGGACGAGGAGGAGGAGGAGAGGAGGACGAGGCAGGAGGAGGCGGAGGAGGAGGAGCAGGAGGAGGAGGAGGAGGCAACTGACATAAAATCTAACAACCCTCACCTGGCAGGTGGGGAAAAACACTTTCATATCGGTACATGAGACCTTAAGGTGTGTTTGCGCTTTGGAAAAGCATAAGCCAATGTAACTTTCATTCAATTAGAACTACCCTCTGGTAATTTAACAGTTTGCTATTGAAAATTGCCATAGAAATAGTGGATTTCATTGGATTTCCCCATTTTTTCAATGGTGATTTTCCGGTTCGTTATGTAAACGTTGACCAGAGGGTAGCCTACTGATCCAACCAGCCCAACTTGCGCATGGGACGCCTGGGACGCCTGGGACGACCTTGGTGGAGCGAGGTGAACAACCGCCTTCAACTCTGGGAGCTGCAGGGCTCGCAGCTGGTCGAGGCAAGCCAGGGATCCAGTTTGTGGCTCTGCCCGGTTGGTTGATCTTGTGTCATGATATGGGATTATACTTCAAAAGTATGGCTTGATTATCTATGATGGGATATATATTATATATGGGATATATATATACAGAAAATATATATATATATACATATATACATATGGGATATATATATATACACATATATATATACAGATAATATGGTGATTAATTTAAATGTAGGGATTTTGAGCACTGGACCTCAGGATTTCACCTTGTGATTTTTTTTTTTAAGGCCTCCGCCATGATTCGAGGTTTCGGGAACCATCTGGTGATGACCAACATGGCCATGGAAAATGCACCCATTTTTAAGAACGGTAAACCATCTATTTCTATGGGCCATGGCTTCCATGGCTATGTTAGTCATAACCAGAGGGTAACTAAACCAAGTTACCAAGTTTTGCCACTTTAGGGGAACATGATTTCATGTTCTATCCACAAAAAACTTCCAGGGATGAGCTTTCCCAGTATCGAATCCAGGGATGAGCGTCCCAAACCGCCACCAGGTGTGCCGCTACAGTGCTGGTGTCATCGTGTTAGACCTCCAAACTCTGGGTTGCTCGGCGTATAAATGCCCCATATAGATCCATATAGCATCCTGGGGCACAAGTAAGGGGTATTTTATCATATCTTATCATATCTTATCATTTTTCGGTGTTTCAGAACTTTATTCGTATCATGTCAGTGTTGAAGATGCATACATGACAAGTACACACTGATACATACATATATGTATACATATATATTATTTTAATATTGTATTATAATATTATAATATTATACGCGCCTATACTCCCCATATTTAAGCAACATGTAAGCATCTATCGTTCTTCACAGATGCATTCGCCCCATTGCCTGAGGTGATCTGATCCTGGTGGGCGACATCATGCGCTCAGTCACCCTCATGCGCTTTCAGGCGCAGGTGCCACGAAACTTGAGGATGTTCCGATGTTCCTGGCTGGGGTTGCAAATACTTACTGGTGCTAAACGTAGGGAATGGATGGGAATGGGGGTTGCTGGCAGTTATTACATGTTATTACTAGTGATTATGGATCATTCCCGAAAATTCCCTGCTTTTAGCAGCAGTAAGAATATGTTTAAGCGAAAATGTCACCCATACTTTGGATGGGTTGAGATGAGCTGTTGGGATGGGTTTGATTCACCAGTTTCCTGGTCCATCTCGTAGTCTCGTGCCTTTCCGGCTCCCGTTTTTGCAGCGAGGTTGCTGATTTCCAGGATGCACTTGCTGATGGTGTCCGAAAAAATGGGGGGATCCCCATGTCACCATGGGTTGTTTCAATACTAAGTCATGGTCTAATGACTTGGATGATTTGGGGTACGCGCATTTTGGGGAACCTCCAGATAGATTGCGATAGATTTTGAAAATGATGCATGAATGATTCCTGATTTGCACCCCTAGGGTCTGGCATTAGTTTAAAATGTGTCCATCATTCCTAGAACATGATGGTCCCATATGCTCCACTTGTTTTTTCTGGCAAATTTTGGTATACGTATATCCCATACGTGCCAGGTGGGCTCCCTAGTTATAAGTTAATTTGTTCACCCTGCCACCAACTCAACTATATAGCTCTATAATAGCTCTATATGTTGTTTATCAATAAATAGTTTGTTAGCACACTATACTGTTTGTTACTAGCTATATGTCGGTTATCACTTTAAACCGAGCAGTTCGCCTATAGCACCCCAAAAAGATGCCGAAAAGTGTTTCCAGGAAGTTGGTTTGACGATATATTTTTTTACATACCATCATATTTTCATATATGTTCCACTTGTTCAATCTTTTTTGGGGCTTACTAAAATCAATGGCCATTTCAGGAACCTAAATTGGAGGTACCTACCATATATAAGGCCTATATAAGGCCTATGTAAGGGGATATCCCTAGAAAATATGGCCTTATATGGTACAGTACCTCCAATTTAGGATCCTGAAGTTACCATTGACACTTGTTCGATCCTTTTTTGGGGCTTGCTAAACTGAGTTCAACAAGTTCAACATATTTCAACCACCTTGGCGAACGACTCGAGGCCATGGCCTTTGAAACTGTGGCACATGACGAAACCTCCGCATGGTCCACCACTGTGGCTTGGGTGACCATATAATGTGGTTTATGGATGTTTATGGTGGTTAGAACATGTTATAACTATAGTATTAACTTAGTATATACTTAGTATTATAGTATTATTTATAACCCATGAATAACTATAATTAGTTATGTGGGTTAACTATATAGTTAACGGGTTAATGGGATGTATCGCTCATGGATTTGGTTTGGCCAGCAGCCAGCGGCCACTGGAGGGTAGTACTAAGCACAATTTGTTTTGATGGGCCAGTCATAAGTTGCTGGTGGCTGACAGCCACTGTGAGCTATGAGGTATTGTGGGGTTATGGGATGTTATTGGAATCTATTTCGCTCATCCACAAACTCAGGAGCTTCTAGGAACACCTTGAAGAACATACGAACTGACTTAGGGACTTGGGGGTGCAGTTCCAGTTGGAATGTGACCATATATAACCATATATAACCACATGAAACCAAATATACAGTAACCATATACAATAGCCTTCTGCAACCATAGCTATGCCCCAGCCCATATCCACATCCCAACTTATGGGGGTCAAGACGGTCAATGATCTCAGGTGGACATGCTTTCGGAGAACCACTTCTTGTGCCTTTGGCGAAGTTGAGTTTGGACTTGCTGGGAGATGATCTTGACATTTTTGTGGGTCCCAAAATCAAACATAATTATATGATATAGTCTAGAGTCAAGCTTCATGTTGATTCAGTGGTTGTCAATGCTACATAACATAGTCTTAAAGTTCAGCTTCATGAACTCCCAAAAAGTGATTCCAGAGAAAACATGCGAATGCATGACAATCTGTGGGGCTATGAGTTTGAACATGGCTTTGTTGTGATCAGATGATTTTGCCTCAGCTCCCCAAGCAAGCCTATGTCAGACGATTGACGAAGCAAACCAGTGTACCAAGTACTGCCGGTGGTTTCACGAGTATTTCTCGTTTTGCCATGCCTTGAATCACAAACCCCAGCTGAACACTCACAGCACCAAGCAGTTGCAGTCTAGGTACAGCTTGGAGATACCCTTGACTGGATTCATGTTTGGAAGAGTCTTAGGTCTCTAGCACATACCTGGAATCACCTAAAACCTGGATATAATATATATAATGAATATATATATATATATATATATTTAATATATATAATATATATATATACATATAAATATGATACTATATATATATATAATATATATATATAATATATATATAATATATATATATATATATACATATATATATATACATATAAATATGATACTATCGGAGAACCCTTGATCGGGCTTCCACCGGCGAAAGTTGAGTTTGGACTTGCTGGGAGATGATCTTGACATTTTTGTGGGTCCCAAAATCAAACATAATTATATGATATAGTCTAGAGTCAAGCTTCATGTTGATTCAGTGGTTGTCAATGCTACATAACATAGTCTTAAAGTTCAGTTTCATGAACTCCCAAAAAGTGATTCCAGAGAAAACATGCGAATGCATGACAATCTGTGGGGCTATGAGTTTGAACATGGCTTTGTTGTGATCAGATGATTTTGCCTCAGCTCCCCAAGCAAGCCTATGTCAGACGATTGACAAAGCAAACCAGTGTACCAAGTACTGCTGGTGGTTTCACGAGTATTTCTCGTTTTGCCATGCCTTGAATCACAAACCCCAGCTGAACACTCACAGCACCAAGCAGTTGCAGTCTAGGTACAGCTTGGAGATACCCTTGACTGGATTCATGTTTGGAAGAGTCTTAGGTCTCTAGCACATACCTGGAATCACCTAAAACCTGGATATAATATATATAATGAATATATATATATATTTAATATATATATATAATATATATATATACATATAAATATGATACTATATATTTGATATAATATATATATATATAATATTATATATATACAATATAATATATAGTATATATATATATAGTTTTTATTTCTTCATTTTAGATTGAATAGAAACTAAAGATTGAACTAAAGATTGAGTTCCTTTTCCAGACTTGGCTTTCCGGAAAGTTCACCGGAAGCCACCCCTTGTTGTAGAAACCACTAAGGTGTGCAGAAGATGGCGGTAACTTGCTCTCCCTCCGCTGTGGACAGCGGCGCTCCAATGGGGAGGCGGTGAATGTCCTGGAGCGAGCCTCTGGGACTGTCAGAAAGTTATTTGATGATTTTACCATGGTTTTACCATGGTTTTACCATGGTTTTACCATGGTTTTACCATGGTTTGATGTGGGATCATATTTATCCCAATAGGTGTAAAAAAAGATAATATCCCTCTGTAATATCCCAGCAAGATCATGTAAGATCCCTTTTTGTGCCATGGTTTAATGTGGTTTAAGACGGATAATACTGGGATAATATTCGGCTAATGACGGGATAATGATGGGATAGGAATGGTTATATCTTGTCTATGAAGGGGAACACTCATTATAGGGACACTCATGGAACATTCCATATAATTCATTTAATTCCATTTAATTCCAAGTAAATAAAATGTTCATTTCATTCCGGATAAGTATTGACAGTATCGTCCATTATTGTTTACATATTTTAAAACAATGTTTTTAAATTTGTTCTTATTAGACTATTAGTTTTATTTATTATGTGTTTGGAACATGTTTGGATTGTTTGGAACTTTTTGGATTTTTGTTTGGAACTTTTTGTTCTTTTGCAAACTAAATGGAGGTTTATAGCTGGAAAATCCATGTATAAATGGGAAAACGACCATTGCCATGCTTGATTACCAGATGGCATTTTTTTAATTTAAGTTGATGGGTACAAAACTATCATCAATTTGAGTATGAATGTGTGAAGCGAAATCAAATCTGATGATTGATAATGAGTTGGGAACTGCACTTGGGTTTTGAGTTTGGTGAGTTTGATGAGCAAACATGAGGTGCAACAGAGGGAGGTATTTTAGAAGCACTTCAAGCCAGAACGTTTGAAGCATGCTTGCTACACTCGCCCTACCGGCTCTACCTACAAAGATGATGGGTATGAAAGAATAAACATGGGAAGAATCACTCATCCAAAAATGTGGATATCCACCTTCAACAATTCTGGCCAGGGGTATGTTTCAGGAAACAGCGTTAAACACTTATATCGATGGTCACAGCCACCCTTGTACATTTGCTGTGGCCTGCAAGACCTTTTGGACACTGCTCAGTTGGATGTTGGATTTTCAAGGGCCTTGCAGCATGTTAGAGAGCGGCAGACTGCCACTGGAGGTTGGAAGAATCCACACCGGCGAATTCATGCGCCTTGGTCTGGAGGTGGTCGGTTACTGAGGTTGGAGGGGGACATGGACCCTGGATGACCCACTTCTTGACATTTCGTTGCAGAAATCCAAGCGTCACGTTTTTGGGGCCGGCGTTGGGGGGGGTGGTCCTTCGGCCGTTTTTCGGGGGAATTGAAGAATATTGAGCTGCTGTATATCCTGAATTTATGGCCTAACATCTCAGGTTTTGAAATGCGAATCTTCTGAGAGTTGAGTAGGCGTGACACATCGTGACACCTTGAATGAAATTGCTTTCTTTGAAGGATGCCACCTCTTCTCTACCGGAGAAATATTTGAAGATACTGCATTCTTTGAAGTTTGAAGCAGCAAAGCGGCTACTGTACCCTGGCTAGAAGACCTACAGTAGCTGCAAGCATTGGGTTTTCCAACCCAGTTAGACGCAAATTCATAGAATAGTATATTATATAATTTCAATAATATCATGTATATCACATATGCATATATAATATTACAGTATATAATATCATATTTGCATATGGCTCTCCAAAATTCATTTTCCCTATGACAATAGCCATTTTTGGTGCCCCCCATTTGGAGACACGCCCCTAAATAAGTTGAAAATGGTGAGTTTCACTGTGTCTCAAGCGAGACCTGAGGAATCGATTTCAACGATCCACCTTGCGGCGTTCAATGTCACGCCCCGGATCAGCGTTCGATCCGACATATTGCACCATTTGGGACGCTTGGCTGACTTCCAAGCAGCCCAAGGATGCCCAAGGATATCCAAGATGGTGTGTTAGCCTTTATATTCCGGTCCATGATATTCCCACGCGTCGAAAATACAGAATTACAGGCTAGATCTTCAGCCCCCTCATACAAGACGGTGGGATGCGCAAAATGACTTTCGCCAATATGGACATGAACCTGCTTCTACCTGTCAAATGCAGACATGAAGGTAAAATAAGTCAGACAACAAACGTACCTTTGTATATATATATACATACAATAAGTATAATATCATTATTTGTAGTAATGATTCAACCCTTAAAAACATTATAATATATATATATATAGTATGCCATCAGTTATTGACCACACATAAATTGATTTATTACAAAAACAGTAGTTCACCCATGTTAACCACATAAAACCACCACAATCCCCGGGTGGAGGCCAGTGCCTCCGGAGCCTTCGGCTGGGTCTTGCCAGTGGAGCAGCATCGCTTCTTGCGGCTGCTGAAGCTGCAGGAGATTCCCATGGGGAAAGCCCAAGGAAATGATCCAGAAATGGTGGTTACCCTCTGGTAAACATACAAAAAGCTATTGAACATGTCCCTTTTGTAGTGTTTTTTCCCATGAAAAATTGTGAGATATGATGATTTTCCATAGTGATGTTAGTTTACCAGAGGGTAAATGCGGGTTATCCACATGTGAAAAAGGCACAACTAGCCTCTTAAGTAACATCTTGGGACAATTTGATGGGCGATTCATGGGATTCAAAGTTTATCAAACTTGGCAATGAAAATCTCTATAGAGAGGTTATAGTTGGGAAAATCAAATCATCTATAAATGGGGAATTGTCCAATTGCCATTGTTGATTGCCGGATGGTAAGCAACAAAATCATGGTATGGCAGAATCAACCATTCTTTCGGCGGAAATTCGACTTTTCATGATATATATATATATATATATCATGACGTGTTCATATTTTATTTTTTGTGATTCTTTGGAGGTTTAAGAAATGTTAAAATATGTTAAATAAGGTTCATCGTGGGATCTATTTGGGGAGAACCTATGATTCTATAACGGTGATATTCAAGGTATTATACCGGATCTCAATAGGATCATAAGGAGATATAGCTTAAAATATCTTAAAATGTTGGATCGACCCCCAATTTGTCGCCATGTTCATGGTAAACGTTATGAGTAACCAGTGGATGGTGTGGGGTACCCAATGTTCAAACCCAAACATGCTGAATTTTGTTACTATGCTGGATAGATATACTGTAGATAGATAATAGATGTTGGGGGTCTATATTGGCTAAAATATTGCGTATAAGTTTATATGCTATAAAATGCTCTAAACCCTGTTTGGGCGTTCAATTACGGTGGGGCTTATTTGGGTTTGTGTGCCAATGTCCATCGTGGATTTGTAAACCTATTTTGTATGTTGCTATCAAATTGTGTCCCTCAATTTGTCAATTGAACCAACTACGGGTTTATATATTCATGCGGGGTTCGACTTTCCGTAGGTATCTGGGGAACAAAGGAGCCAGGGATGATAGTTATTCTTTAGTCAAGGGTGCGGTTGAAGAGTCAAATGAACCCAAAAATCACCGGGTAGGTGGGCATGTTGCGATGAACAAAGAGTGAGGGTTCAACGAACCATTGTACAAGCAGTGACATTTCAAGAAATCAGCAACAAACAGTCCGAGAAGATTTTGATTTTATCAATAAACAATTGTTCATGAAATACATGTTCCCCCTGGGTAGTGGATTTTGTGTCCCAAATGGGCATGATGCCATGGCTTGTGGCTTGCGGGTTTCCCGTCAGCTTGCAGCAGGAGTTCATTGCAAGCGAGCTGAAACCCATGCTGTCCCAAAAGTGGTGTGATGCCAGACTCGACTTGCAGGCCCGGGATCCAGCACCTTATACTGTAACTGACATCCTCCAAATTCGTGGGGATTTTTTTGGGGGATTCGACCACCCTCCTACTTCAATTCGGTGACCCCAAGGACGTGTGGGTTTACTAACGGCAAACCTTAACCATCCTTAACCAAGCACCAAGAATCACTACAACCAGTGCAATCATACTTCGTGCGCAGCAAGTGATGCACCTATGGCATTACCTTCTCGGTGCTTTGCGGCCCAGGAACCACAAATTCAGAAGGGCCACCTCTTACCAAACCCATTTGGACTACTGATGCCACATGAGAAATCTATCATAATCTATCCATCCATTTATCCATCCATCTATTTTTGACTACATTGGTACATTGGCCAAGCCATGAGTTCACAGGCCAACTTCCACTTGCCTTGCTTCCCCATCCAAGGGCAGCCCACATTGCCCTTTGATTTGACCCCCTAATAGCCCACATGACTTTCTGAAAAGGTGCCTTGCTCCATAGGGTATTGAAAACAAGTTGGGGATGATTTTCCCTTTAGCAGATATGGCAAGAGAACAAACATCATGTTCAAGTGCTTTTCATGGCGGAACTTCAGCTACATATATCAATTCGAATTTCAGGACCCTAAAACCATGGATGTACAGTACCATATTAGGCCATACGTTGTGGGCATATACTTGCATATACTATATACCCTTCCATAGGCCTAACATAGACCTTAGGTCAGTGCCTCTAATTTAGGTCCCCTTTGGGAATCAATCATGGCTAGTTGGCAAACCCCCTTTTATGGATGTTTTTTTTTGCCAATTTCGTTTGTGGATTTCCCAGCCATGCTTCAGTTCTGGGAAACCATGGGAAACCTTCAGGGCGAGCGTGTTGAGCACGAAGGGTTTCTGGACGGCGACCTGCTGAAGCGGTTCCTGATGATGCCAGAAGAGAAGCAGCAGGCGCCCGCGTATTTTACCACCATATTTGACCGCTGTTTTTGCTGATTCCACGGCATTTAATGATAGTGGGATTCACTTAACTAAGTTGGCTTATATAGAACATATAGAATGAGACCAATTGTTGGGTTTATGGTGGCTTGTTATAACATATTATAAAGTTGGCTTGGTCTTGAAACTCACTTAGACCTAGCCGGCACCAGTTTGTAAGACGACAACTTCAACGTCTCAGGAATTGGGACGTCCAGGGTGGGCGTTTTCCCTTCCATGTCATGTGACTTCTATCCCCAATTGGGAATGCTTCATTGATATCTTGGAGCGTAGGTGTCTTGCATCTATTTGAGTTAAGTCATTCCAAGTTCTTGGTGAAGTCATCCTAAGTCATCCATTGACAAAGTTCTTAGTTAAGTCATCCCATCTATTTCGATATCGACCTGACATGGCAACGGAGAACCATCCGCAGGCCTTGGCTGCACGCGCGCGGCGCGAGCGCTTGGATGGCTTGGATGACTTAGATGCAGGAGATGATCCGCTGCAGGACCGCTTTGTGCCCTGTTTCCGAGAAAAATCCTCCACTTTTCTTTGTCACATTGATTTTTGAATATATAATGAATATATAGATAGATATCTATATATAATTATATATATAATAATATTATATATAATAGATATTTGATAATTTTACCTGTATGATGTTTTTTTTTTGGAACTTTTTCCCACATGTGGGATTTTCCAGGCTGCCACTGCCATGTTTGATTACGAGGGTACCCAACATGTCAGGAGTTGCTGGAGGATTTAGAGATGCTCTCCCGCTGATGCCAGCAGCGGGCAATGTTTGGAAAAGTTGGCCGTACGGATGGGATAGATTTGGGTAAAGATGGACCCCTATCATTTGCAAATGGGCTTGGAACCGCATCTTCATATATTTGTATGTATATTGCAAATGCACAAGTCATGTATCATAGGTATACATTCATGTATGTGTTTTGTGCGCATGTATGTATAAAAACACATTGTATGTGTTACTCTGTACAATACTTATTATCAATTATGTAAATGATAGGTTTTCCTAACCCGTGGGACATTCGTAAATGATAGACAGCAGACCATCACTGCACTGATCAAAATCAAAAAAGCATTCCTCTGAACTTTAAATCCACGTGGATTCACTTTTTGAGCGCAAATTCAGCTGATTGCCAGTGTGTGGCTTTGGGAAAGGATGTGCACGCCACCAAGTGCAAAAAGTCAATTTGTTCAGTAAGTCAGCATTGACATCCAGCATCATCCAGCCATGTGAATTGGGATCACAATAGCCACGCTGATCGGACAAAAAAATGGTGGAATACTGGCATTGATTTGCGAACCGCACTTGGGTGTTCCACATACGAATGTGACGTGGTAATGATTGATTTCTAAGTGCATAGGCGCATAGGGGAATCCAGTACTTCTTTGAGGGCCCCCGATTGGCAAGAAACACCCAAGTTGGAGGGGATGCGAATCCCAAAGGCCTTTGATTCACCATAGCATTTGGGGCTTGAGTCAGCACATGGTGAATGAAGCAAGCTGGAGCAGCTTGCACAGCCCAATATGGAGGCCCAGAACATTCTGCGAACAACCAAGTATGATGAAACACATTGACAGACTAATGAACCAAATTGATGCTCAGCTTGCAAGAAATCATTCATATCATTCACCATGAAGCAAGTCAAAAAAAGGAAGTGAGCACCTGAGGTTAATGCGTATTTAAATAGGAGGCCCATCAGCATGATGCGCCAAGGAAGGTCTTCGAGCTGGCCAAGGCAAAACAAAAACGCATCCGGCTGAAAGAAACATGACGGCGCAGGTCGCCCGCAGTCCAGCCATGGCATCCATTCAAGAGCGTTCCACGCGCTTCACGCCCAAGGTGAATGCAAGCTTTTGCATGGCACGAGCTCCTTGGAAAGCATCAGGAATCCCCAGAAGTGGAGAAGCAAGGAAACAATCTGGAGCTAGTCCTACTATTTTGCAAACATGGCACTGGAAAATCATGATGATGTAGGAAACAGCCTCTGAGACAATACGGTATTGTCGTTTGCCATTCACCTGTCAAACCTATGGTTGCCCACTGCCGTTTGCGAGAGCAGAAGTCTTAAACTGTCATCATGACTGGTGGTGAATTTGAATGTAAAGTGCACATGTGTTCATACGATTTCATACGGAGAATCTTCATGTTGGGATCCCCTTACCATCCCTTACCAATGTGCTACTCAGAAACAAGAAACACGACTCCAATCATCCTGCACTACGGGCACCCTTTGTTTAGGCCTGAAGGCTGCAGACTTCATTGTTTCTCTTCTCTATCCCCCAGCCGCAAAAGACGACACGGTCACTCCCCCCCCACTGATTGGAGGCATTGGAGGATCATCCACCTAACGTGGTCAAGAACATTCAAGAACATTTAATATCATTTAAGAACAAAGTCCTAAGTCGTCCCCTTATGAACTGAATTATTCCATGTACTGGCTTCCGATCCCATCAAAACTCACCAGTTGCAAGTTGCCTCGGACAATTTTCGCGTGCAGGTGTGGAACGGCGGGCAAGGCGGGCAGTGCCCGATGATGCCATCGGCCAGCGGCTTTGGTTTGTGCAAGACCCACGCGGAGCGCCATGCAGCCGAGGGATTGGCGCATGGCCGGGTGGATGGCACCATTCCCTTGGATGCTTGGACCATCTTGGACCGAGGGGTGGATGAGACCAGCAATTTTCTGCCCAAATTCATGGTAACTTCAGATGTAAATTATATTGGGAGAAGTGATTGTAGTTTGGTGATAAAGGATTATACGGATTGTTCAAGAATGTTCAAGATGTGCTTGCGCCCATGAGCTTACGGCTTTTCACGGGGTGTGAAATCACCCCTTAATTACTGTAGAGTCTGGAAGGTCATGCTGAAGCCATGGCACCAAACCTGTAAAATACCTGTAAATTAATGTAAATTACGTGGGTGCAAAAATGACGTCGTCAATTTTGCATAACAACACCGTTTTTAGAGGTTCAAGCATGCACTTCACGCCCTTGTTGTTTTGCACTGGTGGCCGCCATCCAAATTATTAATGCGTTTGTGTGACTTAAGATTGATTAGAAATCACTCGTTCCAGGCTCTTTGGCCGTTTGTCAAGCGGAATACCGATTTCCAAAGTATCAGGTGTTTCTCAGTTGATGTTTCTACTTTCACGTGGATTGCCAAAATCCACCGATCGATGATGCATCATGGTCGACTCTGACTCTGATTTTTGAACCTGCTAATGCTGCTGTAACAAAGCTTCATACGGATTCACTATGTACAGAGTACAGAACGTATTTGATACCACCTTCCTGGACACCTCTGAGCTTCGCAGACGTCCGGATTTTGATCCCGGATTTCCAACAAGATTTTGGATATTTTGGGCACTTCTCAGGCACAAGTTGGTTTCTAAGCCTAGTGTCCGCGTCATTACTCCAACTTACTTTAGGCCTATAGTGAGTATAACAATCTTACAGTGCGATTTTCTACACCAATTTTAGGTTCATTAAATTAATTAACTCACCGTTTCTTCGGGTTCAACCTCCATACTTGGTGATATATCGGGATCTTCGGGAACCCCCCGGGCCTTTCCTGAGGAAAAGCTCGAGGAGTTCGAGAAACGCGCAGAGAAGAACGCCATGAACAGCCACCTGAGCAGCACCCGGGCGCTGGGATATCGTGGGAATCCATGATCTTTTTTATAGGGCCAGCTTGTGCCCTGCAGAACAACCAACATGAAATCGTCATGACATGAAATGAGATGAAATCATGAAATGAGATGAAATGAGAGGATTGCTTAAGTCTTAGGTAGACATTTGGAGGGTCCTATTCAACTGAAATCTACACGCCCGGGTGCCAAATTCTCGTATGCGTCATGGCTGCCAGGGTCAAACTTGGATTACGCAAATTGGAAGATGGTCATCCCATTCAGGGACGACCATGCCTCACGTTTCATCCCATGGAGCTGGAGCCACATATGGCCATCCCATTGGATCCCCATTCTATCTAAATTATATATATTAGTATTGCTAATCACCATTGTCGTTGCATCAACACATATTCAACATGTTGATTCATAATGCTTTAATGAAATTATTTTGTTGGTGAACTTGACATCAATCAATCATTACACCATTAATGGTTGAACGGTGACCGTTGCCAGGTCCTACCTCGCCCGGCAGTCCACCTGCAAGGTCCCGCGGCAGGTTCAACGTTTGAATGGGAAATTCCGAGGATTTTTCGGCCCCAAAATCAGATTCCCATAGATTTTTGGGTGTTTGGATTTGACTTGATGATTTTCGAATTTAGTCTATCATATGTTTTCATTTGATGATCGAAGGAAGTTTAGAAGTCAAACTCCCGACAATATGGACAGATGAAAAGCAGAGCAGGGAAGAGGCAGAGAGAAGAGAAAGATTAGAAGAAAGAAGAGTAGAAGAGAAAGAGTAAGAAGAAAGAAGATGGAGATGCGCGAAAAGGTAGGAAAGTCGCGAAACACTGTGTTTTTCCAATGATTTGGGGCTCCGGAGGGTCGAAAAGTAGGCTCGCTAAAGCGGCGGGTGCGGAGCCAGCTGGCCAGATGAGAGATGAAAAATTGCACGCCGTTGTGGCGCGAAGCACATTTCCAAGTCAAAATGCACAAAACACCTCAGCTCCGGACCACTTTTGGAAGTTGAGATGTCGAAAAAGTGCACGCCGTTGTGGCGCGAAGCACATTTCCAAGTCAAAATGTACAAAACACACCATTCTCGGACCACTTTTGGAAGTTGAGATGTCGAAAAAGTGCACGCCGTTGTGCCGCGAAGCACATTGTGAAGTCAAAATGTACAAAACACACCAGTCTCGGACCACTTTTGGAAGTTGAGATGTCGAAAAAGTGCACGCCGTTGTGGCTCGAAGCACATTTCGAAGTCAAAATGTACAAAACACACCATTCTCGGACCACTTTTGGAAGCTAAGATGTCGAAAAAGTGCACGCCGTTGTGGCGCGAAGCACATTTCGAAGTGAAAATGTACAAAACACTACATGTTCGCGCCACTTTTGGAGGTTCATCAGATGTCGAAAAAGTGCACGCCGTTGTGGCGCGAAGCACATTTCGGAGTGAAAATGTACGAAACACTAGGGGTTCGGACCACTTTTGGAGGTTCAGATGTCGCTTCGCCGCTTCGCTTCACTACACTACACTACGTTACATTACACCACACTCCACTATACTACACTACATTACACTACATTACACTCCACAACACCACAGCTACACTACACAACTAGACTACACTCCACTGCATTCCACTACATTAAATTTCACTACACTACATTACACTCCACTACACTCCACTACACTAAATTACACTACACTACACTACATTACCCTGCACTACACTACACTACGCTCCACAACACTACAACTACAACTACACAACTACACTCCACTACACTCCACTACACTAAATTACACTACACTACACTACATTACCCTGCACTACACTCCACTACAACTACAACTACGACTACACAACTACACTCCACTACACAAAATTACACTACACTACACTACATTACACTACACTACACTACATTCCACTACACTCCACTACACTACACTACATTACACAGCACTACAATACACTGAATGACACTGCACCACAGATAGACAGGTAGACAGACAGACAGACAGATAGATAGATAGGTAGATAGATAGATAGATAGACAGCTAGACAGCTAGACAGATAGACAGATGAAAGAGAGAGAGAGAGATAGATAGATAGATAGATAGATTGGGTAATTAGATGAAAGAGAGAGAGAGAGAGATAGATAGATAGATAGATAGATAGATACATAGAAAATAGATAGGTAGGTAGGTAGATAGCCAGAGAAAGAGATAGAAAGAGTGAGACAGATCAAGCACCTTTCAGTCCATCAGTGGCTTCGCTCTGCCATCCCTGATTCACAACAACCAACCTCTCCTATAGGTTTCCTATTTTTGAAACTTCCGCCACCGCTTTGTGCGGTACTACTGGTAAACAGTTTTAAACAAGTCTTTGGATTCTGTTCAGTGCATATGCAGGATTTCGGATGTGTGTGTGTAATTATGTGTTTGTTTCTTTCGAGATGTGCGCTTAGGATTTGTTGGGAATAATGGTCCCAATATGTGAACACCTAGTATCGCACACATATACAGATATCATATGTATATAATAAAAATAAATATATAAATCAATATATATACATATATATAGTCCATTCGTCCAGACACAAAATATTGGAGATCCCCAGCGGCGGACGTACAAACCAGAATAGTTTTCAGCCCTTGCTACGATTGGGTCATCCAAAGGATTTTCTTGGATGATCCAGGACTTGGAGATGCAGAGTTGGATGATGAAGATAACTGACGGGGTGGTGTACATTCATGATTTATAATCTGGTTGGTGGTTTGGAATAATATCTTTTATTTTTCCATATATTGGGGACAATAACCCCAACTGACTCATTTTTTTCAGAGTTGTAGGTATACCGCCAACCAGTATAATATTTATAAACTGCCACGCTCCCTTACTTTCAGCGTAGATTTGCACCGGCACAGTGCCCCTATGCTGCACCAAATCGCGCAGCTGCCACAATAAATCAGCAAAGGGATGCAAAAGGTGTTCTCATGGGTTGAGGCCTGTGAATATTGACCATCAGCATCTTGAACCGAAGCATCGTTATCTAACCTCAGACTAACATCAACCATATTATATGCCATAAAATACCATATAACACGTGACATCATGTGACACTTTAACCACTTCCAGCCCACGAACCTCACAGCCCAGGAGCCCTTCGCGCACTCCACGCAAGGCGCCGCCCCAGACGCCGCCGCCGCGTGCCTCCCCAGCGCCCTCGGCTGCGCCGTCGCCTTCCGCGTCGCCGGCGCCGTCCAAACGCGGCCCCAACGTGCCGTTGCCGGAGGGCATCCCACGCTGCGAAGCGCGGGTGTGGGCACAGGGCCGTGGTGCTCAGTCGCCTGGTGAATGATGCCAGTGCATGATTGCAGGGTGGCTGATTGCGGGGGAGGGATATAAAGCTCATCATGTTAATCACTGCCACTTAAGAGTGTTTTTTGAAATTATTTGGTAATGATTAGGCACTGTTCTTGATAGTTTTTGTGTTTGTTGTCCAGCAAGTTCCACACTTGGAGTGCTAATGTGCCTCTGGGCCAACAGTGAGACAGTGAGTGGCTGAGGTCTAGGAAACATGGCTCGGACGGGTGGCCACAGTGGAAGTGTCCACAGAGTTTCCAGCAATACATCAAGAACTGCTTGGCGGTTTCAAACATTTGTTATTTTCCATAATATATGATATGGGATAATCCTTCCCATTGACTAATATCTTTCAAGATGGTTAAAACCACCAACCAGAGAATCACGATAATCATGAGAGAGATACACGCAGTGTATGCGTGCCTAGAAGTTCACTGCTGTTTGTTTAGATGACCTCAGCTGAATCATATGCAGGGTTGGTTTATGTTGGGAAAAGCCCGCAGGTACCTGCAGGGGTAAAGGTTGGATTCCAGTGAATTATGAGCATTAATGCTTTCAACGAATGCAAGTCATTAGATTGGGAGATGGCTGAGAAATGCCCAATTGCCGCAAGTTCTGGTTTGCTATCGTCCACGCATTCTTTAGCAAAGGCATGACGTGTGACAAGAAGTTCACTTATCGCCCACTTTTTTCCCCAGCGTGTTATGGCATGGTCTTGAGGGCTGCAATCTGAAATCCAACTTTACTTTCTGCCACCGACATGTGAAATCTTGAAATAGATTATCTGGCTGGTGGTTTGGAAAGCCGTGGTGGCCCAAATTCCCTTCCAGCCGGTGCGGCTGATCTAACCAAACGAGGGCCGGTCTGATTTGCAATGGCTGATTCTTCGGATTCTTTTGGTTTTCCCATTCCTTTTGGGGCATGTTCGACTGGGCAGCGGGTTCATTTGGTTGCAAAATTGGTGGTTTGGGATGCTTCCCATGATGCACATCTTTTTCAGTCTGCAGTGGATGGTACCCTGGTGAAGGTGAGCGGTCTCATAGAGGGCAATGGTGATGTATACTCATTGATGAATGTGGTTTTTCAGCAACAGTGGCCAATGGTTGAGGTCAGTATGGATGCTGCCTCGCATGTTTTCAAACATGGGCGCCCATCATGGGATTCATTACATGCTGTCATTGAGATGTGCTCAGGGTTCGGAGGCATGACTCAGGGATTGGTTACCTCAGGGTTTCATACGATTGCAGCAGTGGATTGTAATGAAAAGATGCTGAGCCTGTTCGGAAAGCAATGTGGAGCTGAGAGGATCCATGGAGATGTTTCAAGCCTGAACACGTTGGTTAAGATTTGGAATGCTTCTGCAGGTGCCGGAGTTCTCACTGCAGGTTTTGCATGCCAACCTTATTCCCGCCTAGGGGACCAGCGTGGTGGATGTGATGCCCGTTCAGCTTGCTTGACTGGAATCCTTGCTAGTGCTTTGTTTCTCCAGGTTCATGCAGTCATTTTGGAATGTGTTCAACCAGCTGCCCAAAACTCCTTTGTGTGTGGCGAACTGAAAAAGTTCCAAGAACTGTCTGGTTTTGATTGTGTCCAAATTGACATGGAGCTTCATGAAGTATGGCCGGCTAGGCGTTCACGTGCATGGTGGTTGCTGACTTCCAAGTTTCTGGGTAAGATTCCCCTGTCTACATGGCCTGCAATGAGTTGCCTCACCAAAGTGCGACAGATTATTCCTCGTATTCAACCTTGGGCAGTGGATGATGAAGAAGCACTTGCCTTAAGTAGTGTGGAGCTTGAGGGTTTTGGTGCCTTTGATTCTTCCTTTCACCGTTTTCTGCTGAACATGGAAACCTGCGCTCCCTGCGCATTGCATACTTGGGGCTCTCAATTAGTAGGATGTGAATGTGGATGCCGCCTCAATGGTTTGTCCCCGCATCGACTTGCTGAGAAAGGTCTGTTTGGATGTTTAGTTCACTCATGCCAGACGCAGCACAAAGAAAGCCTCTTGCGCCATGTTCATCCCAATGAGGTCATGATGATGTGTGCCTTTGATCCGGTTGTAGACTTTGGGTCGAACCCCCGCCTTGCTCTGGCCTGTGCAGGACAAATGGCGAGTCCGCTCCAAGCTGCTTGGGTCTTTGCTGCATTGGATGAGAAAATTCAAGAATTGCATGGACCTCCCAGTGAATTCCAACAGGAAGCCAGACTCCAGGCATACATGGCATGGGTTTTAATGAGAGGTAGACAGGTATGGCCGGCAGTTCATGAACCGATCAAAGACTCCAATGTCCTTTCACTCATTGGTTTTTGGCAAGTGGTGAGTAATTTGTCTCTTCATGAGCTTTTGCACCCACCGAAATGGCCTGATCTGACCCCGCATGATGTCAACATTGCTTCCGTACTTGACTTGCTCATTCGCCAGCAACAATGTGTACCAAACCCTCACACTGCTGCCCTGTCTCTGGCCGGAGATGTGTCTATGACGGAATTGGATGATGAGCAGTTTGAAGGGGAACCCACGCCTTTTCCTCCCAATCCTGATTGTGTGAAAACCTTCCCACCTGGACTTCCTGACCGTTGTGTAGTGATGTTCAACCATGAATCGCATGACCCTGTCCAAGTTCAGGTTAATGATGGAAGCACCCTTTTGCACTTGATTCAGGCACATGAACAATTGGTAGGCGGTTTGCAGATCCATTCAGCGTGTGACCAATTCGGTAATGAGCTCCTGTTCTCTCATGTGCTGCAGCCTGGCCAAGTGATATGTGTGCACAGTGAAGCCGTAGCTGCCCCCCTTGAAAACGGAGAGGGTCATTTGCCACAGGACCGAGCATGCATTGTTGGAAGTTCCAGTGTGTTGGCTGAGCAGCGTGTGATGAGTGACATTCTGCCTGAAGTTGTTGGATCTGGGGTTGCATGGCCTGAGCCTGTTCTGCCCGATGCTGGTGTTGGAACAATGAATGTGGATTGCCCTGAGATCTCATCATCTTTGGGTGCCAGGCGTGAAAAGACTAGCTCAGTCAATGTTTTGGACATGCCCAAATGTCTCCTTGCTCTTGGTCCACAGATGAAAGGTATCGAGCCCGAATCTTTTGTCAGCCATGACTCATGTGAGATTGCCCCAACAGTTGCATGGCATGTACCCCAGCAGGGTTGTCTGCAACCGAGGGAGTTTGATTTTGGCAGTAGACCTTGTTTGGAGCAGAAAGCCAGTCCTATTTCAGCCGGAGATTCCATGTTGTCTGCAGCCCCATTGTTGGCATTGAACGGTGACCAGTTTGTGCACCTGGCAGTGCCTTTTGTGGTCACAATGGATCATCTTGAGGCCCTGACTCAACAGTTTCTGCGTCCTGCTGATCGCATTGCCCTTTTTGAAAAGCAAGGGGGACTTTGGACTGATGATGAATTCCGCTTCCACATTGAGCAACTGGTCAAGAACAAAAATGCACAGGTTCAACACCAGCCTGATCAGAAACATCGGAAGTACATGATGTTGGACCCACTTCTCATTTCTGGATGGACTCACCATGGACCCGAAATGTGTGTATCTTGGTGTTCCAAGCATTCGGACATCTACAAGGATGCGACTGTAGTGATTTCTGCCTGCATGTTTGCTGCCCATTGGATCCCAATTGTGTTGGTTCCTAATGGTCCGGTTCTCCATTTCTCTACATGGGATGCATCAGAACACAATCATGATGCCATTCGAAAGGTGATCGAAGTTCTTGGGGCTTCGTTGGGGTTTTCCAGTGTTGTGCCCATTCGCCATCATCGGATGTTTATCAACACTGATCGGTGTGGAGCCTCAGCTATGTCCTTCCTTCACAATTTTGCATTTGGCTCCATTTTGCCCACCACACATGATGAGGCAATTTTGATCCATACCAGAATGAGAGAGAGCTATTCAAAGGCAATCTTGTATGCGCAACTTGCAGAAAGGCCGTGGGTTTGGGGAGCCGGTGATGAAGAGAATGATTCGTTTCCCAATGAGCCTGGTACGTCCTCCCAGGGTCCAGAACCACCGCAGTTCCGTCAAGAAGTGGGTAGTTTTTCTCACACATGCATTGAAAAAGAGGCCCGGCTTGACATGCTGAGATCCAAGGGGAGACAATGGGCTGATGATGAAATCAGATTTCATCTGTTGCACATGCTGACACATCGGTCCAATGTGTGTAATGCGCCATTTTCAACCATTCCTGGCTTTGTGATGATGGATCCCCTCATGCTTCTTGCTTGGGATCCTATTGGGCAGGGCCTTTGCACAGCCTGGTGTCGACGAAACATGCAAGTGCCAAACCATGGTTTCCATGTTGTGGCGGCTTTTGTCCACAATGAGCATTGGTTTCCAGTCTGGATGGTCCCCCATGGGAGAACTTTGGTGGTACACTTTCTGGATGATGATTTGTTTGATTCGTGTCTGTTGGATCCAATGCTGGAGATTTTGAAATCTGAGTTTGCATTCCACGAGGTTGTGAAACACACGTTTCCAAGTTTGCTTGATGCCGACAACATGTGTGGAGCAATTGCCATCGCTTTCCTTGGCCATATCATTGTTGCTGCACCCCTGCCGACCACCATGGATGAACTTCATGACTTGCATTCGAACATGAAAGCCAGTTTTGTGCAGGCGTTGCATGATGGTAGCTGTTGTATTTGTCCTGTTGCATGGGGTTCGGGAGGTAATGGTGCCTTAGCACGATCACTTGCCTCGGAGTTGACAAAACATGGTGTACCTGATGACAAGGCCGAAGGTCGAGCTCAGCAGGCCATCCGGGCCATTGGACATGAACAGGTGAGTGAAGCCCTGAGTTCCAAGAATGTGTGGCGCGCGCTCAAGGTGTTGGGGAATAATGTCAAATTCCAGTTCCTCCTGCCGGAAGAGCTTGCACAAGTTGTCTCAGCCTCTAAAAGCCTGCCAGTTGGAAAGCGTTTGAAAGTTGGTGGCCCCAAAAAGCGCCCGAATATCCCAGACTTGGTTG